TTGGGCTAAAAATGCATTTTGTATTACTTCTCATTCATTCCAGTAAAGTTAAATACAAAATCCCTAATTTGTACAGGCCCAAAAAAATCCTGATGGATTCTGGCAAGTTTCTGCAAAGTGGCCTGTATGTTACATTGTCACAACCTGTACACAACCTGAACACTTCACCTTTGTCAAGGACTGTAAGAGATGGAATGGAGTCGATGTTTTACAAGTACTTCATATTCGACTGCAGTGTTTGTCATTTTCATTTAAGGCTATGCATACACTAGAATTACAGGTTTTTAGTGAACTTTTGTTCATGAGAACAGTTTGTGAAGGATCCTGGACATGCCTGGACAAAGGAAAATAAAATTGAAACCAAGGATAAAATTTAAGCACAACATAAACACCAAACAAAATTTTAAAAAGTGAATTTGATAAATAAAATTGAAGCACGTTAGCATTTAGGTAAAACCATACTGCTTCTTGTTTAGAGGGGTTCTGGACAATTTTAGCCTAAAATCTAGAAGACTAGGTTCCTTCTTGCGTGTTTTATTGTACATGAGTCATCTCTACCACTTGCAAAAACCAGACACCTCCCTCAAACAACCCTAGACTCATTCCCTGACATCTTTGACTCTTTTTCTTATCTCAGGTTAAGATCATGCCCGGGTGGGTTAAACGTTGTATAATGCTATCGAATGAATAAATCATTATTAAGCATATAAGTATTATGGAAACCAAATGCATTGTGGTGGATGGGGATTCATCCAGTGAATAGCTCTTATTTCCGTATTGAACAACTGGAGCCAGCTCTGTAACAATGCGTTACATAAGTTCGGTTTGTAGCGCCGAAGAGCATTGAGACAAGATTGTACAGAGAGGACTGGACTTTGTGTCTAACTTCTTTTAAAAAAAAAGTCTGTGTTGTGAGCACCTAGCTTTGATTTATGACTTTGAAACAACGAAGAGTGCTTAATTTTACAAAAAAGGCCTGAAAGCTGGAGTATTGTTAGGGTAACGCTAGGTTTCATTCCGGCGTGGCTTTCGGCATTTTTTAAGCCGTTCGCGTGAAAATGCTCCGAGAAAATTTGAGTTCAGAAATAAGTCTACACATGGATAATAGAAAAAGGTGAAGAACGAATGAAGGAGGCATGCATAAGGGTCACTCTTTGTTGGTCATAGACTTTTACAGATTTGGTGGCTCCTAAAGGAGCCGTTGGATTGTTGCGTGGCCAGGACGTCTAACCGCCAAATCCGTACAGAGTACGTCCCTGGCGTTTGAGAGCATAGACTACATCCATGGCTGTCACAGTCTTTCTCTTTGCGTGCTCGGTGTATGTCACAGCATCACGGATAACGTTCTCCAAGAAGACTTTTAGAACACCTCGGGTTTCTTCATAGATGAGGCCAGAGATTCGCTTGACACCGCCACGGCGAGCAAGACGACGGATGGCTGGCTTGGTAATACCTTGGATGTTATCACGAAGAATCTTTCGGTGACGCTTGGCACCCCCTTTTCCGAGACCTTTTCCTCCTTTTCCACGTCCAGACATCTTTCTTCTTTGTATAAACTCACGAAATCTCCTCAACGAGCGAAAGCTATGAGATGCCTAAAGTACGCTTGCTGGTGAATTTATAAAGGTCATGCGGCCGCAATAGGAAACCCACTAGAAAGTACTGTTACGTGATTGGCTCTTTGGTGTAATCAGCCTTGACCAATCAAATTCATGCTGTGGATTTTCGATCCTTCAAATGTTCAAGGTCGAGCATGTTCACGGTTTTGGATTAAAACTGATGTGATAAATAAATGTTGGAAATTGCAAATCACAAATGGACAGAAGGCCTTCTCACTATCTCTGTCTCTACCTGATATTATGAATTTTAAATAGTACTTTCCAAGGAAATTAGATCAACTCAAAGCCCCAAACAATGCGGGGATCAAGCAGCCTACAGGAAAAATGGTGGGTGTACAGTCTACTTTAGGTAGTGTCATAAGAGGTGTCCTTCGTAAAGACAGTAAAAGAAAATGACTGAAGAATGAGAAAGAGCTGCTATGTGAACTCAAGGTGTCTTATTAGGGAAAGTTGATTAAACAGACAGATTGTGTAAAGTTCCAAGTTGGGTAGGGAGGTGGGGCTGAGTGTGTGCCATTGGGCCAAAGTTGTGAAATTTATTGAAGATTGATGGTTTCACTTACATAGTGGTAGGGAGCTTCTGGTATACTTTTATAATGTTTCAGCTTTTAATTGATCGAAGTTGTTGTCCAGTTTCATTTGCTAAAGTTCAGAAAGACTTCGCTGCAACCATGTTACTTTTCTATGCAACTGTGACATCAAACAACACATGAAATTAACCATAATATTTTATTATCAAAAATGTGTTTGTTTGTACAAAAATAGCTAATGACCACTCATCCCTACAATACCAATAAAATTTTTACATCAACTAAAAAATTTAGCATTTTTGCAGATGTGGATCCAGGAAAAATGTGATCTTTTTACAACATGAGAAACACATTAAAAGCATTGTTCTTAATTAAAGGAGCCAATTTTGTCTCGTCACACAATAGACCTTTTCACAGTTTTTTCAACTTTTGACACGGACAAGTTAGGAAAAAACCGTCGACACCACTGGAGCGAGTGCCTTAACCCTTTAAGTCCCAATAGTGACTAACAGCGTTTCTCTCCTAACGATATCCATACATTGTCATGAGATGAGGTTATGAGAATTAATAAAATGATCAGCTAAGGGAAAATACTTTGACCTTTTATCAAATTCTCTTAACTAATTCTTAAAGGAGATGTATAGAGATCAGTTTGGAGAATTTGTATGTGGATATTGGGCTTAAAGGGTTTTAACATTAGGAAAATTGCCAAATTTAAAAGTGATGTGTATTGGAGTGAGCGAAGATATAGCTCTGCAAAGTTGTGAAAATTTACAGACATTTGTATGGTTGGGGGCAAGTTTGTGCCCCCCTCCCCCCCATGCAAACATCTGTAAAATTTCGTGACTTTGAGGAGCTAAACCTTCTTTAGTTTTCAACAAATCACTTTCACAGTAGGCAATTTTACTCTTAAGGTGCTATTTTCAGGGGTGTCGACAGATTTTCCCAAACTTGTCCATGTCAAAATTTGAAAAAATCTGTGAAAAGATCTCTTCTCCTCTTGAGGAGGAAGGAAAATGGCTGTACCTGCCTTAATCTTCAAACTATGTGACTTGTAAGGGGGTGTTTACATGACACCGGGGCGACTTTTGCACCGGTGCGAGTTCACTCCAGTTCCCTCTCATGGCTCTGTTTTGTTTACATGATACCACCACAAAATGTCATGCCAGCACAAGTCACCCTGGCGTGAGTTCACCCCGGTTGTTGTACCGGGGCGAGAATTTCACTACGGTATGAAATCTAGCAATGGTATCATGTACACAAAAAGACCACTTGTCTCGGTGTGAAATCGGTCTGCCGGTAGACCGGAACAGGTAGCGCCTGCGTAATGTTTGCGATTTTGAATCACACGTGTATTTTATCAACATGAAGTGTACCTTCAAATAACGAGATATGAACTCACCCAGTCATCATGTAAACGCGATACAAAATCAAAAAGTCATGCCAATCTGAAACTCGTGCCGGTGCAAGTTTTCTCATGTAAACACCCCCTAAGAATGAAACTGTCCTCTACTATATTTTTACACCTGCTGAGATGACGCTCTGTAACATTTTAAGTTCAAATGTTTGTGCTTTATACAGTCAAACCTCTTTGATGTGGACACCAAAGCAACAGAACTAAGTGTCTGCTTTACAGAGGTGACCGTATTATAGAGGTAGGGAATGTATGATTTTTGGCATTTCTGGGACCAAAGGAACTGTCCATAATAGAGAGGTGTCCGTAAGGAGAGGTTAGACTTAATAACATATAAAAAAGATTTAAACAGGTTTTGGTAATAGCCCTTACACATGTTTATGTCAGACAAGTAAATTTCACCACCAAGTCTTGTTTTCAAAATAATTATAAAGATGTGAAATTTTACATAAATGAATTCCCAAGGCAGTACAGTTGAAAAGAATACCCACGCACAAGGGGGTGCAAATGCAAACGGGGCTTGGTGGTGAAATTTGCTCGTCTGATGTAATCACGCATAAGGACCATTATTGCACCATGTAACAGAGTCCTGAATGTTGTGGGGAATTTTCTCATTAACTCCACCATAAATAATGAAAAGCTACATAATTTTATAAATATTCTGTAATCGCTAAAAGTGTCTGAGTACAAAAATACATATCTACAAAGCAGATTTACAAGTACGTACACATGAGTGCCATGGAAAAGGTTAAACAAGCACTACAGTTTCTATCTTTGCTGTGTAACAGCTGACACTAACATTCGAAGTCTGCTTTCTTTCTCCATGCTGAAAAAATTAATTAATAATTAAGTTAAGTTACATATTGACATTAAATGCCTGGTCCAAGGTTTGCAATTCTAAAGTAACCATAAATAAGGTGAAAATCTGTTGCCATGAGTACAATCTTTGAAAGGAACAGCCGATGTGTAAAGGAACAAAAGCAATCATTGCAAATTAATGATTTTGATGACAACATCTTTAGTTTGATACAGACTCTAAACAAAATTCAATTTTAGTCCATATGTTGTTTAAGTGTATTTCTGTAAACCTCAACAGACATACAGTAAACAAACTCCAGGATTTTTTATAGGAGGGGGTGCACTCGTCTCTTGCTCTAATTCAACACCAATAAACTAATACCAGTTTTATTAGACAACGGCAGGTCATCTCACCCTCCCCCTAGATCCGCCCCTGACTTCACACTTCTCGTTTAATAACAACATGTATTAGAATTGCAACCATTGAAACCTGCCTTAGAGGGTTTCCTAAATTTTTTGACTTATTTACACTTTACTATAACAAAGGCTTGCGATCATCAGTACTTCTTACAGAAGATTGTGACCCTGAAGTGCTGTGTTGTTCAGTTGCAGAACTGTCCCCAATTAATGCTGTTGAGCTGTCATATCCATCTGCAGCTCTCTGATGACGTAAGCTCGAGCCTCCTGCACTTTTAGGCCGTCTGCCATTATCTTCAAAATTCACCTGGCCAGGGAGGGAGGTAGATGAACCATCTGAAGCTAAAAAAAAAGAAAATTAACAAAAATCAGAAAACAGTTACTTTTTGTCTGCTAGCAAATGATTAGCTCCAGAGGTGATTTCTATTTAGAAATTGAGGATGACACGTGGTCTGAATTGGGAAAATAAAACCTACAAGCTAAAGCTAAAAAGGTCTATAGCACAGTTGATATTTTTAATAGCTTGAACCTAAAAGTAACAAATATTGAGCTGACCGTACGAGAGGCAGTATTCTTTACCTTCAGGCGATGGCCCTTCCTGTATCAGCGGCATCGAAATAACAGATATCTTTTTCCTTCGGGTAGTCCGCTGTCCCTCTTCCCAGTCCTCCACTTCATCTAGAAGTTTCTCTACACTGTCGGGCCGTGATCCTATTGACACCCCTGTCCCCGGTCGACTCCCTGAACTTGATGTGGTTTTCATCATATCAAATGAAGGGTGAGGCCCGGCCATGTCAACCATACTGTCCCAATCAAACCTTGTTGAGCTGCCATAAAGGCTTGAGGGAGTTTTGAGATTCTCTTCAGCCTCCTTGAGTGCCGTATAAACTTTCTTTTCTACATCCTTCTTCACCTTGTCCATGCGTCCATTCACAAATGTTCCTAAGACATACATTTTTAAAAGCATGCGCTTCTTCATTGGGTCTACCAGGATGAAGTCACATTCACGTTGATCAAGCCTCTTTCTCATCTGGGGCATAAGTGTCATGAACTCCTTGGCTGTTTGTCGGACTGACTTCTTCACAGATAGCGTGAACAGTGAATGTGGTGCCAAAGTTCTGTGGGCTTCGATGAGTTCGTCAAGAAGATCCCATAGAGAGTCAAATGTTGGATCATCAAGGTATTCTGCTTCTCGGCAGTAAGCATTAATGATATGTATTTGCCTTTCCAGTTCATGAACTGGAGCAAAGATTGGAGGACTTGACAGCGCTTTCTCCAAGGTGTGACGACCTTTTAGGACAGCTCGCATGTATTTCCTGGTTTCTTCACTGATATTGCTTTTTCCATCAGTAGTTAGAGTTGGCCAAAGTGGTCGCTTTGGGAACAGGAAACCCGAGTGCCGCCCCATGAGATAGAGAAACCAAAGGAATACACCAATGGCCCAAGATACATTGACCCAGGTTAGAATGATTTCTGGAATTGGTGGAGCATATATAGCATTCTGCAACACGTTTGTGTTAAACATCTCAACTAATGTGACCAAATAAGCATTGCCAATATTAACCATCAAGCAAAACAAAATCATAAAATTGAAGCTTGTGACCCGGAATGGGGGACTTTTGACCATTATTAAACAAAGAAGAGAGAGTAATGCTCCAATTCCACCACCCAAATGATCAATGAAACACACACCAATGACCAGTAAAACCAGGAAGACTTTTGCAATTACCCACGTCGGAGTGATATTGAAGACAATGTGTAGCAAGCGTGAGATACCCTTCCAGCAACACCACCTTGAGAACGACTTGAAAGCCTTAATAGGTGGACGAGCCAGGCCTGATGAAAATAACATGAACAAGACCAGGAAAAAGAATGATAAGATTGGTACATTGATGAGGAGTTTCTGCGTCAGGCTGAGTCGCACTGGATTGTTCTCACTAAAGTGAAGAAGGGTCGCAAAGTAAGACACCAGGCAGAAATGCAGTACCATCATGATTGGGCGGTAATAAATCCACAGTCGGCGGTACGATGAAAACAGATGGAACTGCCCCACTGCCCATAGAATGTCAAGACCTTGATTGTATTCAGCTTCTTTGAGCTGCAAATAGCCCTCATGTTTTTCTTGACTGTAACAAATCACCTGGCCTCGAATCTTTCTGATCATATTAATGGGATACGCCAAAAACAGGAGAATTCCAACAACAAGAGCAATTCCAACAAAAATCCAGTGTTCAAGGTTGCTAAAGCACTTCAAATTATTTTGCACGTTCCATACAGCGTCACTTCGGCAGTGGAAGACCCTTGCATAGGCCGTGCCAACTGGAAGACAGACTAGCTGGATAAAAATACTAAAAATCCGCTTCATTCTCGCCACGTGAAGTAGCAAGTACAACGGTTTTCTGTAGAGGAAAACCGCATACGTTATCAAAAATCCACAGCCGATAACAGCGATGCAAACTGTCCACAAAATCAGATATAAGCTGTAATCAATGCCGATGTCATCCGAAGCGATGAACGTGTCAAGATTTACGGGCCCCATGTAAGCTCCAGAGATCATCACTTTTACAAACTCCCAAACGTCTAGATTAAAAAGGAAAGTGAACGACGCATATCTCACAAAGTCTCTTGGCAAACCCCAGCGTTCGCCCATGGTTAGGATAAGCGCAAAGATCTGTATGTGTTGAATTACCATGATCACAGCATCAGAGACCCACAGTGTGATTCCATGATGAACGAAAACTTCTTCGCTTTCTTCGTCTTCTTCATCAAGATCTACAACAACTTTCTCGGATTTTTCGATCAATGGAAGCTGATCCACGTCTTTTCCCTTTAGATTCCTATCCAAGAGAGCCATTTTGAGCAAAACAGAGGTCTTTTTTGATGTTTTCCGCGAAAGAATGCCTTCTAAGAGATTTTAGAATGCATGACTTTCGTCATTAGTGTGCGTTACTATGGGTTTTATTTGGGTAAATTTACCAAATATGGTAGTAAATGACGTATTATCCTCGCTTTCATGGGCCAATTTTTACCCCCCTGTATCCCCCGCTATGTTTTAAAAATTGTCAACATCATGGCATTAAAATTTGCTGCCAATTTATCGTTTGCCTTTCAGGAGCATGAAAATTTTCTCCAGAGATATCAGGCGGCGAAAAATGCAGGTAGTGTTAATGGCTGCGTGAACTTAAAGAAGATAGATACTAGAAAAAAAGTTAAAGAGCGAAAAAGCTCGTTAAATTCTTGTGCAAGTTAAAATCCCTTCGTAAATGTGATGGAATTTAGATGTTAGCTTACCTCATCTCTTTAAAATAGTTTTTATTTTTCTCATCAACTCTGATGTCTTTGGGGGCAAAATTTAGCAGTAGTTAATCATAGTGTCTTAAATTTCATTTTCCTCTGTGCCAAACCATCATTATACATTTTTATCAAGGATAAAATCTGAACCATAGCATATATTATAAAGATTAATTTATATTATTTATATGTCACAGGTTTTAAAGGTGTGGAGTCAGGTTTTCCCCTGGACATCCCAATAGATGAATTGTGCATTGCTCGAGAGAGTGCACAAATAGAACATGTGCATATGAATGCTTTTGATGGTAAGTTCTGGGGCTGGACCTCCGCTGTAGGGGGAAGGTAGCTTGGACCCCGGAACCCTTAGTAAGCTGTAAGGGGACCTTTCCTAAAACAAAGACAGGGTTGAGCTGGACTATTGCTTTGGTGATAGGCCAACACAATTATTCATGAGTTACGCATCTCATTTTTCATAGCACAATTTTCTACTCTCCTCCCTCCTTAGTCCTATAATACAAGTTTTCAGCTTCATGAAAGTGTCTTTTTCCACCCAAAGGTAATTCTAAAGGACTAGCAGCAGTACCAGGTAGAGAAGAAGAATTCAAACAATGTTTAGAATTGTCTATAAAATATGCAGAAGCCCTTAAATGTACAAGGTAAATAATAATTATGATTTTGTTAAATCATTACTACTGACATACTGAAAAAAAAGCTCTGAAAAGGTTCGTAGATTTTATAAAATAGGATGTAAGCTAATTAGCTTACATATTATTTTATAAAATCTAAGAACCAGGCTAATTTAAAAAGAAAAAAACGTTTTATACACAGCTTTTTTTTCTGTATATCCGCTGAAAGGGTGTGAGGAATAAAGGCCTTAGGTGACCTCCGATGAACTGCCAAATTCTCCTTAACTTCCAGACACACTGTTAATGTTTTATGCTCATAGTCTTTAATTCAGTACTCTTGCATTTTAAGAAACATATACCGGTAGATATCCAATAATTTTCGTATAAGATAAGTCAGGTGATAGTCTCCCTCGGAGCCGTTTTTTTGATTTCACACAACGTTCCTCCGTGACATCCAAAAAATGGCTGCGAGGGAGACTAGTCTGGTGATGACCCTGAGCTACAAGGGGGCTATTCCTGAAATTTTTACCCTCTATCATTTTTTAGACTGCACGTGTTAGCTGGTGTGTTTACTGGTGGTATCACTAGCAAAGATAACAAGGTTGTGACACTGTGGGAGGAGACGTATATTAAGAACATGAAATATGCTGCACAAAGACTCCAAGAGGTAATGATAGTAAACACTGCCTGTTAGCTTATAAAAATCAGTGCTTCTGTGCACTAACAGTGCCTGCACAATGCAATTTTGCTGGGAAAACTAAGGCTTTTGGCAGATCAAGACTAAAACTCTAGGGTGCCTAGGGTTTTAGCATTGCAACGCTTTGTTATGTACCCCGTAATTCTTCTAAGAGCACCTGTAGTCTTGAGCATGGTTAACAGTTGCATTCATTATTCAGCTAATTTTTTTACAGTGGTACCTATAGTTCACAACTTTGAAATTCCGGGTTCCCAGTGGTCAGTTGAGTTGAGGCCTAAATTAACCCATTAATTTTATCACATTGTCTGGGAATGAAAACTTCCCTGTCAGCACTCCCATAAAAGTGATTGTATTTTTAATTTGTTTCAGTCTGGGATAACTCTTTTAGCAGAACCCATTAGCACTATTCCAGGATACTTTTTGACTAACACACAACAAGGTATAACTTATAACTGTTAATTTTTATTGACATTCTTTGAAATGGCAATGCTCTGTTGGTTTTCCTCTGCATTTTTTTTTATTATAACATATTCAAAAATTTGCTTAATTATCGTATTCTAATATTATTTTATTATTACCATAATTTCTCTCCCTACAAGATTGATAACAGTTCTTAGGGCAAAATATATAGAGAGGAGTAAAATAATTTAATGATCTATCATTAACACTATTTATTTGCTTATTTCAATATTACAACATAGCCGTGCATACAGTCGATAACTTAATATACACTGTATGTATTTAACTTTGCTTTGCTTTTGCTTTATAATTACCCTGCAATCAAATGTGGCCTCTGCTTGCAGGGTACTTTAACTTGTTCCCCTCAATAACTTTTTGGTGTCTCATGCGCAGGGCTGTCACTTAGCTTTCAAGTTGCCAGGTGAATGCAATTAGTAGGTGAGGAATTAACCCTTGAAGTCCCAATAGTGACCAACAACAATTTTCTCCTAACAATATTCATATGTTGCCAAGAGGAATGGTTATGAGAGTTAATAAAATGATCACTAAAGAGAAAATGCTTTGATCTGTTATCAAACTCTCTCAACTAATTCTTTACAGAAATGTATGAAGATCAGTATGGAGAATTTATATGTGGACATTTGGGCTTAAAGGGTTAAAAAGCAGGAATTTATGCTCATAGTACAGAGAAACCATGCCTTACGGCCACCTCCTTAATATGACAGCCACTTTTTTTTGGCCGCCTGGCGAAAACCACCATACATTTTCTTGTAAAAAAAAAACCCTCGTTAATACGACCAATTTTTTTGGCCCATTGTTGGTGACCGTATTAAAGGGAACCACTATAACTGGGAAAATCTCCCTTAGTGGCAGCGCTGCACGTGCAAGGTAACACTTCAATTTGACCTCATCGGGAAGGAAAAGTTGTTTTGACATTAAAAATTTCATTATTTTCATTTTCTCTATCACCAGCAATCAATTTCATAAAAAAGGTGGATCATAGTAACATGAAACTTCAGTTGGTAAGTTAAAAAACAAGGAACAAGAGCAATATTTTTCAGTTTACACGCTGTGCTTTATTCTCACAAATTTAATGGATATGACTTACATCAAGTTGAATTGATTTAAAGTTTGACTTGACTAAATTTATGGGCTCTTATGGCAAAATTTCAAAGAAATGTACACTTTGTTAAGTCAATAGTTTTTATGAGGTGTGGAGGTGAGCTGGACAGGGTTGTATTATATTATAACTCACCCAACCTGGTTTTCTTGAAGGTTTACTTGTTATTTTTTTTTTATATAGGACATGTTTCACCATCAACGGACAAGCGGAAACTTGACCCAAACCCTGATTGACTCTATGCCATATATTGGTAATGTTATTGTAGAAATATTACTATTTGCCTTTACACCACAACTGAAACTAAACATCTACTAGTTAAGTCCTTCTGTTAGCCAGTGCTGAAATCCTTGTTCTGGTCCCCAGCTGTGTACCAGGATTGAGTATGCACCATGGTTGGTTTGTCTCAAAAAAGTGTTGTTTGATTGGGCTACAAGGTTGGAGAACATTCTGAGGGGGACTTCTGGTAATTTGTCAAGTCCATTGTGAACCTAGAAAGAGGATCTTAGTGCTGCTTTACCGGCATTACTAACATGGGTTAGATAATGTCTGCAGGCTATTATTACTTTAAAAAAATTTACAGTTATTAAATTGTGCTGGATAATGATCACTGCTTTAATTTTTAAATTTTACTCTTAAAAAATGAAGTTCTTTTTTGGACCTTTAGAAACAGTCATGTTTAATTTGTTTTCTTTCAGGACATATTCAAATAAGCCAAGTCCCATCTCGTAATGAACCAGATTCTGATGGTGAAGTAAACTACCCCTACATATTCCATCAGATCGCAAAATTAGGCTACAAAGGTTGGATAGGCTGTGAATATCATCCAAGAGGTAAATTTCTCAGTTAATTTAAGATGAAATTTTAAGGGTACTTTTGTTATTATTGTAAGCTCTGTGGGTATATATGTACGTACTAAAATTAAAACTTTCTTTAAAAAAATCTACTAGAACCTCGTGCTGGTGGTTATATTAATTTTATTTTCCATCACTTTTTTTTCTTAAACAACAAATTACATGTATTCCTCACTGAGCAAGTTTATAATTTTGTCAAAATTTGCATCACGGGTGGAACCTGCGTGGATTGCACAGCAAGGCAGAAACACAAGTCGGCTTTATATTATAATATATCTTGACTTTCGGTTGGTAGTCTCAGTGACATCATTGATTGTGATGTTGAGTTGCATTAAGGTTTTCAAGCAACATGACTTCCACTGTGTGCACTATCATGTTTTATTCATGAAAGGCGGGCATGTTTATTCATTCTGTTGTTGAATAACAGGGAGTTGCTAAAACGTAATGCACTGCTTAATGAGAAAGATTTAACAATTCTCGTTCACATTTAGGACAAATGATCATTAGTTTGAGTTGTGGGTACCAGTCGGTATTTATCTTTCCTAGTTTTGTTTTTGTGATAATAAATTTCTTTTTGTTTTTTGTTTTCTTAGGACGGACACTAGATGGTTTAGGATGGCTGGCACCTTATCTTATTGATTAAGAAATTGTTCCAGTGCACCCTTGTGTGTCCTTATCTTATGCAAATCTCATCATCTGTCAAGTTGAAGAGTACACTGTCTGGACTGGCACAAAGTATCAATATTCAGCTATTGAGGATAAGTGAAACCTTCTGCAATAGTAGCTTACTGAAGGAAGGTTGAGAAAGATTTACAAATTTACAAAACTTTGAGTACACTAAAATCAGTGTACAACAATGATATATTTTAAAGTACCCGGGGTACCAGAGGTTTTTTCTCCTTTTCGCACGGTTCACTATAAAGACTTGAATGGAAACCTACAAATGAAAAGTCTCTGGCACCCCAGGTATGGATTGACCCCCATCTTTTAAAAACCAATCTAGCCTTGAATCTTATGCAGATTTAAAGAATATCAGGATAATACACTTTCAGGTCTAAAAAAGTTCACTTGGTTTTTATCCTGGGTGCATGCCAGTGCTACTGAGGGGGAGACCAAATTCTCCTTGGAACACCTGCCACATGCATGTAAGCTATCAAAAAGCTCTTGTAGTGTCAGTAAAAAAAAAAAATATATGTACACTACATAAATTAACAGTTGAAATTGGATATATTATGCCTACTTGGTATATGAAGCATGATTTATATTATAGAAAAGTCATATAAATAGCGTTCAAGTTTATTATAATAACTGGGGATGAGTTCATGGCCATGTTAATTTTATTTTATTCACGTCTAAATGGCAGAAGATTTGTCTCATCCAAAAATGAGAATTATTTATTATAAACCCCTAAATAGCCTACATCATCGGTGGATACCCTGTATATGAGACCATTTGAGGCTTAGGAGGAAAAATGTAGGTGCTTTTAATATAATGCTGGATTTTTACTGTCGTGTACGTTTTAGGAAGGTATCTGTGTCATAGACTTGTTAGCCTGCATCACAGACATCATTTAACGGCAGGTTAGTAACGTCTGCTGCGCAGCACCGACATTGATCTTTGTTCTGTACCCCCAATGGACTCAACAAATTACCGGAAGTGCATTTCGAGTTTCCTGTCATCCTGATTGGCAAATCCACCATAGCTCTTTTAACAGGCCAATCATGACATGTACTTAAATCCTGGTACACAGTTGAAGGCCCAGAACAAAGATTTTGGCACGGTTTCACAGATGGACTTACCAGAGTTAAGTTTTGTCTGTGGCCCAGGCTATAGAGTTGTCTGCAAAGAAAGAGTTGACCAAATGAATAGAAAATAATATTATCTGGATGACACTGCATCTGTAGGGTATTATGGTCAAGTCTAAATTAGGCAGTGCATCACTGAAAAGTTTTGCACATCAGTACCTTTAGGTACAGTTATATTGTTATTGTAGTTATATCCCAAGGGGTTACTCTCGATTTTAAGTGACAGGGATGATAGAGGGATTTTTTTGGGTTTGCAATTTTCGATTCAGGGATTTTTTGGGGATGGAAAATTTGGCAAGTATTTTATTAGGTGGCTTGAATTAAGTAGGGGTTTTTGAGGGTTTTCATTTAACAATCTGAACATTCCTGATGGTGCCCACATATCCTGTCCGCGTAGTTCTGCAAATAAAGTACAACCAAGTAAAGTACACGGTGTAGGTGTTAATTATTTATGCTTCCTGGAAATTTTTACGGCTCGGAAATTCGCCATGGGGTTTTTTGTGGTTAATTTTTGGTCCAGGGATTTTTTTCGGTTCTGTTGGAAGCCCTAGGGTGTTTTTGGGGTTTCGATTTTTGTCCCGATTTGATCATCCCTGTCACTTGAAATCCAGAGTACCCCCGGCGTTATATCGTTTTTGTTTGTATAATATTTTTCAATTTACCAAAATCTGTGAATTTACTAATTATTATAGGTGACTACCAAAAACTTATGAACAAAGTTGATCAATAATGGGTTGTTTTTATCTTTCAATTTACCAAAATCTTTGAATTGAAATTATAGCTGACCAAACAATTATGAACTAAGTGCATCAATAATGTGAAAAAAAAGTCACAAAATGTAAAGAAGTACACGAATTTTTGTTGCAGCTGTACTTGTTCAATGCAAGGAAAATTTCAGATACAATGGCTTAAGGACTATCTATTATTAAGTTATCCCGTTAAAGCGTAAAATATTATGTTTATTTAAGAAATAAATAATGTCTTCAGAGCAGATGTGTTTAATAACAGGCTTTCACTGTCAAGCCTTGTTTAAAAGCTAAAAACTGTACAAAATCTTATTTCTGGGCTGTTTCAAGTATGATAATTCCTATAATAAGGAATATTGTTTGTCTCACAATGTTCCAGATTTTAATCAAAATTAACACTAAGTAATAATACAATCTACATATTATGCCTGTCACGATAAAAATTACAGCAACATTTCCATAATAAAGTTACGCATTATAATTTTTGCATGTATGCTAAAGATGTTTAAGTCATTAAGGCGCATTTAACATCTGAGACTTCAGAGTCGACTGGTGTAAAAAGAGATTTTTCTAAAAAAAGGCAAAGTACTGACTCTTCCCAGTCATTTCTGGATGAGTTGGACATAAATGCATCCCAGTCTGCTAGACGCATTTAATGTCTGAGACTTAAAAGTCGTTGTTAAGTGCGTCTGAACGATGCACTAAGAAGAAGTGAAAGTTGTCAGATGTTAAATGCATCTGTCTTACTTACCGTTTTTTAACTATACATTAAAGTTGTCTTAGGGCGGCTTTAACGTCTCAGACGAGTTTAATGTCTCTAGCGTAAAAGTAGCCATAAGCAAAATAGCAGCAAATAATCATGACAGATGCAAAGCTTTCTATCGTGATTATAATAAAATGGTTTTAAATTTGACTGTAATATTATATGAATGAGCCAAAACAAGAGTAATAAAGAAAGGGAGCTCTAGCTGCCACATTCTTTTTAGCAGTGAAAATTTCACCACCGACAGTAAATTTACATTCTTAAATAACTGCATGCCCATTGAAATATGCCAAGGTTTTCTGGGGTTAAATTTTTAGGAACTACATCAAAGTTCAGAACTTGGAGAAAGAAAAAATGTTTTGGTGTGTGTTCAAGTTCTCCACAACAGTTTGCTAAGGAGATTTCATGTAAAGCTATGAAGAGGACAGCAAATAAATGTATCAACAATGATGGACAAGAAGAGTAGTGATGTTTTAATTAAATGCATTATTTTCCTGCCATGGCCATCACAGTTCTTTAAACTCACTAAACATGTCACTCAAAAAAGACCATCTAACCATTTTAAACCCTGCTTCTGTCAGTGGAATTGACCACGTAAGAGTATTACCACCTCCCTCGGCCAGAATACAGGTTCATCTTAGGGTTATTCACAGCACCACAACAATACTTTGCCAGTACCTAATAGTTCATGTCTGGATAGAGAGAGGTGGTGTTGTGCAAAGTTTGTTGTCTACAAAAACAATGCCAGGAATGGTCAAGGCTCTTATGATCTGAAATTTTACATTGCACTAATCAACATCACTCAAAAAACACACACGGTGGCAGATGGTAATTTTGTAGACTGCAAAACAGTCCGTATTTTTCTCTCGCCTCAAGGCTCGCGCACTTCGCGCATGTAAGACTCTTTCTCCATGCTTTACTGATTTCTTTACTGATTTTGAGAAAAAACCCGACTGTTTTGCAGTCTAGTAATTTTGGGACTTTTCAAGTTTGAGAACTTTTTTTTTTTGACACACCAATTCTCAAAAATGTCCTTCCAGACAGCTTAATTAGGGTACAAACAACTCTTCAACACACAGGAAACCTATGAAATGATGAGCCACTAACTGAACTGAATATTGCCTGAAAAATCTTTTGGTACTTGTATTTTACAAAGATCAATTTTCACCCAAGCCTGCAAATGTACATGAATGAGCTGGTATCAGTCCCTCAAACATTAAACAGTGCATACTGTAGTTAGGAGGAGACTCTTCTCACTGCCATGCCTGTCGGAGCATTTTAATTGACGCTAGTCTCTGAGAGACAATAGTCACAAGGACTAAGATTCCAAGTGTGCCAAGAATGAACCAGTAATCAAAATCGTCTTTGAGTACGTCAAACATCTTAGATGGTGTGACCCTGGTCCAGTACAGATCCAACCCATGTGCAAATACTAGACATGTTGATTCCAGGCCTGATCCCGCAGTGTAGATACCATCAATGTTGGCAACTGACAGTAAGAAGTAATAGAACAACAATACACATTATTCAGATATTCAATATATGGTTGAGAAAAAAAAAGTAATCCCACATTCTGATCTAAATAGGGTCAAAAGTCCTTTAACAGGCAAGTTGTACATCACTTGTAAAACTTCTTAATACTCCCACCTCCTGCAGTATGTACATGTGGGGAAATTAATGGATGTACAAAAAATGTGCAACTTTAATGTTTTGCGTACCAGTTTGGTTGTAGTTAATGAATGCCAAGGGATTTAGCATCAGTTCCGGAATATATGGATGGAGTCCTTCTTCACGGTCTTCTGCTGTCGACACAAATTTTCTGCGTGGGTCCAGGTAGTTTTTAGGCAGACTGAGAATGTAACCAGTTTGTAAACCGAACAGCAGGTTCTTGTGGGTAATGCCTCTTTCTGTTATGGTGACTGACGCAGTACGGATAGTCGTGGGAAAGATGTAGGACTGTTGTAAGACTAAAGGCATGGGTGGAGGCTCAAATGATGACAAGGCAGAGCTGAAATGAGGATGACAATAGTTGATAGTAGTTGGGATGTTATCTGATTACTAAATTTTCTCAGGTAGGTATTAGGACAGTGTTCCAGATAACAGACGGGTCTCGGGTCAATGACAAAGAAGGCTTCGATCCTGACCCGACAGATCACATATAAGTGTTAAAGTAAAAAAACAAAAATAGCACGTGGTCTTTGCAATGCCTCAGATGGTCTACAAGACCCCCCGCTTGAAAGAATTAACTGGAACACTGTATTAGGAGCTTTACAGCTCCCTCTTTTATTAAAAGTGAAAGTTGACTGCACCAGTCTTTTTAAAGCAATGTCCTACACAGCAGTAGTTAAGGGGATATGGGTGGGGGGAGGGAGTGTTATGAGCAGTCTTAGATGTTGTAGGTGGTCTGGCTGGACCACCTGCTTGATCAGCTCATCCAACGGAGCTAAACAGACAGCAGTTATAACCTTTTTTAAGGGAAAATGAGGAAAAGAACATGGGCTAGGAACATTCAGGATTTAACACTGCTTGTAATAGGACATCTTTTGGATTGTAAGAAGACAAAATGGGGAGCAGGGGTGGCTTATAATGACAGCACTTGCCTCCGACCATCAGGCTGGGGTTCCAATTTATCCCGGCACCAACACTTGCTACATGTAATCCAAATTCAACCAGAAATCAGGTAGACAAAGAACCATTAAGTGGATGTGCCAGCTCTGAATCATTATTGAATTATTAGAATGGCTGCTGTGTAAATTATGTGAGTATATCACCAAAATTGTACCTGTTTCTTTCTGTGTAACCATCATACAGTTCTAATACTGTGAGTTCATATCGGCGAGACTTGGTGTTGTACAAACAGTAAACAAGCCAGTTTTCAGAGTGCACCATGTGAAAAGGTCCTTTGGCATTCTTATGGCGTGTATGGAATATGACCAGCCCTGATAAAAATAATAGTAATAATAATAATAGAAGATCAGCAAGCTTATTCTTCACAACGTTGTTTTCAATAAATTTCTTTAAAAAATACTGATAAGGAAAATTTGCTCAAAAATTAAGATATATCTTCTTTTTCTTTTTAAAATTTTTCTTTCACTGTTAAGACCCTCACTGTTTGGATTAAAAAGTGGTATTGTTTGCATCTAGGCACAGCCACATCACAAAATAATAATCTGGTTTCAAACATCAAGTTTTTGTGAAAGTTAAAGTTTGATAGGCAGGCACGTAGGTATGCAAAGTTTTCCGAATCAACCTACATTGTAGCCCCTTTCCCAAACCATCTTCCTGCTTAAAATGGCCTGTTTATACAAAGTACGTGAGCCAGCTCAGTTAGTTCCGCTGGCCCTCTTTACTGCACTGGCTTGAGCAACAGGGATCTCGGCAAGTGGGCCAGCCTGCCTTCTCATATAAACACAATGACAATTTTAAGAGGAAACAATGCATGAGCCAAGCCAGCCCGGCTAACTGGGCTGGCTCACCTCATATAAACATTTCCTTTAGTCAACCATGTTGTACTGAAAGTTACTGTTTAGGGCAGCACTCCCTCATCAGTAGGTGAGGATACCTTTTTAATACTGATAAAAAAAAAACAAACCTGTCACTGCATCGATGAGGTAGATTGATATGCCAGGTTTTGTATCAGGGGTTACTTCAGTTGCCACAGCTACCAGGTTTGGGTTCAAGTATTTGTAAAGAACTCTTCTATCTCCAAGAACTTTTCCTTGTGAATGTACATGTTCCAGTGGGTTCTTAGTTGCTAAAAAATAACAGTAACTTGTAAGATACATCAGAGAAGAAGTAGACTATGGATGCACTTTTCCTTATTAAGAATAATATTAAATGAATTATATGAATTTTTATTGTGAATGTAATAATTCATGGCACAGGGCCCTATCATGCAGGTGTGATGAGGTTCTTGTGCAACTTAAAGTATTGGGAGAAGGGTTGGGTTTCATGCTACAGGACCTTTAGTCACACATCATCCTTTGCTGTTGTTTGTTGGAAGTGAGGTTACAGCAATCAATCCAGCATTAACTTCTCTGCCGGTAGGTGGGTAGTAACTGAGTTTCAACCCCTTCAATGTCATTCAAGGTTCAATGTTATCAAATGAATGAGAGAAGAAATTTTACAGGTGGCTCCACGACTGGGCAAACTGTGGTGAATCCTAAGTTTTTGTCTCGATCCATAAAAATGCATACACTGTAAGTTTTATCCAGCCATCTTGACCTCATGCTTGGTAGATAACTCCTACATGTGTACGTATTTGAAAACTTGCTAACTGGTTGCCCTGTTATTACCTATGTTACTGATGATCTGTGATGTGCGAGGAATGTTCACATTCCACATCTCCCTGACATGAAATCCACTTTTCCCAGCATCAGACAATAGCATGTAACCTCTTATGTCACCCTTCTCTTTATCGGCCAGGAAAAAGAAAATTGATGAGGCTGCCTTGGATACAATTTCTTTTGCTTCAGAGGTGCGAGGAAATACATGAACATTCAGGGATGAATCAAGAAGAAGAAGCAGCTTTGTGTGCTTGGCATCTGTAAATTAATGTAATTGGATACATGGTTCACCAAAGCAATATCAGAACACATTAATTAACAACAAATGAAAGAAATTATTTTTATTCACCATCAGAATATTATTGCTATTTTGTGGGATTATCAAGTAGTTAAATTTTTAGTTGAGATCTGGTCAGCTTTTTTCAAGTAGTCTGTAGCCAACATATTTAACTCATAATTTACTCCTTTCTCTTTCAGAGTGAAAGATAGAGTCTTTTAAAGTTGGTTCTTGCTTTTGAGTTTGTGGACAAAACCCTGCAGTGTTAAACCATTCACATGAAACCTTCTTGGAGGCACTTTCTTGTGGTACCATTTTTCAGCCTCTTAGAAGACGAAATTTCCTAATTACATCTAATTTTGACTTCGGCCACTCCTTGAAGTAAAAAGGAAAAGGCAACTTGTCAAGTGATGAAAGGTATTCCTTCAGACCATGTTACAAAACCTGTCTCCAGTAAAATTCAAAACTGATCCCTAAATTGGAACCCACTTCTAAGATTTCAATTTTCATTTCAAAATGCTACAAAATTTTAAACACCACCATATTTGGGCTTTGCACAATAATTTCAGCAATATGGAGAATCCCTCCCCTTCCCCACCCCTGGACAAAAGGAGACTACACTTACCAGTATGGGGTAAAAGCATGGACTGTATCACTCTGTATGGCAACTGATTTCCTTTTGGATGGCCAGGTCCAATGGGTTTTCCGGTTATCGGGTTGAAGACATGCAATAATGATCCATCAGCTGATCGTGATCTTCCCAGTACAACACACTGAGCTGTCAAGGGAAAGTGAGCGACAGTTCGTTGAGTATAAAGTAATGAGTACTGCTTGTTGTTCTGCGTAAAAGGAGCAAGATCAGGAAGGAAATATTTCCATATTATGCTTCCATCCGCAGAATCCAGACCAAAGAGTTTTCCAGATGATGTAACAATCAAAATCATTTTTCGCAAATTGAACTGGTCTCTGGTCAGTTGTTCTTCTGTATCTTCTGCTGACTCAGCAAAGATCCCATGTTCTTGTTGGGCCTTGAGGAAGGCTTGAAATTGCTTGATGAGAACTTGGAACTGTTTCACCTGGGCACGGATGCGGCGGATGAACATGGACAGAACATCATCTGTATAACAACACAATACTGTTAAAAATAGTTAATGCCCAGTGAAGTCTCTGTTTTAAGCTCCACGTCCATGGAAACAGAGTAAAGCATCCTAAAACTCAAGGTACAGAGACACTTTACTGGTTCAACCCTTCAGAAATGATTTCTTTTCTCACCAGATGGACTGACTTATTGTTGAACTTTGCTGTTGTGAAGAATAGCTCATTAATCCAATCAGAATTGAATTCTTGGATCAAAGAGTGCTTTGAATTTTCAAAATTTCAACTGAAGAATGTCATATTGACACCAATAATGAATTCAACATTAACATAATGAAGTTCAAATGTTTTTCTTCATAAGAAAGCTTAACCAGGTTTAACTGTACATTCATTATGCAAATTTAGTAGTGGACAAAACCTTTTTTGGGCTGATCATACTTTCCTCATAAAAATTTATTTAGGCGAGGTAGGGGGTTGCTGGGTAACAAGCTTGGTTACTTTAAAGAAGTTTGTTTATCTTCCTTGATTAAAACAAATTATCTTGACCTACTGTGTGCATGATGATAGGTAGCTTAAGCAACTAAGACAGCGATGGCTACGAAAACGTCACTTCAAAAGTGAATTTGCACTGCCTCAAACTTTATCGCGCTTATTCCATCTCGTACAATTTGTCAAATGTTGGCAAATTTTTCTGGAGTTGAATTGAGAAAAAAAAAGGTTTTAAGGTTTGTTTACAGGCACTCCACTCAAATACTTAGAAACAAATAAAATAATTAAATACAACATAACAGGATTAAAGGACTGTGTCAAAGTACAGGGAAAGAAAAAGAAAGTCGTTGTCTTCTGTGCATGTCTTCTTCAAGGCGTGAAATTAGGCATTTACACGTCATAGTCGTGCAGTGACGGCAAAGAAAATGCACAAAAAAGCGTGATACACCTACAAAGTTGTTGTTTTGCTAATCCAACCCTATTGCCTTTTTGCCATTCTCATTGTTGTCGCCGTCATCGTTGCCTAAGCTCCTTAATGTAAAAATACTATTGTGAGGAGAATTTACAGAGTGATCTCTTACCATTAGGATGAACCCCGAATTCTTCCTGAAGGGTTTCAAAATTTTGCTGTGAAGGAGAAAATGGCAGCTCAACTACATCTACAGCTGTTATGTCTGCTAATGCTTCTTCCCGTGACCACATAATCCGTCCTGGAAATTGAATCAGGGACACAGCATGATCTGTTGTAGCTAATAAGACTCTGTAACCAAGTTCATTCTCTTTCTTACTGAATAAATAGACAACTGCATTTTCTGGTTCGCCATGATCTGCTAGGACAACTTTTTGTGTCATGTCTGGGAAAATTTTCCTGGTGTCCAAGTCAAAACATTGAAGCTCTACATTTGATGAATCAGGAACTGATGTTATAGATACTAAAACAGCCTTGCTGCCAAGCACAGAGGCACTCACTATGGTCGGATCGGAAAATTTTGTTACCAGTGTTATGCTGCGATCAGTGTTCAAGTCCAAGATAAGTTGATGACTTTTTGAGAGCTTTAAAAGAAACTCTGAACGGCCATCCCAGGAGTTTGAATAGGAGCCTAGCAATTCTAATGAGGGTTTGGTATTAGAGAGCTCATCAACCCCCAACCCTAACGATACCAGAGATATAGTTTTTACTGGAGCTGACTCATCAAAGAGGGAAATCACATGAACACTGTTACTGAACGTCTCTGCACAAACCAGATTCGACTTCTTTACAAAAACACAGCTTGCGCCATTGCTGACCCAAGGAGCTCCTACGGTTCTTTCTCCTTTAACTTTTCCACTCTCTACATCTACCTTCTGAATAATGACGTTAATGTCATTTTGTACTCCTACAAGATGTAATAGTCCATTTGCATATTGAAAACTGAAGTACTCCGCGGATCGATCACTGAGGTCTAAAGCCCACCTTTCTGAGCCATCTTGAAGTGTAAACCCTTTCAGAATGTTATGAGATAATGAAACCACAAGCTCATTGCCTCTGACATCGACCAGAGCAACATGCTGCCCGTTCCATCCGCTAAAAGGTGAATTACTTCTTTCTTTGCCAGGCGAAGAAGTTGTTTTACCCACCGACTCCCACAAAAGAGCTCCATTACTTGCATCCCAAGATCGGATAAATTTCCCTGAACTTGATGAGCTTACCAGTGTGTTATCGCGATAAAGGAGCGTTTCTAGCTTTCCTTCTTTCTCTTCCAACACTTGACGCCAAATAATACTCCCGGTTCTAGAATTTAGAGCTGCAATCACGTTAGATTCTGTGCCGACATACAGTCGCTTGCTACTGTGCGTGGAAACATCAAAAAACGAAAATTTCACTTTCCCTAGATAGCTAAGGCGCCAATCGAAGAGTCCAACTTGATCTTGATAGAGTCCTAAGCATAGTGTCCAGTTTAACAGAAAAAGAATAAAGCACATGCAGCAATTTACAGCCGCCATCTTGAAAAGCACCTGCAAAAGGCGCGGACACACGGCCAGCGCGGTCGCATAGCAATTGTGCGTGGCTACTTAGTCTTTAGGCCTGGCTACAAAGAACATGGTGGTAGAAGTCAAAATGGCGCGTGGTTTGAAGTTAACGCGAATTTAAATGTTGCTGGAGTTTTGCGACATATGTAGGTGATTTGAAGATAATTATTAGGCAGTAAAAGGATATGGTGCCTTCAAATTTCACTGAGTCTCTGCGCACGGAAGTTTCTAAAGTAAAATGGTTTACCGATGGGGTAAGTACTTTTGTATTATAAGCTTATCATCTTTCGCGTACACGGATCTCTTTCAGAGTAGACGAGATTTTGAGATCGTGACGCATTAAGATCCACACAAGTGCAAAGATGTCTAGGAGTGTGGATTTCATATTTGTTTTTTCTTTATTTTAATCTGTGCAATAGGCAGTGTTGACTGAAATCATCTTCTCCCACCCCCTCTCCCATGCAACTGTCCGCTATCCTCTTTCACTTTCACTTCTCCCCCACCCCCACCCCCACCCCCCCACTTCTTTACACACTAAAATGAGGCCTCTCCTGATTGACCGCCACCAAAAATTCTCTCCTTACATGAGAAGTGACCTACATCTATTAACTTCTTGTGCAGTACATAGTGTGGACTGAAATCTTTCACTCCCACCCCACCCCCTCCTTGGCAACCTGTGATTGAGAGAATATTATTGAGTATTTCCCTAATATTACCGTATTTACTCGAATAATTAAGCGCTGGGTGGCGCGGCTTTTATTTGAAAGCTGGACATGGCAAAGAATTGTATTAGCTATATTATTTTCAGACTGACAGAATTAACTTTTTTTTTGATTTGGATTATGTCAACATCGTAGCGCTTATTCAGGGATGGCGCTTATTAAATTTTTTCCCTCAAATCACTCACTGCCCCCTTATTTTGGTGCTTATACGAAAGGAGGGCTTAACCAGGGGAGGTGCTTATTCGAGTAAATACAGTAACTTTAGAGACTGGCAAATGTTATCAAGTGTTAAATCTTTATTTCTTGACTGCTTCAGGAATTCCGATGGAGAACAATTGCAGCTGTAGCATGGATGATGATTTTACTTCCAGTTACACTATTTGTATTTTCAGTAGCAGCTTCAGTTGACTTCTTTCACCCAATTATCTGGATCACTGGTATTCACCTATTGTACATAGAACTTCTTTATGACCACCTAGCTAGTGTATCTAGTTTGTTTGGATAAAATTAATGTTAAGGTACGCCAACAAAGAAATAACACTTGAACTTAATTGCAGTGATCGAAGAAAGTGCCGACTGAGAGGGCACTTAGCATGATATATAAGATACAGTGCTAAAAGAGGAAATACCACGTGGGGTAAACTACAGTGATCTGCAGGCTCACATGTTAATGCTTGCCAACATTGAGTTTAATTTTATGCTAAAATATCATCAAAACCTTAGTCATTCTCTTAACTCTTTTACTGCCAGAGTTTAGAGTTATGCAGCATATTTCTAACTTTTAAGGTACCTATCATGTCCAGTTAGTTCAGTTGGTAAGGGACCAGAATGTTGATCAGGAGCAGCGTGCAAAGAAAGTAGTGTCTGATAGCCCGGGGTTGGTGGGTTTTGCTATCGCGCTAGTGAATTCTGTTATTAACTTGCCCGATGGGCAAGTTAATGGGCAAGTGAAGTTTTTTGAGGAACCCAAATTACAGAGGAACTGTCCAATCTGTTCAAAAGTTTTTTGGGGCAGTTGAAATGATGTTTGGGCCAGAAATGTTGATCAGGAGGATGTGAGCTCAAGCCTGGCCAGACCACCAACCAGACTTTTTAGGTCACAGGGGCAAAGCTGGGTTTTTCCAAAGAGGGTTGGGGGGTCACATTTTCATGCCAACATCCATGCTGCATTAATGCTTAAAAACTAAGGCAGTTTTTCAGATAAGCAGTGAGAGTGGACCATTGGAAATCAAATTTTGATCTGTAACAGCCACATCCTTGGGTCATGATGGCTATGTTTAGAGTTAGACCTTGACTTAGTTCAAAATAATGATATTGTGATTTTTTGCAAAGGTATAAAACCCTGGCCTTGCCTTTTACATATCTTTACTGCCTTTTCAATAAGAAAAGGATATTAAAAATAACCCTTGGCATTATTCCAATAGGGTCTGAGATCTACAGTGAAGACCCTGTCTTGTGGTCTACCTCTTAAAAATAAAACTACCACATACATTTTTTTTACAGGTACTATACAAACCTAAGTTTCTTTGTCTTTAATGGAGCCTTTATTTTTGCCTACAGATTCCATAACAGTGGTTTTCACTTTCTCTTTTTGGCTGTCTGTTTGTATTTATGGTGCTGTTAACGTAATAATGCTGTTGTCTTTTGCTAAATTCAACACAGGTATGTGTATTATGACTCGAAAATTTAGCTTTACCTAGGGACCATTTCTATACCCTTGTATTAAAAAATTTAGCCTACTACCAAAGCATTTTGCAACAAATGCAGACTTGCAGACTGTCAGATTTAACAAGTTTTGAAAATGCTCTAAATTCTGCAATCTACACTTGTCGCACAGCACTATAAAATGGATATGTTGCTCAGTTTAGTCTTATCCTTGGTTTATTATCATTCTTATTTGGTTTTCTGCATAGTAATCTACATGAAATAATAATGATAGTAATGGGGGTGATTTAGAAGTAGCACATCCACAAAGAAGGTGGCTCTTCGTGTACCATTCCTGGTCAAATTGGAATTTGAAAATGTTAGTTTATGTGGAGAGGGGAAAACCAGAGTACCCAGAGAAAAACCTCTCAGAGCAAGGGAGAACTCAACCCACATATAATGTCGACGCTGGGATTTGAACGTGGGCCATACTGGTCGGAGACGAGTGCTCTCACCCCTGCACTACTTTGCTCCTGAACATGTATGAATATGAGGAAAACCAAAAAAAAGAAACATTTATTAAAAAAATTGAACAACAACAATGTGCACACCTATGTTTAATTTCTCAATTTATAATTTTTTTTGGTGTTGATTATTCTCCTCAATAATGTTTCCAGTGAAAGATGTTATTCATCCATCCCGTGTTGCAGCCATCTTGTTTCCTCTTCATCCTGCTCGAATGCTTCACATTTTGTTCTTTACATTGGGAGGAAGTCTTTCAGCCTGGTGGTTTTTAGGAATCAGGAATGAAGAAGATGGCTATTTTACAAAAGTTAGCGAAAAGTATGTGGATTGAGCCATGTTTGAACAAAAAATATTGCTGAAGTTCTTGAATTACTAGATTGTCTTGACTGTGTTGCATGCCTCTCTTGTGTAGGTTTGGTTTTCAATAATTTTTCAAGCAAATTCCCTGAATAAATTTGAAAAACAGTTTGCCAAGTTGTTTTGAGATTATTATTTTCACCATTTTTGACTGACATTTTTCTCACAACATCCCGTCCATAGAGAATATGCTTGTATTTAGTCTTTGATGGTGGTTTTCATACCATAACTGAAGATTGAATTGGACTATGTTGGATTTTGTGCCATTTTTTTCCCTATGGCTCAAGGTTTCCAGGAATTTTTAACGTGACCCTCATTAGGTAATTTAAAAAACATAACCTAGTGGTTTTTTTTCTTATAATTATTCTTTATTTATGCTAGAGAAAGTCAAATTTTGTTTTATTTGTAACAGAGTGGTTACAAAAACAACTTTTGAATGAAGTGTGTTCCGTTTATGGTTATGTTTAAGGTGTAAACTACTTTGAATCAACTTTGTTGGTATTGTATTTCTGAAAAAAAAAAGTGCTAAAGGGAATTTAAGTCTAGCAGCTATCAATCAGCAACAAAATTGTTGAGACATTTTACTCAGTTAGGGTAACTTCAGAGAACAAAATAATCCACACCCCTCCCCCCTCCCCTCCATTCAAAGTTGGGGTGTTTGTGTTTTCTACAGGTGGCTCGAACAGCAGCACAACATTGTATGGAGGGGTGGGGGAGGGAAAGCTATATTTTACCCTTTTGAAGTCGGTAAAACTTCAGAAAGGCCCATTAGGGCAAAGTTTCTCAACTAATTTTCTATGCCGATTGTACAGTGTTGTTTTAATTATCACTTTTGTATTTCATTGTATGTATGCCCTGTTATTTGTGTCTGTAGGTCAGAGGTATTTTGCCTGAATGAACATCTTGTGTTTGATGTTCTCTTTGGCGCGTGGCTGGTAAGCAGTGATTGAGAAGATTTCTATAAAAGATTAAGTTTGCCCTCCCTAATGCCTGTGCATCCTACTCTACTGTAGTTACTGCCTGGTTAGCTGAGGTGGGAGAGCTCCAGTCTGCTGAGTTGGTAGCCATGGGCTCAAACCCCGCCCGGACCATCAACCAGGTTCTTAAAAAAACTGGTAAAATCTAAAATCATGCTGGCTTTGATTTACGATTTTGTCTCAGTTCAGATGATCACATGATTGGGTGGTGATATTAAGCCGTTTGACTTGTACCCTTCATCCTATCTTATCAATAATTTGGAAGGGGATGTATTAAAGCTAAAGCGCCACTTGCACATCTCCCATAACAACCTAGTCATTTGCCCCCTAAAATTTTGCATAACCTTTGTTTTTTCAATTCCCCTGGGTATTACAGCCATCCCAAGAGAAATTGAAAACAATGCTTATGCAAAATTTTGGGGGCAAGTAAGGTGCATATGGGAAGATGCCAAGTGGCATATAAAAGCTTGTTAAACAAAGAGAGGATTGGACATTGGCATCACTTGCACCCTTATAGCTTATTCCTTGTACCTGCTGAATAGGCCATTTGTGATTTCCAAAAACCCTCACTTTCAAAAGCAGGCTAAGTGCAAAACTTTTCCAGTAAAAATTACTTTATTTGCTTTAGCCTGTGAAAACATCCGTTTCTCCTCGCTCTTCGCCGCCGGGGACGTTTGCGCGAGGAGGAACGTCTGCAACTCGGCAGCAGAAATTCCATACTGATGACGCAAACCAATGCTTACATAATAAATCCAGTAGTCATGGGGTTCCAAATACAAATTTGTCCAATTTTACGTGTCTTCTGGTCAATTTTGGTAAAGTGTTGTGTTCACCTGCCAATGAGCTCCAGTAAAACTCAAATGGGTCTTCTAGAGGAGACTATATTCCACAAATATTGACTATTTTTGTTAGGGATTCTTTGCATTTACATTTGACCTTTGTGGCCTTTTGTCTTTTGTCTGTCATTCGTAAACAATAGCTAAAACAATGTAACTACTCCGTCAACCAATTAGCGCTTCTGACTGGATTCCGGACAGATTTTTCGTCATCAGAAAATTTCTTTCGCTTGCATGAGAACAAAAAAATCATTTTCATATCAATAGCTTCTTTAACCCTTTAAGCCCCAATATCCACAGACAAATTCTCCAAACTCATCTCTATACATTTCCATAAAGAATGAGTTGAGAGAATTTGATAAAAGATCAAAGCATTGTCTCTTAGGTGATCATTTTATTAGTTCTCATAACCTAGTCTCTTGACAATGTATGGATATCAGTGGGAGAAAATTGATGTTGGTCACTATTGGGACTTAAATGGTTAATTAGTCTTGTTTTGAAACAGAGACTTGGGGCAACTCCCAAATGACCCATAGCTATTGAATGAACTGAGGTATCATGCATTCTGTTTTTTTCAGGGTTTTTATTCCAGTCTAAATTACTTCATGAAAAAAGAATTTCATGTTGTATTTCCAAGAGTTCAGGTACGTTTAAGCTTTAATGGTCATTCAACACTGTCTTTTTCTACCTTGCATCGTGAAAATATTTTTTATTAATGTAATAAATAATGTTTTCTTGTGCCTTTGTTTTGTAATAGCAACAGAAGTTTTTCCTGATTAAGATGTCAGTCAGTTCATGTGTAAAGCAGAGTATCTTTTCCTGCTTGAAGGTGTGGTCCAAAACCTCTCTATGTTCTCTGTAAATATTTTCCCCACTTGAAAAACCAACCCTTCTGATTTATTCCTAAATTAACTGCTATCGCAAGAGTTGATCTAAAGTTGCATGCTAATATCATGTTATTCTTAGCTTATATTTAGAATATAACAGAATTTAGAGACCCTCTGCAGCAAAACCTGTTCAGAGTGCTGGAGACCATTTGTGTTTGAAGATGCATGTGTCATATTTTGTAGTTTGGTACTAGAACTTTTACTGATTTTGATTCTTTTTTGTATTTTTTTTTACATTCTTCATGTGTCCAATTTCAGGCAGGCAGGTGGTTTTACATATTGTATTATTTATTCGGTAAGTTTCTAAAGAGTCTGGTTTGTCACCTGTTGAATTCTTTTCTGTTATATAAGCGTCCTTATAAAACCTTAATTTTTTTAAAAAAATGCTTAATTCATTTAATCATAGGCAACATTCCTAGGGATTCCTTGGCCAGTTTCCTTGGAACATCTCTGGACAGGTAACACTGCTTTTCTTGCAATTTTGTAGAGGTTTTAGGCCAGGGTTGGTTTATAGCTTCAAGATGTCAGGATGTAATATATCAAACATGAGACTCACCAGATGAAACACCGAGAAGAGAGTTGAAAATATGATGCGCGGTGGAGTATTTTAGATGAACTTCAAGGTGTGTCATCTGGTGATTAAACACTTGGGTTGGTTTATAAACAAAAATTTTAGAAGGAGAAATTAAGGATCCAAAATGAGCAAATTTTCATCTGATTTCCAAACTCAACAAACCAAAAGTCAACCTCAACATTTTATTTCCCAAAAGACATACCTTGCATTTTTTTTATTGTAGATTTTGTTGATGAGCAAATCAACAAACCAAAGTCAACTTCAATGTTTTATCTCCCAAGAAGTCTTTGCCTTTTATTTTTTAAAGAGTTTTTTTTTCAACATTTCAGAGATGCTCCACCACTCAACACAGTCTCTGGCCTTCTGGATCTTTCCCTGTTTTGGCTTCTCCTGGTAACAGGATCACTGATATTATTTGTCTGGACATTTGGAAATAAACTTCTTGTCATCTTTCACACACAGGTAAACTTATTTCCATTTCTGGTCCTGTTTACAGATCGATCATTGAGTCCTATTTTAATTATTGTAGCCTTGTTTTGGATGGCGCAGGCAAGACACAATCCAACAATCTCCAACGTGTGCAAAATAGGGCTGCTCGCATCGTGACGGGCTTACCGTACGCGGTGTGATTGACTCAAAGACTTGAACTTTGGGGTTGGTCATCATTAACCAAAATGAGGATGCAGCAAAAGGCTGTTATGATGTATAGAGTAATCTTGTTCATGGCCTTGCTCCATCCTATTCAGCAGATATGTTTACTGAACAAGTGGGCTCCAAAATCTATGACCTTCGAAACTCCAAATTTAATTTAGAGATTCCTACAGCCCGAACCTCAATGTTCGGGAACAGTTTTGCATTCACAGTTGCATGGATTTGGAATGTACTTCCAGAACATGTGAAAGAGCTACCATCCATTAGTGCATTTCAAAAGAAAATTAAGACTTTCAACTTTCAAGTCAATTGACAACACTGTTGTAAATACTTCTTCATTATATTATAAATTAATAAGACAAAGATTTCTCCGTCTAACCAAAAAAGCATCATTGGCCATCAAAGTCAAACGAAAATGCAATGTAAAAAAATGATCTTGGCTATGTTTGTCAACCCTTTTCATCTCTTCTTTAAATGTTTAAAGATTTTTTTTTGACCATATTGATTTCTTTTGTTGTTGTCTAATCTTTCTATTTTATTAAATTATCTTTCTGTTTCCAGCATTACACATTTCCGGTAGAGACATCGTTTCATTATCAACAAGACCAGCGTCTTTCCATGGTGATGAAGAACAGATCCATTCCTTTGTTAAAGGTGAAATGCAACTAAAATATTATTGTTGTTACTTCATTTCGCAGCATTGTTTCCTTAGGCAAGGAACTTTACTCCACTTTGTCTCTCTTCACCCAGGTGTATAAATGGGTACCGGTAACATATTTCTAGCGGGTAACCCTGCAATGGACTAGCATCCCGTCCAGGGAGGAGTAGCAATACTCATTGTCAAGAACAGTCACACTCTTTTCACAAGGCATTTTGTTATGTGATATTTAGTCACGTTTTTTAAGAGGTTTTGTTTGTACAGTTCGTCATTGATTTCAATTTGATTGACACTTTTGTACCTTTATCAAATTTCCTGTATATGTTTTGGGTACAAGTGAATTTTTGAGCATTCTTTAGGTTCGTGTCGATCAGTATTGAAGCGATTAAGTCGACAATGCGAGTGGTTCTTTTTACGAGTTTATAAAACTTGTAGGCATGCTCCATGCTAAGGAAACCGGGATAAGCTCCAGCCGTGTCGGCCTTTGGCTTGTGTGTGCGTTAACCTACCCATATTAATACTCTTTGGTGAAGAGAGACATATCGGAGAAAGGTCTCTTGGTGTCTAACAAGTAACTTGACAATAAGGGTTGAAACTTGACCTACAGATCCAAAGTTTGAGGTGTTAACCACTATGCAGCCATACCTCCACATATGAGCATACTTACAATGAACTTAAAGAGGTGATAACATTAAAGGTTTAATTTATTTCAACCTGAATAACTGAATCTGTAATTTTTGTATTTCATTTTCAGTATCTTGCTATGTTTGACTTGTGTCACTTGTCACAGTTTAGCAGCACAAGAAGAAAACAGATCTTCTCGCTTAGTCAACCAAGTGAGTTTAAATTGCATTTGACTGAAATAAAAGTTGTTCAGTTCAGGGTGATGCTGAACACTTTAGCTCATAAATGATGTCATTAAGTGCCAGAAAAGCAACATAAGGGACATATTCTTGGAGGCTCTGCAGTTTAAGAATATACAGGATCATTGCTCTTAGCTAGAATAAAGACAACAAAAAATGAAAGCTACGGAGTACAGTAATAATATTCTTTCCTGTAGTACTGTTTATTATGCTGTACAAGGTAGTTTTAACTTTTGAATCTGTGGATGAAATCCTCAAGTGTAACCATTCAAATGAAAGCCACTGAGTAGTACTTACCTGTGGTACTATTTATTATGCTGTACAAGGTAGTTTTAAGTTTTCAGTCTGTGGATGAAATCCTTAAGTGTGACCATTTAAATGAAAGATACTGAGAAGTTCTTTCCTATGGTAGTCTCACTTAATTTTTCCTATTTTTCAGTGTTTTAGAGCCTAAAATGTAGAATTTTTTTATTGTCAGACTTGTTCAGTAGTAGGTAGGCTTGAGATTTTATTTTAATTGTTTTATACAGGTGGTCGACCAGCTAACTGGACAGATATTTCAACAGAATGTCTCTTTCTCATCGAGTCTCTAACCAACAAGCTGTTGTCAGAAGTTTCCCTTCAGGCACAACTCCAACAGCCTCCACTAGATCCTAAAATATTTGGTTCATCGCTTACAAATGGGTATGTTAATGGCCATGCTAACGGAATTGCCAACGGAAATACAGGTAATAATGGACTTGTTGACTTGCATGACGACTCAAATACGTGTAAATAGAAGGGTCTTTAAAGCATGTAATGTAACACAACGTAACGTAACTTAATAATATTCAGTATAAGCCAAAAAAATTAATGAACAATTGGCCATTGTGAGGTTTTGTTTAAGACTAGATCAGTGTCGTGTCGAATTGCATTATGGGACTGTATGCGGACGAATATTGACCCAGTTTCCTTTGCGGCTATCAATAAAAGAAGCGGTGACGCCGGCTCAAACTCAGTTGCTTCTCTTTACTCGCACTGTGATTAATGGGAAGGATTTAGTGAGTTCGCGGTGCATCAAGGGAAGGAAGGAAGAAAAATGTGAAGTCACTTTTCTCCCTTCTTCCCAAGTTCCTTTACGCGCGTCAATTTTCCTTTTCATATTCCTTTGCGATAAGGAATATGGGCTCTCTGTGGGCTCTCTGAATAATAAAGCAATTAATGAATTCGGCTTTCGTAGGATATGAAGAATTGAGCAGATCTCGGAGGGTGTTATCCACCTCGGCCGTTAACACCCCACTTGATCTGCTTAATCCTTCATATCCTACTCAGCCTCTTTCATTAATTGCTAATTAATGTATAGGAAAATACTAGAGTTTTAACAAAATCTTTTTTTTCTTTCCAGTACAAAGCCCTCGTCTTTACTCTAGTCCTTACGAATCACCACTCACTGTAACGAGAAGACAACAATCATTAACCTCCCCAGGTTCAGTTCAACTTTGGTCAGAAACAGCTGGTATGAATTTGTTTTTCAATATTTTAATATTTTAACTGCGAGCAGAGGTTTCTTCCTGGAATGGCTTTTAGCATTTACGGAGTCGTTTGCATTGCTTGTTAGTCGCGTAGTTGGTTTGTTTACATCTCTCGGGGCATGAACAAACCGACTGAAAAAAACTGACAAGCCACGCGAACGCCTTTCGTAAACGCTAAACGGCATTCCAGAAAGAAACCTTTGCTTGCAAGGTAGCTGTTTTCTGGCTTGTATCATCTTCGTTAAACAAAAGGGAGTGTGGAGTGAGGAAATTCAAACTGCGACGGAAAAATTGACAAAAAAAATATAGTGCAAGGAAGAAACTTGTTAACGTAAATTCTCTCCTAAGTATCCCTTTCCATCAAACACCCACTTAAGCGGAAGAACCGTTACGTCATTACGCCCTGGCCTCTCTCCCTTCCCAACGTTTCCATAACGAGCCCAAGTGGACAAATGCGGTGCGGTATTGATTAATCACCAGTGTAAATTTCCACTTATACAGATCGAAATGTTATTGACTCAGATCTCAAGACTCTCTACCAAATCAGCGAGTTAGGGTCTGTTTCTTCTCAATGTTTGTTACTGGTTATGCCGGTGTTTCGCGGATAAATCAACTAGTAACAATCGCCCCTCTAGTGACTCCTAGCCCAAGGAAAGGGAGAAATCAGGCATGCAAGAATACGAAGGGCGTGCCCTTCTTATTCTCGCCGAGCTGATGATCTTTTTTCCCACTCTCTTCTAAGTAGCTTCCTTTCAGGCTACTCCCCCTCCCCGCGCCGCCCTCACCCCCTCTAATTTATTTGCCCAGTTGATCATGCGGTTAATTTTCCCCCATCATTCGAGTCTCTCTCTTATCGCACTATCCACCCCATGTCGCCCAGGTAGTCGAGTAAGGTTTATAATAGTTTTAATGCATTTTCCTTGCAGATAATGTATCGAAAATGCCCTCGCCAAGGCCTCCAGATAACACAAACGCTTTCAGCCGTCTTAGGAACGAGACAGTTGACAAGGTAATAGGAGTTGATCACTTGACTCGTCCCCAGTCTTCTGTCAGTCTTCTCGCGATCCACAGAGAGAAGACGCCCTTGACGCGATGGGCAACCTTTGCCAAGTATAAATATACAAACAGAAATAGACGATTCATCTTGAACACATTGTTATTACTTCGTTTATGTATTTTTTTTTTCTAACTTTTTTTAAAATTTCCTTCTCAGGTGGATAATTTTGTTTGGAGAATCAACCAGGTTCCTCACGACGTAGGTTTCTATAAATTTCTTTTCTAACCTAGGCAGATGTTTGTGAAAAATTAAGAAGCCAAGAAGTTCTCGTTTGACTCTTATCTACAATTCATTTTGCTAAATAATGATTCATGATCACTTAATTTCTTGATTCATCCAGATTGCATGTAGTTTGAAGGAAAGACCAATCATTGGTTTCTTATTTGATGAGGTAAGGCTATTCTTTGTCTTTTAATGTGTGTCTTACTGATGTATCTTGAAATTGTGAGTACCACAAGTGGTTCTTCGAATGACTTTCAAGTGCCTCTGCGGCTTTTCTTTTAGATTCCACAATCAAGGACGAAAGCCATTTTCTCTGACTGTCAGCTTCACATATGGGCAGTTGAAGGTATAAAATTGAATAACATGAAAGTAAACGATACTGCTGATTATCTTACTCCGGTTGAACTAAATCAGCTAGGGGGAAGGTAGACACCGACCGACTGAAGTTTAAAAGTTCATCATCTGCGCTTGAGATCAAAGACATTGTTCGACGATCTTACGAAAGGTCCCGATAATGTCCGAAGATCTCCGAGGGTGGTCCAAAGATGTTTCAGTTACAGATCAACAGCTTTTGGTTGTTCACCATTTACCACAAATTCTCGGAAATTTCGGTTGGGGTGTAAATGATAAACGTTTTTTTGGTTCGACCCACTGGAAAATTCCCGGGACAAACGGAAATTCTGAAAAGGTAGTCCCGTTTTCCCGATTGGGACTTTCCGAATGGAAATTCGTTTACCATTTACAAGTTTCTTGAGTTTCGTACTGGTTTCATGTTGTAACCAGAATCCAGTCTAGCGCGGCGCGACAGCCCTGAAATTTTAGGCAAATGGCAAACGACACGTACCGTTCCTGCCGAACGAAAATTCCCAACCAAAATTCCTAATTTTTTTTTCAAAATGGTAAACAACCTTTAACTCATCCTAGTGACTAAGAGTGCGTCAATTTTATTGATGTAAGGATTTGCCAGTGTCCGTATTTCTTGTTTTGTAGCTCTCTCGAGACTTGTGGCATCTTCGTATACAGAAGACACATTTGGTGTTGTACAGAAGGTAACTTTGTTTTTCTGTCCAGTTCTAATAACGACCAGTGGACAAAAGGACTAATGAACTAGCGATGGTGGTGAAAGACATTCGTGCGTTAAGGGACTCATTCGAGCCCTGATTGGATGAAGGTTGGATGAAGTGTTATGGAAATTTGCATGGACCGAGATTAAAAACTCTAGTGTTAAAAAAATTTAAGTGAGAACAGTTTAAAACTTGGAAGGACTTGGACAGGGAGACAATTTTCGTTTATTCGATTAATAGTTTTTGAATTCGCTTGGTAGTTTTTTTGTGAATTTGAATTCGGTCAAATTGTAAAATTCGTAGCTAAGAGTTTGTGTACAATTCTTGAATATAGTTCATTCTAGTGAACAACCAGGTTTTGCATTCTTGCAAGTCTATTTTACAGTTATCAAAAAAACTAAACAGAAAAACAAAAGAAATTACTGCTCAGTAGCTTTTCACTTGATTGGGCATTCTTGCAGATTTGTCGCAGACTCGAGTGTCCAAAAACGAAATTTGTTGAGTAATAGCTAAACTGTTTCACCTTCTTTTCAGTTGCGTTTATTAGAGAAGCTAACACATTGATTGAGCTTGGGGAATTTTTAATCCTGAGGTTCTTGCTATTTCAGAGTCTCCCAGATGTCTTTGTTTCTCTTGTGAGTTTGCTTCAGGTGGGAAATGCTCGAAAACATTTGTAAAATTCTTTTTGTTTTCTTATATTTGAGCCGTTTTGCCAGAAAATGGCCCTTACTTGTCTTGTTTTTTATATGTTTATATACAGGCATTAGACAAACATTCGAAGCTTTCATTGGCTTTGACTTCAAAACCCGCAATTCAGGCGAGACCTCCTCGACCACAGGGAAGAGACGGCCTTCGCTACCAGCTGCGAGCAAGTAAGTAAAATCTCTATTTTAGTATAATAGAAGAGGAAAATTCTGAAATTATAGGAGAGTATTTACATGAAGGGCCCTAATGGCGCACTTTAGAGTAAGAACATTCAGCACTGACAAAATTAAAAAACACTTTTCTGCAACGAAAAATCCTCGTTTTTTTAAGACATCCCGAGTCAACCCCGCTCGCGTTTAACGAACTTAGCTGAGGGTACAGTAAACAAAAATGGCGGGAAAATTGGCGGGTGTTCATTCCCTGCCATACAAAAGCATGATTAGTGGTTCTGATTGGATGAACATTTTTTTCACACGCGAGAAACACCTTTCGCGCATCTGATTGGCTAAATCTGATTTCCATACATAGAGGATATTACATAGCCCTGCGGAGAAGCGTAGATAAGAAACTTCTTTTCGAGTGTTCGGGGGGACCGTTTTTTCTCAATTATTAAAACGTCTTTTTTTAAACTTTGCTCGGTAGACTCGTCTTTTGTTTGAATTTGCTGTCTATTGGGGCCTACTATTTTTTAAGAAAGGTTTTCTTTCTGTGCTTTGAGATCCGTGTATGTCTGAGGTGTATATTTACAACTTCTAGTTTAAACCCGACCACATACGGTATGTTATTATGGTCTTTTAAAGAAAGAACCTTGTCGCAGTTTTATTAAGAGAGAGAGGAAAATTCCACTGAAAGTATTTTCGGAGAGGAATTTTAAATGTGCTTTGTTTACACTTTGCAGCACTTGTGTCTTCGATTTACAGAATAACAAACATTTTCCATGAACATCTGAGGTAAGTTGACTTACTTCAAACAGAGCTGTTTCTTTAAGGGCCGGTTATTTAAACGAAGTTTAAACATAGACTGCGGTTTGTAACAGTCAGTGGACACCCACATGGGTCGTTACATGAAGGCTTTTTCGGTTCATCGTAAGCGATGTTTAGGTGTTATGGTTGGCCAAATTATAAATGGCTTGGGGCGCGGTTTCGTTAAACACCAGCTAACCTTAGTTGTAATAACCAGCCCTTAAAGTGTAAGGGACAGGGAGAAAGTATCTTTCATTGATTTCATTTCGACAAGAAAAACTTGAAAATTGATGATAACATCTTTCGTTTAACTTTGGGATTTCAAAACTCTTGTGGAAAAAAAACAACTTTTCTCTCTCTCTTTCTCTTGATAGGAGCATTCAGATGACTGCTGAAGTCGAAAAGAAACTTCAGTCATTTCTGGAATTCAGAGAATAGGAGAATTCAAGGAGATTTTTGAGGCTTAAATCTAAACAGAAACGTTGAGATTACTTATAAACATATGACACGGTGTGCCATGTAACGTGTTGCTCCAACTGTACACGTTTTCACAGCAGCTGGTGGTTTTGTGAAGCCAGGTGAAAGAAATTACACAGTCCAATCACAGCAGAGGTAGAAAATCCCACGAACTAATCAGAACCTCAATGGAAAAAATTGTAGCGTTGCCGCTGTATGTCCGTACAAAGAGACTGCCTGTCGTCTTTCAGTGCTTCGTTTAAAGACGAGGTTTGCACGCTTAAGAACGCGCAATGAGGGTGGAAGATTAGCTACAACTTAAGTATTAGGTGGCGGTGTTGTTTTGATTGCCTGACTATTTTGTAGTTCAATAATTAAACTAGATTTGCAACAAGTGTTGTGTCTCTAAGTATATGTGTAGAGGACGGGGGCGTGGGTTCGGTTTTGGGACTCCTCAGCTAAGCTGAAGTTTTTTGGGGGCCAATTCACGGTTGGGTTTTTGATGAACTCGTTTAATTATCTCCGCGCTATTTTTTTTTCGCGGTAATTTTATCGTGGTGTTGCACATTACGAGGATATGTAGTCACACTGAAGTTTGTACCCGTGGTGAACACTCCATGTGGTGCGTCTTTCACGCAAGAAATTTATCTTGTGACTCAAAATTTCGAGATAACATTTCGGTGGTTGTTATGTCCAACGGTAGATTTATCTCGGAAAGAAGCCCTCACAGGAGCATTTATATTTTCCGAATTCAAGGTGAGATTCCTTTTTTCCGGGAGTTAAAGGCTTAGTTTTGTCACTCTTATTGGGTGTGTTCACACCAGTACCCACCGAGTACCATGCCCGGGTGACAGGTGTGAACGCTGCCTTATTTGTAGCAAATCTTCATTATTTGAAATCAATGAAACGTCAGCACCAATTATCGTAATAACTTAGCCTAATTGACAAACAATCAACTAACGTCACAAACCATAATTGGGCATTTGTTGGAAGCAAAGCTGTCGAGAAGTGACACGTTCTTACGCGCGTGCTTCGAATACTGTTCAGAATGGCGTTCGTTACTATTTCGAACTTCACAAAAGGGCAAAGAGGGCGTCTTTTTACCGCAATAGGTGTTGGGGTGGGCGCCATCGCGGTTGGTCTTACTTACAAAGCCGTATTGGCCCGGCGCCAAAATTCCACTTGCGATGGCCGCGGTTTTCCCGCAATGGCCGACTATCCCGACCTCCGAAACCACAACAACTTGATGGCCAAACATCTAACGCCGCGATTGTACAGCAAACTTCGCGACAAAGCCACGGCTAGTGGGTTCACCTTGGACGCGGCGATCCAAACAGGAGTGGATAACCCGGGCCATCCGTTCATTCTAACCGTGGGCGCCGTCGCCGGGGATGAAGAATCCTATGAGACCTTCGCAGAGCTCTTTGATCCCATCATTGAAGAGCGCCACAATGGCTTCAAAAAGACTGACGTGCACAAGACAGATCTAGACTCGTCGAAAATCCGTGGCGGGAAATTTGACGAGCGTTACGTGTTATCATCCCGCGTGCGCACGGGACGGTCTGTTCGCGGGTTCAGTCTTCCACCCCACTGCAGCCGCGCAGAGCGGAGGGAAGTGGAGAATGTTGTCTGCGAGGCCTTGGATGGTCTTAAAGGTTAGTATTTTTTTTTTTGCAAAGAAAGAGATTATAGTAAAGGGCTAAAGGTTTTGCGGGATATGGGACGAAACAAAATCAGACAGAAAACAGGGTAGTTGAAGGTAAGAGAATCGGAAGTATCAGATGAAATTAAATTACAGGGACTCATGTCCCGAAGGTAACTCAGCGTCATTTTAGGATTAAATGTTTTTGTTTCATTTTTGCTTTTTTGGAAAGGCAAGTAATAAAATTGGGTCGTTAAAACAAGTAGTCCGCTTTTTTTTCGTGAAGGGCATGGGCGGGGAAGTTAAGAGAATGGTGAATGTAGGGTGAATTTAAATTTCATTTTATTTTTAAATACTGTTATTGTGATGATTTTTAATAATGACATATTAAACAACATAGAAGAGGAAAACTTATTCTTCAGAAATAAGTGTGAGAGAGAAAAAAAATTTCAGCCGTCTGGCGGGGTTATTCAGTTTCATCGTGAGGCACTAATTACCTCAGTAACCAGTGAAAAAAGCGCCAGACAGGTTATTCAAAATTGTACACTTTTACAAGTAGCTCTTCTGGATAAGTGTGAATGGACGAAGCTCGTTCTCACAAATGTTGTGGCTACGAGCCCGCAGGCGATCTGCACACTTATCTGTGAGTTGCCTGTCATTTTCTTCCTTTAACAGGCCATTTCCGAGTTGCTGCAAGCCTCTGTTTTAAGCCGAGGCTAAGTGCAAAGCCATTGCTCTTAATGATTTTTTTTTATTCGGATCCAAATGAATTTCATGCAGTTTCCCAAGAAAGGTTTTGCACTTAGCCTTGGTTTGAAAGTAAGAGTTTTTGGACCTCAGAAATGGCTTATTAGGCGTGCAATCTAACCCGATTTATTTGTTCAAATTGATATTGAGCAAGCGTATGTCCAGCGGTGCTATCTTGACTGGCATGCCGTGAACACTGAACTGTTTCCACCGCACCACCGTGGATCAAATTTCTCACATCAGCGCCTGTTGTTTTCACTAATTATAAGTAATTTTGACATCCAAAGCTACTGTTACTGTTCCTGTTATTTTCAGTTTCTGTATGCGCGCGCATATTTTCGCGTTCTTATTCGAATTATATGAAATCGTATGTCAATCTTATTACTCTTACTGGGTCATTCTAATTTCGCTGAGATTCGCGCATTGTGGTGCGCCTGCCCCGTACCGAGGCGCCTCTTGGAATTTTCTGCGGAAGTCGTGACGAAAGGGGTTATGGGAAGGACGTGGAGCCCTCCCTTGAATTGTGCAAAAATCGAAAATCTCAAGAACCGCCTAGGTACGAGGCAGGTGGCTCGCGCAAACAGTTTCAAATTATTTTCATATGACTGTAAATTGGCCAATGAAGGATCACATCACAAATAACTCATGGCTGTAGCCCTTTATCCCTGAACTGTTCAGTTTATGCTCCCCAGAATTGAATCTGCTAGCAGTATTATACTTACAATTTGTAACCAAGAGTTTAATAATATTTTCAGGAAACTTAACTGGTCAGTATTATCCGCTGAACGGTATGACCGCGGCTGAACAACAGCAGTTGATCGACGACCACTTCCTGTTTGACAAACCGGTCTCCCCTCTTCTCACGTGCGCGGGCATGGCACGTGACTGGCCTGACGCGCGTGGAATCTTTCACAACAACGACAAGAACTTCCTTGTTTGGATAAATGAGGAGGATCACACGCGCGTCATCTCGATGGAGAAGGGAGGAGACATGCGCTCGGTGTTTGATCGCTTTTGTCGCGGACTCAATGAGGTTGAACGACTCATCAAGCGCCAGGGACATGAATTTATGTGGAACCAACATCTGGGATACATCTTGACCTGCCCATCCAACCTTGGAACAGGTCTTAGAGCTGGAGTGCACGTGAAACTGCCTCACTTGGCCAAGGTAAACACGTGGACTAAGGTCGTCCTAGCCCGCAGAACTGGCCCTACTTTTTTGCGTTTTGCTCCTTTCCCCGTCGCTCGTGTCTCGCGCTCCTCGCTCGCTTCGCCCTTGCCTTCGCTAGCCTGAAAAACGCGAAAAAGCAACGGACTATGATCGTTTCACACGCGTGAACAAACAAAGCGCATGAGTACGCCATTTCATAGCAAAAACCTGCGCAAGAGAACCAAAGGCTTTTGTCTTACCACACAATAACGACTCTTAACATATCAATATTGCAGGATTCAAGGTTTGGTGACATATTGGATAAACTTCGTCTGCAGAAACGTGGAACTGGTGAGCATTCATATCGTTCTTCATCAGAGCTTTATAGTTTGTTAATATTACTTTTACTTTTGAAAAACTGTGAGTCAAGTCACTCTAAATCCACTGTTTTGTTCATTTAACTTATTTGGCCCTGATTCTTTGTTTTACCTAATTTTTCGCCCCTCATTCTATTCTTTCATTCGTTAGTTATTTATTCATTCGAATGTTTGTTCGTTCGTTCATTCATTCATTCATTCATTCATTCATTCATTCATTCATTCATTCATTCATTCATTCATTCATTCATTCATTCATTCATTCATTTATTCTTTCTTTCTTACTGTCTTTCTGTCTTTCACTGATTGATCCCCCATCCATTTCGCCCTTTCTTCATCAAATTTCTTAATGCTAAACCTGTCCTCGAGGTTATCTGTGTCAGAGACACTTAACTGTGTTTTTTTCTTTTTTATTTTAGGCGGCGTTGATACAGCTGCCGTGGGAAGTGTGTTTGACATTTCCAACTCAGATCGCCTCGGCTTTTCTGAGGTGGAGTTGGTACAGAGCGTGATTGACGGCGTCAATCTTCTGATCAACATAGAAAAGAGACTGGAGAAGAACAAGTCCATTGAGGACCTCATTCCCAAATAAGGAAACAGAGGCACAAGTTGCGTTTTGCTTTCACATCTGCTTGATGCATTATTTCTAGCAGCTGTGCTTTTTTTACTGCTTTAAAACTGAGGCTTGTCAACTAAAAATTACACAAAAGCGGTCGCCATGCTCGCGCTTGATTATACAGGTGATCGCTGTGCAGTGTATCCGTGGCAACTTTTACTTGTCTTGCGGTGGGCGTACTGCACTTTGACAAGCCGCTTAATGTGCTAAAGCAGAAAACTCGCTTTTAAAATGAAAAAATAAAAAATAAAAACGCTAAAACGTGAGCCAACTTGTTGTGTTAGTCAAAATATCACACGGACAGATCACACGGCCCCTATGACTTCTCTTTTGACACTAGCCTGCAGTGCAGGCGTATTTTGGGTGGGCGAAACCTTGTTCGTGTTCGTAATATTGTTGTAGCCGCCATCTTTGATTTTATGACAGTGGAAGATTGGGGAGAGTAGAAATAGTAACCCTTACGGTAGGTGCGTGGGCGAAAGAAGGAAAGGGGGGAGGGGGAGGGGAGAAAAAATACGGCGTTTTCTCTTCTCTCTTCCCGCCCCCTCCCCGCTCCCTTTGACTCGCCCCATGTCCTCCTCTCTTCGGAAAGTTTCAACACGGCGCTTTCACGGGCAAATTGCGCGCTCAAAGAAAACGCCTGCACTGCAGGCTATTTTGACACCAGTGCAACACTTCACTTGAATTTAACATCACCATTTTCACTGTGCCCATATAATACAGTCTGTTTTTCACCCAGAATTTTGCGTAACCATTGTTTCCAATTTTTTCCTGGGTACAACAGTCATCTCATGATAAATTGAAGACAATTCTTAAGCAAATTTTCGTGCTGAGGAGTAAACAAGGTGCATTGTGGGTAATGTGAAGATGGCGATTTAGCGATTTTGAGATTGCGATGAGACTGGATTGGTGTTGTGTCGAATTGCACTGTGGGATTGTTTTGGATGACAAATATTGACCCAGTCTCCAACGCAACTCCGTAATAGCCAATAAAAGGAGCGATAGTGCCTCAAAAATGTCCCATGGTGCAATTCAACAACGACCCTTGTTCATGTTAAACCCCATAATGGCCGATTGCAAAATACAGTATAGAACCCCGGTAACTCGAACTCTGAAGCTCCTGCAGTGCAAGTTAAACTTTTTTATCAGAACAGTGAAATTATCGGAACAAAGACCACGTGGACGCTGGAGGACCTCCTCAGCTGGTTTATTAAAAGTGTTGGAAAATGCAGGAACAAATTTGACTGTCTTCTTAACTAAATGTTGTAAATATAACAATAAATACTGTGCTTGAACGTGTAAACAAATCCGTGCTAAATATAGCTCTACTCAAGAGCCGTAATAAGCCTATTGTGATCTCTTGCTCTACTTCATTTATGCAAATTTAGACTATTCAAATCTTTTCGAACTCGCATTTTTTCGTTTCCAATTCCTTGATGGTCGCCGAAATGTCGCTTCCAAAACTGGGCGCGCGCCTTCGTTTTGTCCTTGATGCTCCCCCCGCCCCCCACCCCCAAAGTGAGATGTGCGATGGTTGCACCAGCCTCGTTCTCAGGTCCCCTTCTGACAAGAATTAGAGGAGTGATCAGCGAGAAGATGGGTTGTGGGTCCACCGCCTTGATATTTTTGTTGGCCATAACATGCGCCTAGAAAGGAAGTGAGTTACAGGTGATGAGGGAAGGGAAAAGGGAGTGGCTCACGAGATACCACTCACCCAGTTGCGTCATTCGCGTAAAGAGACTTACTCACCAGTAGAAATGTGAGTTTGCTCGGTAGACTGAATTCCGTTTATTGCTAGAAGCAGTAGCGTGATGAGACTAGCAGTATTTGTGCGTGAGATCTTCCTCGTACCCAGGCCTCCCTTTGTGCGTGGAGATACACTACAATTTGCTTTTTGTATCCCATGAAGCTCTGCACTCTCCGTTTATCCGCGCGTTCGCCTGTTGACGAGTCAATAGCATTGAGCTGAGTTGGTGGGTTCAGGTCTCAGGCCCACACCTGGGATTCTGACTCCACTCACACGAAACAAGCGAAACCTCCGCCCAAAAAAACCTCCGTTAATGTCCCATAACAACGCCCTCGCTTCTCCAGCATACCGTGCTTAAATCGTTCTCACGTGCTTTAAATCGTTCCCTCAACCGTCAGTTATCTTTGTTGCGATAACCTCCCGTGACCTAAATCCCACTCTTTGATCGGGGGCTTTCAACATAATGGAGGAATTCATGATTCACGGTAATCATTTTTTACTTTTCTGAGGCTGGCGGTTGTTGTGGGGGATACTTGGAATGTAGCAAAATTTTTCTCAGTCAATGTTATTTATTTACAATGTGATTAGCCTTTTTTGTTTACAGTGAAACCCGCGGGTAACAAGCATTGTCACTCTCGAATGCAGCATCGTCTTGTTTACGGTGTAGAACACTGGTTGCCAAGGAAACAAGCGCATGCGACAAAAATGAATGTTATCGTGCATGCAACGAAAACGAGAATTTGTGACCTACACACGTTACGTCGGCATCACATAGTAATAAAATACAGTTATCTGCCCTCGTAAAGCAGCAAAAACTGCCACGAAAAACTGCAATGTTATTCTTTCTTTTTCATGTCCGTTTAATCGCTTTTGTACTATCCAGTACGTGTCTGGTCATGAAATAGTCTGTCCAGGAAGGAGATCGTTCATAGGTCTGTTGTTTTCCAGTCTCTTTTCCATTATGATGAGAAGATTGACGCCGTCGATGACTTTCTGGACCAGCTCTACTTCGGAGAATCCAAGTCTGTCCAAATTTGAAATGTCAAAAACGCCTCCTTCGGCTGCAGTGTCAACACCACCTGAATTTCATATCAAGTGAGAAAGGTACTTTTGTTAGATCAGATGCGAACAAGAATGCGATGCTGAAACAGGCGATAATGTTTTCATTTTTGCAACATTGTTCAACCTTTACCTCATCCATGGGAGGGTTGGATGGAGAAAGTTGGGGAGTTTCGATATCAAAGATCATCCTTTTTCTTTTGGGATAGTACGTGAGTTTTTGGATATAGTTACGGAATAACTACTGATTACACAGTTCAGACTTTCTGTTTCAAGAAGCCCTCAGAACAGGCTTAGGTTTTTTTCTGCATTTTTACAACGACTACAAGGGCGAGGTGGGAGTAGAATGCTAGACATGCCCACCTTGCGCTTGCCCTCCCTAGCATGAAGAACGCAAAAAAATGCTAAATAAATAAATAACGCCTGTTCTCATGCTGTTCTGCACGCTAGTCTCAAGAGGAGAAAGCCTTTGTTTTTATTGACTATTGTTGGCGCGACAGGCGAAAATCCTTTCAACCTGTTAATACTACACAGTAATTTTCAAGGAGTTTTGGTAACTCCTCTAGTATGGTTCATTTAACTCCCTTACAGTGGAGTTATTTTTTTCGCAGTTATTTTAACTCCAAAAAGCAGTTTAAAGAACTCTTTTTCAGGAGTAAAAAAAAACCCAGATTTGGAGTTGAGGAGTTAAAGTAACCCCCAAAAAGGGGTTATCATGTACCTAAAATTTTTACTTCATTTTTGGAGTTATAATAACTCCCTAAAAATTACTGTGTATACATGCTCGTTTTTCGTTAGAGATTGCAACAAATAAGTCAGATACAATAATAAGAAAACGAACCTGTCCCACGTTTCTGTAGTCGCAACTTTTCGAGAATCTCATCAAAGTGTGGATTCTGAACAAAAAAAGGAGAGATTACACTTCTTGCAAGAGCTGATCAATATTTTTGACGTTTCTGGTACATGCGTGATCATGAAGAAATGTAATGAAAGGAACTGTAGCTATCAAGAGGAAAGGAAAAGGTAGTCCTTTCTATGATCAGATGTCGTCAACATAGACAAGGAGCTGAGGGCATTGCACAGCAGTATGTTTCAATCCAACGGAAGCAAGAATAGAATGGTGGTGTTTCCATAATCCGTTGCGCGAAGCGATTGGAGTAAACACCCAGGTATATCAGGCCAGTAATCATGTTTGAGATCTGGGTACAAGATAGCATTGTACGCTTTATCTGTCAATAAAGACGACCTAGTCTTAGATCTCTCTCTCGTTCTTAGTTAGATTGCAGTATTCACAGTTAAAAAGTTGACTTATATACGCAAGTTGATGATTATCGTAAATACCTTCGATAGAAGTGGTAGTTTCACATGCACTCCGGCCCGGAGTCCTGTTCCGAGGTTAGAGGGGCAAGTTAAAATGTACCCCAAATGTTCATTCCACATAAACTCATGCCCCTGGCGCTTGATGAGTCGTTCAACCTCATTGAGTCCACGACAAAAGCGATCAAACACCGAGCGCATGTCTCCTCCTTTCTCCATCGAGATGACGCGCGTGTGATCCTCCTCGTTTATCCAAACAAGGAAGTTCTTGTCATTGTTGTGCCAGATTCCGCGCGCGTCAGGCCAGTCACGTGCCATGCCCGCGCACGTGAGAAGAGGGGAGACTGGTTTGTCAAACAGGAAATGGTCGTCGATCAACTGCTGTTGTTCTTCTGCGGTCATTGCACTGAGTGGATAGTATCGACCCGACAGATCACCTAAACGTTTTGTCAAAAAATTTAAATAGTTTGTTACTGCATAGTATTACTTATTTAAACCAACGTTTCAACGTTTCCAACTACCGCCTATGTTTCAACGTTTCCAACTACCGCCCCATCTCAATCCTCCCTACACTAAGCAAGATTTTGGAGAGAGCGGTACACTTGCAGTTGTATCAGTACTTGATTACCAATAATTTATTGTCCAACAAGCAGTTTGGTTTCCGGAAGGGTTTCTCAACTACAACAGCTTTGACCTCATTTGCTGATGAAGTGCTCTTAAACGTGGAACAAGGAAAGCTTTGCGGGGCCGTGTTCATCGATCTAACCAAGGCATTTGACACGGTAGACCATCAAATAATGTTATGCAAGCTATCCGAGATCGGCCTTTCTGAAACAGCTCTTCATTGGTTCCGTTCTTACTTAACTGGTAGACAACAGCGCACATCACGTGGAAATGAGTTATTTGAGGAACTTTCAGTCACGCATGGGGTGCCACAGGGTAGCATTCTAGGGCCTCTGTTGTTTGTGATTTACATAAATAACTTGTCAAATGTGCTTAACTCCTGCTACGCGTCACTTTATGCAGACAACACTGTAATTTATTGCTATGGTACATCCTCAAAGGAGTTGAGTGATAAGTTAAATAACGATCTACTGGGTGTGGCGAAATGGCTTCATGATCACAAACTGACTTTAAATTTGGAGAAAACTAAATGCATGCTTATCGGTAGTAATAGGAAACGCGAAAGCAAAGTAGATTTGACTGTTTCAATTTTAGATCATAGTATAAGTAATGTTCGCAGCTTTAAATACCTCGGTATACATATATCTTCGGATTTCACATGGACTGATCATATTGATCACCTAACTGGGAAAATCAGTCAGAGGCTTGGGCTTCTCAAGCGTATAAAGCATTTATTGCCTTTCAGGGCGCGTCTACTTTTCTATGAAAGTCTTGTTATGCCCCTTTTTGAATATGCTGATCTAGTATGGGGCGATAAACATAATATTACCCTTATGTCTAGTTTGCAAGTTTTGCAAAATAAGGCCGCTAAAGTTATTTTAAATAGACCATTGTACTCATCCTCCACTGAGGCATTAGCCGTTCTCAAGTGGCTGCCTCTAGAGAAAAGGCGATTTCAAAGAAGGTGTGTACACGTATACAAATGCATCAATGGCCTAATTAATCACTATATGGGCTTGATTAGACAAGACGTACATCATAGGCATAATACACGTAACAAAGGCAATTTTAGATTACCACGTGTCAAAAGAAATTGGGGGAAGCAAAGAACACAATATCATGCCGTTTCCGATTTTAACTTCCTCAGTCAGACGATCAAAGACTCAAGGAATGTAAATAGTTTTAAACGTAATGTTTTTAAGTTTTTAATGTAGCTACTTACGTTTAATTTTTACTTATACTTATTTTTAATTTTTCTATGCATTTTTTTGTATCTTTTTAATCCCTTTGCAATTTTATAGCTTTTTTTGTTTTTATAATATATATCTAGTTTTGAGGTCCTTTTTGAAAACCATATCTTTTATGAAAAAGTTTCCTCAATAAAGATGATTATTATTACTACCTATCTTAACCAATATTTAGCAAGGAAGCGCACACTACCAAACTCCACGGTAAGGCCAGTACCTTGCGCATGCGCACGGCCGCATCACTCCTGCAGCGGAATTTCGGCTGTACGTGGAAGAGGGGACAATTGGTGCCTATTAAAGACCGCAAATAAATCACAGAAAAACGCGAAACCGCGATGAAAATCCACGAATCTGCAAACTTGACTGATCAGGGGAGTTAAAAAACTTTTTTACGAATTGACCAACTAAACACAGAAAAACAGGGAATAAAAGAAAAAATGGAAATTCTCGACTTAGTGAGGAAAATTTCAGGCGCAAAAGATAAAAAATTGCCATTTGGGCAAAAGTCACCATGCCAGGTAAAAAAAAAATTATCACAATATTTTTTTTTCTAGTACAGTTGTCGTCCTATACAATTTTACTGGTTCATGATCGTGTTCTAATGCAAATGCCCTATTAAAATTACCTATCGTACTAACATAATTATGCAAGAGACGTCTTTAACATTTCGCGAATTTGCGGGGCCACAGAATGCTTGATTTTCTATTTTCGCTAGTTTCTGACCGCCAATAACTCTCAACAAGTTTACCAATTTTTAACTTGCTCTTTCCAGCAACGTCGGCGGGATTTTTTCGCTAACTGTTTCTTGTTAAAATTCAAATTAAGAAAAAGTGAAAGCGTCTATTGAGTATATTCAAAAACGTATATGATAAAGAGATGTTTTAAATCAATCTCTGATGACTTTCTGGTAGATGGCAGACAACCTTTGGTCTCCTGCGGGACGCTTCTTGTATTAATTGTTCTCTGAAAGACTATAGTTATAGACTAATGGCATTATTTTAAAATTCCTCCCATCCCTGGGTTTAACGGGTTTAACATCATACCTGTTAGTCCCGCCAATGCACGGGTAACAATTTTTTCAACCTTTCTTCTTTCAGCGCGGGAGCAGTGAGGAGGCAGACTAAATCTACGTATCGATCTTCCAGTACGCACGCGAGAAGACAACACATAGTTCCCATCAAACTTTCCTCCGCGAATCTTGGACGAGTCTAGATCTGTTCTGTGCAAATCCGTTTTCTTGTAGCCATTATGGCGCTCCTCGATAATCGGATCGAAAAGTTCAGCAAGAGTTTCGTAAGACTCCTCATCTCCTGCTACAGCGCCTACTGTTAGTATAAAAGGATGTCCAGGGTTGTCTACTCCAGTTTGAATTGCCTTGTCCAAAGTAAAGCCAGTGGCGGTCTTCCTGTTTCGAAGTTTTGCGTACAGCCTTGGCGTCAGATGCTTTGCCATCAGGTTGTTATACTGGCGCATATCAGGATAATCTGCTAGTGGGATGTAGCCATCTTTGATAGCTGGATCGTGCACGCGTGGATTAACTTTACCCGTCCGCGCTCTGAGCTTGTATACACCTAAACCGAGTGCTAAACTTCCGATAGCAGCTGCGCCAAGTATGCTTGTTTTATGAGCTTGGAGAAACGAAGAAATATTCGCTGTCATCGTGGATATGACTTGATCCATAGGATCGTTTCGCATTTAACATTTGATTACAACAGGTTATAAGAAGTCATAAACCAAATAAAATAATAAAAAAATTAGTAACGTCATGAATTCTAATTAATTTGCGAAATTCGAGTTAAAAACCCATTAGTCAAAAACAAATTTTTCCCTTACAGGGCCTCATTATGTTTGGCAGTCTTCTTTTTTGGCCCATATTTTTGACATGTTTATTGCTTAAATTAATCCGCATCTTCAAAAAAATATTCAAGTATAATATTTATTGATGTGTTGCGTTTTTAGTCTAATAGAAATGAACACTTTGCAGCTGCAAAAGTCTACGACTGCGATGATCTTTAAGGTTTAATTCTTTATGTGCAATTCTAAGACATGATTTTCATATGTTCATCATTTCAGAATTTTTATTTGTCGTTGTAACAAATTTATCTGGGCACTGTTTCAGGGGCACCCAACGAGAATATAGTTGAAAATCACTTAAACATAGCACTCTTAAAAGTATTTTAGTATTTAAACGGTAGATATAGGCATATTTTTATCCCCTAAAAATTTTTCATCTGTTCGGATTTCCTAGCTGAAAGCCTAGTGATCCGAAAATTATAGGGGTCAAAACTTACCTTTTCGAAAATTTCAGCCAGAAAAAAGGCTCCCGAAAATTCTAGGTGACCTTTTTAGGGTAAAAATCCGTAAAAAATAGGCAATTATACCATTTTTTTGATGTTCGAAAATCATAGGAGAGGCAGGCAAGCAAGAAATTTTACAACAAATGTTCCGAAAATTCTAGATCTAAAATCGTCTTCCGAACAGATATTCTTTCGAAAATCGTCGTTGGGTGCCCCTGACTGTTTCCTTCTAAATGGCTAGCAAACCAAATTCCAGAGAAATGATCACGTGACACATCAGGTGACTAGCAAACACGTGACGACGTTTCGATTAACTTCACTTTCATCCACTTTTCCATAGTTACCTTAATCAAAACAGTTGAAAATTTATAAGGAAAATTTTAAGTGGTGACTTATAAAACAGCAGTTTAATTAAGCCATTTTCTGCCCGTCCACTTTTATTCTTCAAAGTTAGGACAGCACTTACAAGCGTTTATATACGGCATCAGCGCACACGAGGATATGTCAGTATCTAGTCTGAAGAATGTAACAATTTGTACTTGTAATTAACCTGCCGACAATGGCCAGTTTTTTGCAGTGACTGACGAAAATGTCAAGAATGGTCACGAAATTAAAATGTATGGCGTATGGCGTGCGTGTGGAAGATCAATTACGGCAATCTTTGATGTTACAGTATATTAAAGATTACTGATTGAAATACAATACTTTTTTGGAGGAGTTTTCTTAGAACACACCTCAGACTGAGAGTCAGTTAAGAATGCTTTTATTAGATTGTTTTTTGTTTTTAATCATTTTTAAACAACGAGAGGAAGTCTCTAGCTAATTTTGGCGATTTTATCCGGCGAATGAGCCGCTCGCAATAAACATGTAACTCTCCACAACGTCCACCTTCTTCTGTCCCAAAAATGCGGTTTTGGGAGGTTGACATTTTAAATGTATGTAGATGTTGACTTTTCGGGCATTTTTTCTTGGGAAAATTTTGCAAAAAATATTAGTATTACACTTTCAAAATAACCGGTCCTTTCGCGAGAATGATTCTTGTGTAACTGCTTAGCGCACTCACGGGCACCCAACGAGAATATAGTTCAAAACCACTTAAACATAGCTTGTTAAACTTCTTTTAGTATTTAAACGGTAGATATAGGCATATTTTTATCCCCTAAAAATTTTTCATCTGTTCGGATTTCCTAGCTGAAAGTCTAGTGATCCGAAAATTATAGGGATCAAAACTTACCTTTTCGAAAGTTTTAGCCAGAAAAAAGACTCCCGAAAATTCTAGGTGACCTTTTTAGGGTCAAAATCCGTTAAAAATAGGCAATTAAATCAATTTTTAGATGTCCGAAAATCCTAGGAGAGGCAGGCAAACAAGAAATTTTACAACAAATGTTCCGAAAATTCTAGATCTCAAATCGTGTTCCGAACAGATATTTTTCCGAAAATTGTCGTTGGGTGCCCCTACGCACTAGGTTACCATATGCAGAAATCCTATTATCCGAAAAACAAGATCGGTGTTCGTAAAGAGGTATATAAAACTATAGAAAGTTCTTCGAATTCCTTTCTAAGGGTTTTTTTTTACATGGAGCAAAATTAAAATGCATCTTTATGATCCTTTATTTCGCCGAAAAGGCCCCTGATTAATAGCCTGTGTTCAGACGTCCCCCCTCCCTAAGAAAAAATCCGGGGGAGGGGGGACGTCTGTACACAGGCTACTGATTAGCTTCGGTAAGAGAAAAACTGTCTCCTCCCTTCCCCTCGCCCTTGTCATGATTAAAAGGGCTAGTCTCCTAACCCATTTAATTGGACTATCTCATGCAAAAAGATAGCTTTGGGGATTTTTCCCTGTGTATCAGGCTTTCTCCGCAGCCGGAATTCGGCTAGGGGGTCGTAGGTCATGGTATGAGAGCGGTATGACAGGATACACGCCAGCCACGTTTTTAATTTTTTTTTGACACAGTATATACCCAGGCCTCTGAACAGTCCACGTGGCTGAAAATAAAAGCATTTGAATCGAATTTTAAGGAAAGGGATTTTTTTTTATTTAATAAAAATCCTTGCATCTTGCATATTGCTAGGTACCAAGTAGACCGCAAAAATTTAGAGGGGTAGCGGACTAAAGCAAGGAGGACAAAGGAGAAAATTTCCTAACTCTCATTTTTTCCCGCGGACACCAGTAATTCCGTACGATATCGTTCATGGGTTTTGATGAGCCATTAACAAAATGAAACAATTATCACAACTTAACAGTTATTCGCTCTTTATTTTCTCATAACAGAGTAAAGAGCCCCCAACTCTTTTAGAATGTAAATATTATGATTGGTTGTACAGACAATATGATTGTACTTTGTCCAATCAGAAGGAGTGTAAAAGTCGGCTTTGTGCTAACCGTACTGGTGCATCGCTTCTACATTGAAGTAATTTATTTTGACAACAAAAATTGCACCGTGACAAAATTACTGTTGATTTGAAAAGTATTTTTTAGGAGAGATAGCAACTGTCATGTCATTGCTTCTTTGTTTACTTAAGTAATTGCGAACGTTTCTTGTTACAGAAGTACGCTTCGTGAACAACTTTCACGATTGTTTGCTTTGCTGTACTGAGTGAATTACCGGCGGAAAGCTGAAAGTTTTCCTCTTTGGATTTCGTCAACAATCAGCAAAATGACTTCAGATTACCAAACGGAAGTTATATGCGCATTCATGCTGGGAAAATTGGAACTCTAGACGCCTCTGCCATGTTATAAGGCTATATGATGCGGCGATGGACTGGACTTAAGAGCTGTTTCTCTGTGGAATGTGAGGGTGATGGTGAAATGGCTGTTTTAGATTTGCAGCACTGCAATTTAACTTCAGTGCCTACAGACATCTTTAAAGCTGAGCCAAACTTGGAGGAGATTTACCTAGATGCTAATCAAATTCGGGAATTACCGAGAGTAAGTTCTTTTTACCAATCAAAAGTTTATTTCTGTAACCGGTTGCTATTACCTACACAAATTTAGCTCTCACAACGTGCATCTGTAATTTTAAAGCTCTAATATTTTCATTTTTTTCGCCTCAGGCGTTGTTTGGGTTGCAAGGTTTACATATTCTCGGGCTGAGTGACAACGAGTTAACAATTCTGCCATCAGCTGTTTCTAACTTAGTCAACTTAAGAGAAGTGGACATCAGCAAGAATGGTGAGTTAAGAGATTGGTTTGTTTTGACTTTTCTTTCACAAAGCGAAAACTTTCAACAACCGCAAAGCAAACGCATGATTATCAACCAGGTATTTACAATTCACCTTACTTTGTGCTTTACAAAACCTGAAGCTGATTTAATTCTTGTAGGTATAATCGATTTGCCGGAAAGTGTGAAAAGCTGCAAATGTTTGGAACAGTTCGATGCTAGCGTAAACCCAATTGGCAAGTAAGTATGACGATTTTAAAATTATACACAGCTCTTCTTTATAGTGTCAATGTTTATTCTGTTTTCGTCCTTGTTTTCGTTTCAATTTACCCTATCAGACTGAACATCTTATGGAAACTGTTCTAACTCAACCGTTTGTCAGATAGACGTATCAGATTCTCCCTAGATAAGTTTTGAAATGTGATACTGTAGCCTTCCATCGACAATGTGTTTTTAAAATATGCAAGCTAATCAACTTGTAACGTTTTGACAAAGAAATCTGGACATAATCCAATTAATAAAGCATCAAAATGATTTCTTTTCAAGACCACCACAAGTACATTAAAAATATTTTTTTGTGCCTTGATGCAATCAAATTTAATTGCTATCAGATATAAACCAAATGCCTTTAAGCTAATTATTAGCTATAGTTTATCAAAGAGAAATTGAGTGACCCGGCGATAATTTCATTGATATGTGGATGTACGTGTTTGGTAGAGATGTGAATATGTATGTTGTGGTTCAATTTTATCCTTGGTTTAAATTTTATTTTCCTTTGTTTTGGGTCATCGTAATGTATGATAATGAGTTTGAAACCAAAGAAAATAAAATTTAAACCAAGGATAGAATTAAACCACAATATATATGTTGTAGTTAGTTTCTTATCTCAGGTAATTTTTGCATTTCTTTTGTTTCAACTTCATTAGCATACATTACCATGTCCAAAAACAAAAGAAAAACAAAAATTACCTGAGATAAAAAATTAACTACAACATATACTTTGAGATTGGGGTGAATTTGCATAACAGAGAAGATGGCTGCCTTTCTCGATATTGTCCCCATGTGATGTATTCACAGGGATCCCAACAGTCGCAAATCGATCAGAGAACATCACCCTGGGCAGACTGTGTCATATAAAATATTAGGCCATGTGATAGTTCAAATCAGTTGAAGTGGGGGATTAGTCAGAGTAAAATTTGATTTTTTTTTCAATTTGATAAATGGCATACAATATTTTTTTGTTTTTAGAATTCCAGATAGCTTTACTCAGTTGTTGAATTTGACCCACTTGTACTTGAATGATGCTTTTTTAGATTGTTTACCATCAAATTTTGGAAGGTGAGATTACTTTTTTGGCGAATATTTGTCTGCTTAGTAAACAACACTCTTGAATGGTTTGTTCTGACAACGGTTACTTTCTTTAAGTAGTGATAGTAAATACTGGTAACTAAGAGTGCGTTTGATTGATAGTATTCGGCAATACAAGATCTCCAAAGTTTTGTTACAAATCTCTTCTTGGATCTTTAAACTCTACATAAATGTTCGTTGAAATATTATACTTATAGCAGATTTCTAGATTGCCTGCCAATACAGCTGTCTCCTCGCTTCTCGCCAGTAGGGACATTTCATGGGAGGAATGTCTGAACCTCAACATTAGAAATTTCATGCTGATCATGTAAAATCTGTCCAGAATGGAATCTGGTCAGGATCGAGCTCTGATTCATGGCTGACATAGTCCACAGTAGCGAGGAGTGAGGAGAGACAACCGTATTTATTTTGCAAGATTATTTGTAGATACATGAATTTGATTTTTCCGCCCTCACTATCAATTATCATTTCTATTGTTTTTTATATAAAATTGTAAGTATGACTTTATGCACTTTTAATTTTCCTGTCTCCATTATACACTACTTAAATGAGTGTGCCAGTTAGTTACGCATGGCAGTGACCAACTCAAAAGCCTATAAGCTCTTTTGGTCACTGCGCACATTTCACCTTTGATGATTTATTTAATTTGCTGTAATGTTGTTTTATTTTACTTTTGTAATGTATTGTAATTTTGTTTTGTAGTAAACTCTTAAAATAGTGCAAATAAATAAAAAAATCTGAATCTGAAAATCTGTATGGATATATCCATTGAATGCCCTTCCAAGTGATTTCTACAGTTTATTTCATTTATTATTAGTCCTCAAAATACAGCAATCAAACATGCCCAAAGAAAATGTTCACCAGTTAGCTCATTTTATCCAGCATAGCATACATATCATCACTGTGAGTATATAAGATCTCATCTCTTTTTTGTTAGATTAACAAAACTGAAAGTCCTTGAAGTGAGAGATAATCACTTAAGAAGTTTACCACAGTAAGTAATATGTTAAACTCAGTTAACTGCATTAAATTTAGTAGTGCCATGCAAAACTATACCTGCCAACTCTCACGCCTGCGGGTTGAAAACTGCAATCTCACGCCAGCTCACGCTTGCGGGCCAATTTCTCACGCCTGATTGAAAAATGTGAGTTGTTGCTGTCTTGCTTGACACAATTTCCAAAAATATGTTAACTCAGACCCATGTAAGGAACGAAAACCATGAAAAATTGACCATGTCAGTCCAAAACTTTCCGATTTTAGAACTATAGCGCTGATGTTATCAACTAATGTCGGTCCTTGTGGATAAACGTTTTCTCGATAACTTCGCCTTCAGCAGACTTCGGACGTTTTTGGAAGACTTTGGACTTCTTCGGGAATCTTCGGAAATGATCGTGTCGTCTTCAAAAATCCCAGCACTCCCAGGATGAAAATCTCTCGCTTATAACTCAGAAAAAGTTGGCAGGTATACAGAACTGAAGGGTGTTTTTCCAGTGATGCGCCTCTCTGTAGTAGCAGGGTAAGCGTTTTCTCAATAACTTCGCCTTCGGCAGACTTCGGATGTTTTCGGAAGACTTCGGACTTCTTCGGGAATCTTCGGAAATGATCGTGTCGTCTTCAAAAATCCCAACACTCCCAGGATGAAAATCTCTCGCTTATAACTCAGAAAAAGTTGGCAGGTATACAGAACTGAAGGGTGTTTTTCCAGTGATGCGCCTCTCTGTAGTAGCAGGGTAAGTGTAGAAAAGAAGATTTGTGTAGAAAGGCGAGTGTCTGGAAATTTACCACCCATGGAGTCTGATTTTTATCAACAAAATTAATAAAGAAGCTTTGATTGTGCTCTGTTCTGTTGTAAGCACTTACAGCAGAGCAAAAAGAGCACAACTGAGCACAAACGAAGTGTAGGGGGAAACACATTAGACACAGTCAAGTGTTTCTAACCACTTGTTGAGTGCTCCAGCTCCTTCCGTAGTGCTTTACGACAGAGCAAAGCACAGTTGACAGAGGCTTCTTTATTTAATCCTTGATGAAGAACCGGTTAAATTCCCAACACATTGTTTTTCAACGTTTATAAAGCAAACATTATTTTTAAAGCGAAGCAGAGTGGCATGTTTATACTCTAATGAAGGAAACTTTTCCAACCAATAAGAGTGGGCATTATATCTGAACTTTATTATAATTCATTGCAGTTCTTTTAACCCAAGCCTGACATTCTGATATTCTGCTCCAAGTTGCTTGTGGTCACACACTCTATCCCTTCTTTTGAAGGTTTCTTTATACTTTGCTGAATGAGGTTAATTTTGATTCTTTTTTAAAGGTCCCTTTCTCGTGTTACAAGCCTAGAAAGACTTGATATTGGAAATAATGAATTTCTTGAACTAGTAAGTGGTAGTATAATAACATGTACATAAGAGTGGTTCTATGCCATCTGAGTGTGACCAGTATCTACAGCCCCTCTTTGTATCTTCCCATCTTAAAATCACAAAATCTTGATAAATTGAAAATATCTTTCTTTATGTCTTCCTACATTACACAATAAATTTATTTCACCAGACAGTAAAAATCAAACCATGACTATTTTATGTACTTTTAATATTGTTAACCTCTCAAAGGCACATTGAAGGTGACTTTCATTTACTTTGTTTTAGCCAACAGTAGTGGGGTATTTGGTTAACCTTAAGGAACTCTGGATGGATAACAATGGAGTTAGAGAACTTCCACCGGTATGTTGAGGTTATAGCAGAACCTTTTTTTTTAATTTTAAAATCTGTGACAATGATTTTTTTTAACTCATTGTTGCAGGCATAAGTTAATAGTCAGAGGAGACTGGTTATGAAAGCCAGCAAACGTCAAAGTTGAAAACAATGCTGTAGTTTCAATGTTGGAAGTTCTGTGACGGTGTACAGTCCTTTGTTTTTTGTTTACAAATTGTGGCTGAATAAATTAATGCGATGTTTCTTTTGGTCAGTAAGTTAGGAATGCTGTTGAATGTTGTGCACGTTCAGGTCCAAAACGCCTAACAAAAGCATATAACAAATGAAATCCTAAAGAATGCATGGCAACATGTGAACTGAAAGTTCTGCTAAATTGATGCTGAAGAAGTCAGGTCACATCAGGATATTTCTGACACCAACTTTAAAGGTATCATATTAACCAATGCAGGCCATTCACATCTTAATATGCAGCAATTCACATCTTAACTATAAGATGTGTCATTTAAGTATGATCATATCCAAATTTGTCTCTCCCGCTTATAGGGTTTACAGTTTGTATAACACATAAAAAAGCGGAAATTTGAAAATTGTTACCTAGGGAAAACACTCTTAACCTTGAGAAACGTTGGGTAGTTTCTTGATGTGTTGTGGACAGGTACAACCACCAAATGACCAGTACAAGAGATTGAAACGACAATGAAGAAATACCCTGATCCTGTAAAACAAAAGAGAACCAACAACAGTTTCCGCGAGGCCAAGACACACCCAAAAGTTTTGACCCCCTTATCACATATCCTTAGATCTGCCCCTGACTCTAATGGTTTCTTTCTTCTGTTTTCATTCTGTTTTTGTCCAGGAAATAGGACTTTTGAGACAGCTTTTATACCTCGATGTGTCTCAAAATCGACTGGAGCGGCTTCCTCCTGAAGTAGAATGCCTTCAGTCTCTTACAGACCTGTACTTGTCCAACAATCTGTTGCTTGAACTACCGGACAACATTGGTGTGTGTAATTTGCTGCTAAAAGGGTTAAATATGTTAACATTTAGAGATTTTTCATTCTGCAAAGTAGCAAAAGGAGGCTACTATCGGTGACAAAGTCAGGGCTGTCAATAAGGGCCAGTAGCCGGGCCAAAACTGCCGGCTAGTTGGCCATCCTTAGCGGGCTAGTTTCATCTCCTTCTACTATAAAAATAAGCACAATCAAATAAAATTGTAAAGCATCCATTTCCCAGTTTTGAATGACCTTGAATGAATATTTAAACAGGTTTAGATCTGTTAAACATTCGATGTCTTGGAATGTCTTGGACATTTCGACAGCATTGTTCCCAGTCTTCCGTGTATTCTGGCAAAACAACATGGCGTCTGTGGTGGAAAATACCTCTTGAAAACCCCTGGAAACGCCATTTCCGAGACTCTAAATTTCAAAATGTCCCTAGATGCCTCGGTCCTCAAGAACTTGTGCCTTTGGTGCGAGTTCCAAAGCCACCTACTATTCATTATCAGCCTGCTACTTAAAAACTTTTTGACAGCCCTGCAAAATTAGTTGAGACAGTTTGCCCTAAAGGGCCTTTCTGATGTTTTACCAACTTCAAAAGTCCCCCTTCCATGCAATGTTGTGCTGCCATTTGAGCTATAACCTGAAGAAAACAAACAACAGTCCCCAACTTTGAATGGAGGGGTGATCTCTCAAGTTACCCCATTTGAGTACAGTGTCTTGAGCAACAGTATTGTCACCAATTGTAGTCTTAGTTTTAAGATTTTTCCTGTTTCTTTCCTTTTAACTTTTTATCGGTTGACAAGCTTGTCAAAAAAGTGATCACTGAAGGAGGGAGCCTAGCTGAGTCTGGCCGAAAAATTAGAGTCCTAAATGTACAATCTGCTCCCAGAATTTCTAGTTTTTAGAACAAAGCTCTATACAAAATCCCAAATTAACTCTTAACCACAATGTTTTGTGTTTTGCAGGTGCATTAGGAAACTTACAGACACTTAAAGTAGATGAAAACCATCTTGTGGAACTTCCAGATAGCATAGGAAGGTACTATTAATAGTTTCTTTTCATTCTAAATTTGCTGGACGTTTTCCCAAACATATTTGCTTAATATGTGTATTTAATTCATAGATTGTCCAACCTTGAAGAGCTGGTTGTCATTCACAATGAACTTGAGGTAAAAAGTGAAGCATTTTCTGCACTGTTGAATCCTTTGGGCCTAATGAAAGTCCAAAATCAAATCAAAAGCAAAGAAAAATTCCAGTGAAAAATAAATATTACCACATTAAAATTTTGCAAACTAATTTGGTTAGGTTATAGGTTGCACCTCTGTATGAAATTTGGTGTAAATGAAAAAATTCAGTTTGCAGACTAATGTTGTTAAAAATTCTATTATTGTTATTGTTGCTCATGTGCCTTGTTTGTTTTTTTAAGATTGATAAATTCACATAACTCAGAGATCATTCCAATTTAAAATACCTCTGAATGTTGTGTGCAATTGAAGGTTTTGATCTTTTCAGAGTTTACCAGCATCCATTGGTTTTTTAAGAAAACTCCAGATATTGTATGCTGATGAGAACTTTCTGGAAGGTATTCCGTTAGAGGTGTGTATTAAAATGATGCCTTACTCTTATTTACTGGATGAATGCCATGTAATGTTTGCATTAGCCTGCCAACAGGCTCCCAAGTGAGGCCACACTTGGTTTGTTTCACTCACCAATTTTCTTTTTTGCCCCACGCCATTTAGGCACCTGTTTGCAAGCTACTTTTGCATCAAATTTTTAAAACGTTTTTTTTTTACGTATCCTCTGGCCTGATTGAGGCATGCCTTTAGTGAAACAGTTGTACAAAGTCATGGCAAAGTTATCCAGGTCTTCCTCATTTTTAAATAACGTTAACATACCCCAGGCATTTGCTGAACGCTACCTCATCATTATCTATTTCGCATGCGCCCTGTCAAGGGAAAGCAAGATTTGGTCCGGCCCCAGTTGTAGGGTAGTTAAAGCTATCCACTGAATAAATCACTTTCTAGGAGAAAAAGCAATATTGCATTTCCTTATACGTATCCACTTATCCAGTGTATAGTGATCAGGTGGAGAGCACTGTCCTTCTAATGTTTGAACATTCACAGTTGGTTTACCAACTGTATAATTCAGCTGTAAGTGCTTTCAGTTAGTTGTAAGTATGTGCAGACTTCACTGACCCCTCTAGAAGAGGCAAAATGCCTGTGGGGCAAATTCGTTTATTTTTACCGTGAACTGTTCTACACCTTCAACCCTGTTCAAAAAACGTTAGAACACTTCCGATTTTTTGGGCATGCACAGGGCAGTCCCCTCTCCCCCACACAGTGTTACAGAAAAACAACGCAGTTTGGGAAAACTTTCAAGAGTTATTTTCAACTTTGTGAAGGGAGAGGAAGGGGAATCGACCAAGTGTTCCAACTATTTTGTCTGGGGTTGTAGTTAAAAATATTTGCATGTGGCAACGGCAATATAAATCTTGAAAGTTTTCTTTTTATCTGGTAGTTAGGAAGCTGTACATCCATGACAATACTGTCATTACGGGACAACAGAATTGTGAGAATTCCTGATGATATTGGTCGCATGCCAAACCTGCAGGTTATTAACCTAGCATGTAACAGGTAAGTGTTTCAGTTTATGAAGATTTATTTTTCACTTTCTGGTACAATCAATCTGCTTTTTTTAAACACCCTCTTGACCATGAGTTATAGTCCTCGTGAGGGTTGGGGGGGTGGTATACTCCCTGTATGGGCAGGGTTTGCATGCACCTTGAAAGTCCTTGAATTTCAATGCTAACATAATAGTTTAAGTAGAGCTCCAAAGAAAAAGGAGCACACACAGAAAGACCTTGAGATAAAATTACTGACGTTGTGGAAGAACCAAAAGGACACAGACTCAAGGCTATTTTTTGCACTGAATGGAGTCCTTGAAAAAATGGGAAATGTCTCCTTGAAAGTCCTTGAAAAGTCCTTGAAAAGCACCCAAGTTTTTTGTTCAAAAAGGGTACGAAGACTGTGGGGGCCTCTATGGAGAGGCTCTGCCCAAGGGGGGGGGGGGATACCTTTTCAGGCTTCAGGTATATGAAAGGGTAGGGGTTTTACAAGTTAAATAATGTTAAAGGATAGATATTATTAAAAATCTGTCTTTGCGGTCGGTAAATGGACCTCAAAGGGCTAAAAGATGCATTTTATGGCCGTGAAAAAGAAGAAAACTTCCTGGCTCAGTAATTTATTCATATTTAAAAGACGGAGCATTTACATTAGTTTAGAAGGATGCAGCATTCTAAATTCAGGGCTGTCATTAAGAGTCGGGGGCCGGGGATCTGCCCCGGCTACTAAGAACGTGGCCCCCAGCTACTTTCAAAGGAGAATAGAAGAAAAATAGAACCAAAAGGAAACAAGCTGTTTGATTCTCCGCCTACTTGGTGTATTTACCCAGCAACTTGAAATGTCAGTGACAGCCCTGTAAACTTGATATGTGAAAGGTTTACCATTTGTCAATAGAAATTACTCAAAGGGAGTTCCCTTTTCTGCCAAAAATGGTATATAAAAAGTTATGGGGTTTTGCCTCTTGGGGATCATAGTCTGAAGTCCGTAATATCGGGGTACGAAAGGAAATTTCCTTGAAAATCTCCAGGCTGGTACTTCTACTTGCTAATCTACTTTGTTAATTTCTTGAAATCAACAGATTGGAATGTCTACCTTATACCTTTCGAAAGCTGACCAACTTAAAAGCGCTATGGCTTTCTGAAAATCAGGTAATGCAGACTGTCAATTTCTGGCCATCTTAGACATCCTCTAGTTTCAATTACATTGATCGCCTTTCTTTGTTTGATTCTAGTCCAAGCCCATGGTTCCGCTACAGTCTGACTTTGATCATCGCACTCAGTCACATGTGCTAACCTGCTTCATGTTTCCACAGCAACCTCTTAGTGATGAAGGTACATTTTCTTCGTTTAAGAGGTAAGCCGAGCGGGGACTAAGGAGAGGAAGGGGTGCTTTCCTCCTTCCCAGTTCACTCCTCCGCCCACTCGGCTTGCCTCGCTCGCCGATTTTTTTGCGCTGCTAGCCCTGTTATTCACCCATTTTCTCCACTTAGGAGCCTAGTCTCAGGATATTTTTAATATTTTGTGGATTCTCGCTGCAATTTCTTTTGACCTACTTGGTTTCTTTTAATCCTTTCAATTTTTTTTCTTTCTAGTGTCATCTTCCGATCAGTTAAACAGTGAAGATTCTGGCAGTGTCCCGGCGTCTCTGCTGGAAGAACAAATTAGGCAAAGATCTTCAATCGTCTTCAACATCGATGAAGATGACTATTTAGTAAGAGACATTTATGTCAAAAAAGTTTCTTGTCATTATTAATCTTGTGTCACACCAGAGGAGGTTGCACACCAGTTTGCAAAGATTCACGGGAGCAATTTCGACCAATCACAATTGAGGAAAGCCGTCTTGCTGCAGACCGTGTCACACAGTCTTTTGATCATGAATAAGCTGCGGGGGATTGTAAACCGCGAAAAATACACTCCTTCACCCAGTTCACGCAGAAAATAATTCATAGCGTTTGTAAAAAACGCGTACCGCTAGGAAAAAACTAGTGTGAAAGGTTTGAACCCAGTAGTCAATTCATAAGTGGGTGAAGCATGATCGTTCAGGTGAACGTAGTCCCAAATGGTCATTGTCAACAACAGTTCTATTTAGGACTTCGCTCACTGCACCCGGACGATCATTCTCCACCTACTCAAGAAAAGAACTAGTACTTATCATGTTGCTAAAAAAATTTTCGCCAACTGCGCGCACTTTCTGATGAGGGAGGGGGAGAAGGGGTTATTATAAAAGTTACTGTAGGTTTGGGAATCTATATCAGTAAGATGAAGTTAAGGAAGCGGTAATTCCTAAACAGTCCTTAATGGTCTAATTAGGGTTTTGCCCAGTCTGTTAAGCTTTTATGGCTGCATTTGGCCTTTCAATAACGAGAGTTGGATGCATTCACAGGCTTAAGTAAGCTAACAGATGGCATGTAAATTCTCTTGCAGTCGCGGTTAGCTAGGTACCAGTCCCCTTACCCAAAAGATGTAAAGGATCGCGCAGCCCAATATCTCGCGAGCAGGCGACAGCAGCAGCATCAGCAGCAGCAGAATCAACAGGATATAGAGGTAACAGAACCCGTCTTACCAACATCTCAGCACCAGTGTCACCAGCAAGATCGGCACCAGTTTAAATACCATTACCTGTACAGAAACCTGCACTCGGTGAGAATAACTTATCAACACCCAGCACAAGGTTTACACTAATACTTATAGTAATCACTTAGACTGATCTCCTCGGGAGGAGTGTTGCATGACGAGATAAAAACAGCTGCGTTGGAGAACGCGAGGGGCACGCGAGAAGGGGGCGGTTCGGTGAAAACAATAGCGTCCTTACAGGTGATCCCTTTTTCCCCTCCTCGCGCGCCTCTCGCTGTCTCGTGCACCCGATTTTAAGGTCAAGCCAGGTCAAGCGTACCCCCGTAGGTTTCATTCATGAATTGTGTATATGAAGGAAGAATCTGTTAGTCGTTCCCGCAACGGTTTTCAAATTCAAATCTGCATTTCTGCATGCGTAATGAGCAGTGAATTTTTGGCTGCAAACTCTCAGCATTCGGTCAGATTGAAAAGTGTTCGGAATGATGAAATTGCCTTGAAGACATCTATAATCAAATTCAAGAAAATTGAGCCGGCAGAAATTCCAGAACTAGCTTGCGTGTGAATTCACCACTCATTACCAATGCAGGGATGAATCTGAAGTCTAAAAACTACATACGGATTCAACTTTCAAATGAAAGATTCACGAGTAGAATCTTTCGCGGTACGCTTGATCTGGCTCGACTGTAACACCTGCCACAAAGTTTATGAGAGAACTGGCCGCATTTACCAAAGCGAATCGTTAGGGAACCCTGTGGTATATGGATCAAGCACTCTCCCCACACCCACCTCCTTGGGCTGTGCACTCGCGTTTGTTACTTTCCCTTTTCCCCACTCCCACCACCTTGCTCTTGCGGTCAATTAATCCCCGCGGTTTTAATATTCATACGCACGCTCAACGATCTCTCTGTGAACAGGCCTCTTCATTTGCGTTTACTCTAAGTTTCCTTTGCAATGACAAAATAGAGTAGCCTGAATTTCAGACAATTACTTCAAGTCGTAGTTTTTACTCCCTCAGTAACTGAGTTACTGAGGGGGTAAAAACGACTCGAAGTAATCGTCTGAAATTCAGGCTAAAAATAGAGACCGATCAAAAACTCTTATCTGTCTGGGGAGTAATCATGGGAAAACAATTGAGAAAAACAGAGTGCTTGTAAACTAGATACATCTGTAATAAGTTAGTTAAGGAATAAATCTACCTTTACAAAGTCTCCAGAATCAAATAGAGGAAAAAATCAACAGGAGAGCAATCGGCAGCCAGTGGCAGTTGTAGTGCATTCAGTGGAACACAGAGATGAACCGCAGCTTTTAAGACCTCAAGAGGTGCGTACAGTTGAAGTTCCCTGGTATGAGGAACAGGTTGGTGTGCCTGTGTGCTTTCCTTACCATACGGTAGTTAGCAGACAACACACTTTGTTATACTTAAATGTAGGTCTTTGAAGTAGGTATGTTCGGGGATTATAGTAGCCTGAATTTCAAATTCTATTACTTGAGATGTCGTTTTTCTACTGCCAGTTTTACAGTTCTGAGGGCAGTAAAAACATATAACAACACACACAGCATCAAGTTTCTTTCTTTTCCGTTTTCCGCCCCAGAAACTTCTTCAATCTGGTCGTTTACGAGAGGTTCCAGCTGTAAACATTTGTCTTGGAAATGTTTGGTGCTTTGGACAGGGTTCGTACATAGTCTTGAATTCTTAAAAAAGTCTCGAAATTTGGCTAGCAATTTTCTAGACCTGGAAAAAGTCTGTAAAATTGATCACCTTTATAAGTGCATTTTTTTCGTCTTGGTCAAATCTTCCGAGTCTTTGAAAAAATCGAGCGAAATTTGTTCCTTTTTTAAGGTCTGTATTGAAAAAAGTCTTGAATTTTGGATTCAAAAATCTTTAAAAACCCTGTTTGGATAAGTGGTCGCTTGTGGGAGGTGGTCGCACGTGGAGGGTGAACTATATTTTTATTTTTCAGACTCCTGAAGTCCAAACGCAAAGCTCTGATTATAGCATAGGAGCTCAACCAGTGGTGAAAGTTCAGGCGATAAACGGTAACCGTCGGGTGATATCAAACGGTATTACCCAGTCGGGTGATACGGAAAATGGAGGGGGTGAACCGCAGCCTGTTATTAGAGCGCCAGTTGCTGCCAATGTGAGGAGCTTTCCTGGAGACCGACTTATTGGGGTAAATAATTCATTCGCAACTGTAGAAACGAGAAGAGAACTGGAGCCGAATTGCGTACCGCAATTGTTTCTGGGATGGTTACTGGGGACGCGCCGGGCAGCTATGGTCATTTTTTTTCACTGTCCCTAGTGACACTCCCAGAAGTCTTTGCGAAAGTTACCTCGGCCCAGTCTTCCTCCTTTTTCTAAAGCGGCGAATAAGCCCATACTTTCTCACAAGATACACTTTCTTAAGTTGTACATGACAGTGTGACTGGTTCTAGAACAGGGCATGTCATTAACATTTTATTGTAATTATTACTTTAATAGCAAGGACAGTAATTGATGCTAAAGCTTGGCGCCGATTTTTGAGATATTGCAACCACTAATACTCCAGAATCGCATAGGTGTCATACTGAACTCGCCGCTAGTCTTCCCTTACCACTACTGTTGCATTGAAGAGTGCGAGAAAAAAAATCACAAAGTTAAACAGTCGTTAAACCGAACTGAGCTGGCCCAAAGATATCTGAATCACAAAGAGAATGCTGATTACTAATTAGAGAGTAGCCGGAGACCACAAAAGAGAGCAATTAAGATATTTTAATTATATTATTGATCGAGCTGACCAAAACATCTCGTTTTACACGGAACCAATTTGGGCATCTGGAATGACCAATTCTCAAGAGCATATTGTTGTTTCCAGTAAACAGAAGTCCACTTTCCGTGATTAAAATTACTCAATTTCCAAGATTTTGCCGCGGAAAACCGCTTACGATTGAACCACCGAGCTAAGTAGATGGAAAGCAGGGGGAAAATGAAAATGATCATTCACACTCTTCTCATTAACTTCGTAATGAGTGACGCGTTAGGAGTTTGATGAGAAATTAGATCTTAATCGTTGTTCACTTTGGTTTCAGGGACAAACTCCTGTTCCAGAGGAGCCAAACCCCCGCCGACCTCCTGTTTATCAGCCACCCCCTCCCTACACCCCACGAGAGAACAGAGTACCCCCTGCACCACCCTCTGAGGTCGATAGTGGACCATCAGCGGAATCACTGCATTCCTTCCGTGAAGAAATGCCAAGCTCTTTATCTTCCCATCATGGCCGTTCCAGAGTGGGTAGACTGTGGAGTCACTCCACAGGCACCCCAGAGTCAGGGCATATAAATGATGTGCACTCTTTTAACGAGGAAGAACCTAGTTTTGTCCAAGGACCATTGAGGCCACCCTCTTATTACGAGGCTACAAGTCAGAGTGATAGGACGCTTGGTCTTGGAAATGTTGTCCATCATGTTTGGTCTGCTAATACTGGAACTATAACAAACGGAACTCATGGGTCTCATCGATCGCCTCCTCCGCAGTACTCAGCACAAGCAGAAGTGTTGAGTGAAGTTCCGGTTCGTTCAATAGTGCCGGAACCGAAAGCTCCACAAAACGCCTACACTCAACCAATCGCACGCGTCAGGCCTATAGTAAGTGTTGCACAAAGACTTGATATTTCGCAGGAAGATGCACAGAGATTCGAGAACAGGGTTCGACAGCTTCAGCGCGAGAGAGCAATGGAGCGGAGAGATGTGGCGACAGTTGACGGAACACAGGTTGTTGTTGGAGACAATCACAGACCGCAACAGGTTGCCACGGCAACTCGCAGAAGAAGCAACTCGACAGATTCTCGCAATTCCGAACAATCCGTACAGTCGTCGCAAGACGACGAAGAACCGGTGGATAATGACCCATCCGTGGAGCTGGTGAGAAACGGGCCCAGAAACGTCCTGTTCGCTAACGTGTTGAGTCGTTTCGCTGGCGTGTCAGGTCATTTCCCTAACTTCTTTCGCCTGACCAATAGCTAAACGAACGAGGTATACACATGTGTATTGAAAGAACGAGGTGTATGCATGTGTTGCGCTCGTTTCGTTTCGTAAGTGATACGACTTACGACGTCAGCGAACGTAACGTTACCGGAGCGACGCGTAGGCCAAACGAACGTTCACCATCGTATAAACAAACTCTCTTCGAGATGGTAAGCGTCCACCGCGGTCATCTCTTGTGTCTTTTGTTGTAGAGAAATGGTGTAGGTCACAACCTGTTGCACGAAACCCAAGCAAATTCCAATTCTGATCGCAAAAAGTGGCAAGCTCATGTGACAGCTTAAATGGTTTCAGTAAAACACTGACTAGGGATGGGGTCAAGGTCGACTGTTCTTTTGTTTCGTATTATGTTCTTTGTTCTATTCGATGTGAAGTATATGAAATAATTCATTTTTGAACTGCGGCAACGAACTGTCGCACCGGCAACGCGGAGGTCACGGGTTCGAATCCCGTTGAAGCCCTCATTTTTTTTTTCAGGCTTCTTCTTTCCAGTTGCTTAAATTGGAAAATTTACTGCGATGATCATTCTTCACTTTCATTTTTTCTTTTCGTTACCAAAGCATAAAACAGAGAACGAAACAAAAGATCAATAGCTCCCCACCCCACCCCGACTAAGCGTTTTACTGCCATGCCAGCCTGATAGTCCGATGCGACTGTTTTGTGTTTAACTTTTTTAGTTTGTATTTGTTTTATGTTTGTTTTAGATTCAAGTAGAAGTTTACAAAAATCCAAATCTTGGATTCAGCATCGCCGGTGGCGTTGGTTCTTCGTCCAATCCTTTTCATCCCAACGATAACAAGGTAAAAATGTCTCCGTAACATTTTCAAGACTAGGCACCTTTTTACTTGTTTTTGTGGTTGAAACTGGCTGATTTTGTTACTAAACTTCCAGTTACGCTTCCTTATGCGCTATGAAACTTAACGTTTACGAAAAAATTTCTTGTCAACGATAAAATCATAGCTACTTGTTCAACAAATTTACTTCCCAAGTATTGTATCAAACGTTACAAACAACAAACATGAACTTTGAAAAACTGTTAGGCTAACAAGTTTTCTAAAAACCACAATTTCAATCCGTTTTAATCTTCTTCAAGTTTTTCCATCCGTGCCTACTTTTGTGTTTGCCGTCTTATTAATTTCTTCTTTTAAAGTTTTACGCGATTATTTTTCATGTTTTACTCAATTTGGTGGCTGGGTCACGAAATTTGTCAAAATTGAAACAGTGGAAACCGCCACTAAGCTGAAACAAAAATAACTGCTCGGAACAAGAAACGAAGCTATAAATACCACAGTAAATACGAAAGGAGAAACGGATAGACAACCTTTAGGACATTCATATTATGGTAAATTGACATCTGTCAAAATAGGGTATCCGCTGATCAGAATCAGATGACCCTATCACGGGCTCAGGTGCCAACTCATCGAGGTCACCATGCTATTAGCTTAGTTTAATTCTCACAGGCTCAAGTTTATGGTTCTCCCCAAAAGTTAAGTACAGATTTGAGGATTTCTTTGCAATGGTTTTAAGTCGTTGTCTGAAGAAAATTTAAAATGCATAAGCGGGAGCTTCGCTTTTAGCTCTGACTAAATTTACACATTAGTCAGTGTATTAAGTTAGTAAGAATCCTGCTGTAGTACGTTTTTGTTTGGCTAAAAGTTTACTTTGCGTACGTTTATAATAAGTCTAATGATATATATCTCAGTATTTAGTTAAAACTGTTTAAAAAAGGTAAAGGTAAAGCAGCCAAATTTTACGTCCATAACTGGTGACAGTAATTCAACTGATAAACTTGCGGTCGACGGCGCCCTCATTCTACCCCCCTATCTCACCAATGCTCCATTTAAAGTTTAAAGCTAGTTAAAGCTACACAGAAAGGAGAGAAGTTGAAACAAGGATGTAGTGTCACCAGGAATCGAACTCGGGACTTCGCGCACCGAAGGCCACGCACCAGCCAACTGAATGGGTCAGTTTATGACCCATGGTCAGTTGATGGGTCCCGTCTTCCCTAAGTCTGTTCATTGTAGGGTTCAACTCTTCCTCGGAGACCCAGGGACAGTCAGTTGGCTTAGGAAAAAGGCGTGACGAGAATATCCCTAGGGACTCTCCTGCTTATGCTTGGAAACTTTCGTCCCTCATTTTCCCCAACCCAACTGTCTGCCCCGGGTCTCCGAGGATGGGTTCAACTTTTCCACAACACTTGTGTTTATCACTTTGTTGTTGTTTTTTTCTTTCCTCTAAACAGAGTATTTACGTGACGAAAGTTCAACCGGATGGTCCCGCAGCGTTTGGGCTTGTCCCTGGCGACAGAATTCTCGAAGTAGGGGAATACTTCTGACCTTACATTCTTCTGACCAATATTTTTAAACGCTCTTTTTCAATGGCGATGGTGTCAAGAGTTATAATCACAAGCCTAGAGCGTCATGATCTATTATAGAAAAAAGAGTTCCGATTCCTTTAAAGACTCTGTCGCTTGCAATCCACGTGAACGCGGGATTGGACCGAAATACATCGCGAGATTCGAGAAACGTTAACGGGATGCGGGATTTGTCAGCTACCGGGCGAAGCGGGATTCGCCAAAATTTGGGCACCGATGTGAGGCTGGGAAAGAAAACGTTTTTTGGGATGGCGACGACGAAGGAAGTGGGAGTGCGGGATCAGGACTCCCCCTTCCAGACCCTGACCCCCGGGGGGGGGAGGGGTACTCCCTTAGATAAGCCATATAGGTATGTGCCGCCCCAAAGGGTGGGGTTTTTGAGCCGTTTTGGTCGGAAAACAGGTATAGACTTTGTCCATTTTGGTCTGGAATCGGGTACGATTTCCGAGGGAACTTCCTGAACTACGGGAATGTATGAACGCGTGTATCGTTTGAATTCCAAATATGCAAGAAAGAAAGCAAAATAAGCGAATTAGAAGTAGATTGTTTCGAAATAGGGTCGGGATTTTGAGAACTGAGCGGCATACCCCCCCAAGAATTTCCAGGAGTACCCCCCTTCCTCCGAGCCCTGACCAGACTACCAGAGTCGTAAGCAGATGCGGAAGAACTTTACCAGCAACAGTTCGGAACAGTGCACGACAAAGAGATTTGCGTGTAATGGGCTTGTTCTTCCGCTTCAGTACTACCAGCCGCGGGATCAGTAGAAAATTAAAACGTGCTGATTCCCGTCGAGCTTATTACTGTGCTGATGAATGCAATGTTCTATTTTTACTAGGTCATATCCGTTCTTATGACTCCGACTCAAACGCCATTGAAAACGAGCCTCTAGGATTCATATATTTGGAATCCGGCCTCTTGTTATTCGCACGTAACGCAATTAAAGTATTCTCGGTTTTCACATGACGTCACCAAAATTCAAACTAAGAGATTATCGATTCTTCTGACTGTTTACTTTCATGAGGTATTACAACAGCTAAACAATCTACTTTATACAATTTTTCGTTTTACGATAGAGGACGCTTGAATTTCCAATCTTTTGCGTGACTCTGCGGCAGAGAAGGCCCTCGTGGAGGCTAAAAATGTGACCGATTTTCTCAAATTTTGCTTTTCTTGTCTTCAGAATAAAGATTAGTATAATCTTTATGAGTTCTCCCAAGCACTAGAAAAACTGAAAGACAGATGTTTTTGTTGGTGTCTAGACGCCAAATTTGTGCCCTTCAATGGGACACCAAAGATGGGGTCTCCGTACAAAGCTTTATGAATTTTGGTAAATTATTTTCCCGAGTATCTGGCATATGAAATATGTATATCTCTATTTGATTCTTTGCATATTTATCTTCTAATGAATGGTTTCGATTTTTATTTTTGATGGCGTGATAGTGGAAACAGAGAATTGAGTCTTTCAAGATTTAGCTGGAAAAAACAGCCGACATTTCGCGATGCGGCAACTGGTTTCCGCGCGAAATAAAGTCTGTTAGTGCTTCTAATTGGAAACTTTCTCCAGCCAATCAGAAGCACTACCCAGATCTGGTTAGTGAACCGTCATCAGTATGGAATTTCTGCACGCGTTCCTTAAACGTCATTTCGCGGGGAACTCAGTGTTGGCGTGGAGGAAAGTCGGCTGTTGTCTCGGTTTAACAAGCAACCTTTCAAACGAACGAAATAGATAAGAATGTCAACAGCACACAGGTTCGTGCGAAGTGTCATACAGCGCCGAGCACACCAAACGCGTGCAACAGTACCATTGGCGGGAAAACAGAAAGCGATAGTTAAGCGTGGGAAATGTGAACGAACCACTGCATGAACCAAGTCACAAGTTTTAGCTTTGCGCTGATTGGTTAGAGCTGTTTTCACCTGGCCGATAGTTACTTACTATGACCAATCACAACAGATTATCTATTAAACCAATCAGATCTTGCAGCAGATACATGTAGGTGACGTCAAATGCGAGAAATCTTGTGCGGCTAAAGGCACGACTGACTTTGGATTGGCTCCCGATTGGCTGAAAATTGGTGCGAGGGTTTTCTAAACAACTGTTGTTAAAGTTTAAGAATGCAAAACGGAAACAAATACGTTCTGGAAAAAAAAAAACAAAACATGTCTCTGACGTGGTTGGTTAGAAAATTGTACCCGCACAAAAGCAAATTCAGTATTATAAATTAATTTTTCTCATTTTATTTTCTGGTTCACCAAGCTCATGACATGCCAATTTTACGTTATTTTCGTTATTTTGTAGGTCAACGGAATTAATCTCAGACGAGTCACTCACGAAAAAGCTGTTCTCTTTCTAAAGCACAACCAAGCTGTGAAATTGCTCGTTGCAAGGAAGAAGGAACAGGCTTCCTGACACGGATATTAAAATAAATCGTCCGACGAGAACTGTATGGTCGTGGGAGACTTCTTGCTTGGAAAGAACCAGAGGAAATCAAGATACGATTTTGTTGCCTTGCACTTAAGTCAGTCTTTTTTATGGCATTCGCAGGCACTGAGGAAGATACGGGGCATTCAAACTTGGGAAAACGTGAACCAAACGGAACAAACAAAGCCCACAAATTATGCTGCTTGTTCTAGACAATGACACAGCTTGGCTTAATATTGGATATTGAGCATATGCGTAAACGCTAATGGAACTGACTGGAATGAAGCATTCACGCGGGAGGCTTGTTCTTTTAGACTCGCTTATTTAGAAAGTTGTTTTTACTTCTTTAGGTGTATTTTTTCCAAACACAGAGAGCGATATAAGCAAGTGAATTGTATCTTAAAAACATGGGCAATATTGGGCATTGTCTTCAAAAAATAAAAGAAAGCGGATATGCCCTTTCGAGAGGGCATTCTAGTGGCTTCAAGAGCGAACTCTGAGAGTTAAGGAACAAGAAATAAGAAGTTACGGAACTGTGGAAAAACTTTAAAATAACGACAATGATGAAATCTTTCGCTGTAAATCAGCTTTGCTGTAAAAGCTTGTCAGCGCCAAACGAAATTTAAATCCGTGCTATAAGTGGAACGTGACCACAGGAATTTAATACGGAAGAGGAAAAAAACCAATACCTCGGTCACACCTAGCTTACAGAGCTGTATTTGTTCCAACACCTCACAAAAATAAATAAATCAGACACATTTAAAAAAATATTGATTTACTCTGTTTGAAGCCTTCCTACAGACCGTCTTTGCGGAAACCCTGATTGCTGAGCGATCAAAGCGCAGATACATCTGTTACATATAAAATCTCACATACCTTATTGATACTTAATTTCGCGACTTTGGCGAGAGAGTATTTCGCGGGGTTTTATTTTTGCGATTTCGAAACGCAAATAATTTCAATGAAAAAAGGTCATTAAATTTCGCAATTTAGGTATTCTCAACTTCATTTTATTTTTAAAAAATTTCTGAACGTTTTCAAATTTCTACTTAAACTGGAAAAACAATATGTGAAAGCTACACAAATTAACGTTACTTCACTTACTGAAGATACAAAACAGAGCTCAGTTACCAGTATAACCAGTTTTAAATAAGTTTCATTATCGATACATATTCTGCATACTGTTGTGGTTATTTCAAGTTAATATTTTTTATGTGATTTGAATTTTTTATGTGAGTATTTAATTTCGGGGGTCTTTATTTTCGCGATTTGAAATACCTGCGAATAAGGTACATGTTCCATTTCCCCTTATAACATTAACTTTCCTCCTACCAGAACCATGTTTTTCGGACAAAGTTAATTCCTGGCTCACGATTTTATTTTCATCATACAAATTATATTTTTGTTGGCCGAACTATTTTTGTCAAACAAGCTTTATTTTTAGCGTACTAACTATGCTTTCCTCATATATTAGCAACTGAGGTATCGTCATCATCAGTATTACCAATATTATTATTGTTGTTGTTGTTTGATTTGGGAGCTATGTACCGTTAGCTTGGTGATCACAATGGAACAATGGACCCAGCCCGGGGGAGGGACTCCGCATATAAAAGCGGTGGGGATGCTCGTCGTCTCGCTTAGGGGTGTAAATTTCGGATTTTGATCTCACTTAGAGTGTTCTGGGCAAAACGCCATCATATTTAGCCGTGAAGGTCTCGTTTAGGGTTGCACGTGGAAAAATATAAAAAAAAAATATGTGTATTGCCTGTGTTTTAACATGGTCTCTTTTATCGGTCAAAAAAGCTTGAGCTACGCCCGGATCGGTATCTTTTAGGGGTTTAATTCAAAATTTCCGACGAGTATCCCCCCCCCTTTCATATGCGGGGCCCCCCCCCGGGGACCCAGTAAGAAGATCGAGCAAATCTCTGAAGTGGTTTTCTCGAGACAAAATGAGTTTTAACGGGTCGTCTAGGTCGCCTCTGTCCCTCTAGGGACCATTTGATCGCAGGTTGTCAACTTTCTTTTAGAAGAGTTAAAAATTTCCGGACAAAAAATTTAACGATATTTTTGGCGAGATTCATTAAGGTTTCTATTTTTGTAGCATGCGGAAAATTTTTGCAACTCAGACTAGAGTTTCAGAGAAAGCAAAAGGGAAGTGGAGAGTGAATATCCAATCAAAAATTGTATTTTATTGTCAAAATAAGCCAATCAAAATGCGCCTTAGATTGCCCAATGCTGGTCAAACGGAAGTATTTTGCAGCGCTTTGCAGCACGATCGCTTCCAGTTTGAAAGAGTGCTAGAATTCTGATCTTCAACAAGAATTTTTTCGTTGAATACTGCAATTCAACTACCCCATGTAGCGAGCATAGGTATGTTTACAGATTTCTTTTAGATTTAGGGGAATTTAAATGTTAATGTTGAAGGGAAGTGTTTTGATTGTTCATTTTCCCGTATGAGTTTAGGCGTGTATCACTTTACTTCTTGAAGTTGAAGAAATTTTTGTTATCCTGGGAACCTAATGAAGGTGCTTAGATGGCAAACTTTCGATATCGTGAGCGTCTGTTAGTGTAGAGTTGAAAGCATAATATTAATCGTTATATTCTTTTCTAATGATCACATTTCATGAGGTTTCGTATTGACTATTCACCACAGAGTACATTTGCATTCCTTGACCTTCACAAAGTGAACAAGAAATTCTTGTTTGTGAATGAGCTCTGCACATAAAATGGCAGTGAACAGTCTTGCTGCCGAGGCTTATCATGCTCTTTAGAATTCAGGGCTATTCATGATCAAGAGAAGGATGAATATATTTTGCTTTAGTGATAAATATTGCCAAAGCTGAGGTCAATAATTAAAAATCAAATTGAAAGGTAATGTCTTGTTCAAGGTTCGCGCTTCGCTCTCTCCCGGAAGCTAGATAAGTTTATCGTTTTTTGAATGGATTGAGTCGCCTATTTTGCCATTAAATCTTTTCTTTTGCATTTTCCGATATTTTTGTGGTACATTTGTGCCAATTTATTTGCTTGTTTTCTCCTCGACCGGCAAGATTTTACCGGGACCTTATAACTTCTATGTCAAATATGTGAACGATCCCTAAGGCGATCAGAGCTTAACCCAAGTAATTAAAGTACCGTTTATTTTTAAGATGAGATTTGATCAATCACATAAGCGCTGATTTGTGCTGATTGTTGTTCTGAGCTGCACATATATTTGAAAATACAGCCGAACCTCTCTAATTAATACGGACACCGAAGAGACAGAGTGAAGTGTCCGTATTAGAGAGGTGTCCATATTAGAGAGGTCACTATGATTACGTCACTTTTAAGACCCCACTGACCGGTTAGACTATTCAGTAAGTAGAATTAAGCCCAAAACTCTTTGTCTTGTTAATTTCTGAATCTAAATTGATTAATGTTATTGTATGCTGTACATGTATACAAATTTTGGAAGAAAATGAAATACTTCGCCTAAGACATGTTCTGGTATTGGTATCACTGACTGATGAAGTGTCAGTGTTTGTGTAACTGCCGACAGGAGATGGTACATATACCACAAATTATTGACACCTTGTCCTGGAGTGTCTCTAATAAAGAGGTTAAGTTTGTATGAATTTGCTCCCAAGGGCCGAGATTTGGGTGTCCGTTGTCCATATTAGAGAGGGTCTGTATTATAGAGGGTTTTTTTCAGAGGAAATGTATGAGAATTTTGTCAGTACATAGCAGACAGACTGTCTGTAATAGAGAGGTGTCCATATAAGAGAGGTGTCCGTACCGAGAGGTTCAACTGTAGTTTACTATGGTTTAAGTGCTTGGTTGCAGTGCTACCTACAGATCTACAATCCTCGTAAAAAATCTTGAAACACTTGTGTGCGTTTCCCCTTCCCCAAGGTTGATTTGGGTATCACAGTTTTCTCAGTGCTTCAAAATACGTGTGGCTCAACACTGGGGACGGAGAGGGCACATTACAGTGGGAACAAAAGTGTGAGGAGTAAATCTCAAGAATTTTCTAGAAAATTCAAGAGAAGCAGTGTCTGTTTCTACGATTTGTGACGAGTATTGTAGATGAGCCTGCCATTGCACGGGTAGCGCAAGTATGCATAAGAGTTGTAGGAAAGTGAAAAGGGGGATGGTTCATATAAGTTGTGGAAGAAATTAAGTGAAAGTGTTGTGTACATCATAAATATGAGCTTTGGGATGAACATTTTCTGAGTGTAGACTTACCATGCACACATTTTGAAACTTAAACCTAGTTCGTGTTGCGTCCAAGTTCAGCTTCTTTCTCAACACACTTAAATCTGACAGCTGGCAAAGAAAAATAATCTGGTTAAACTGTTTACAGTACCAGGTTATGTTAAAGATTATTTTGGACCAGGTTTAATATTAACAAAATAACTCAAAATGAGTTTATTGAACAGTGCGAAACAACTGCAGGGCCGATAACTGGACAGTAAACAGGAACAAAACTAGAACTAGTAAAACTAAGAAATGTGGAAATTGAAAATACAAAATCGTAAAAAAAGTAGGGTGGGAGAGGTGGGTAAGAGCTTATGCCTCGTCTCTCCAGATCTTAGAAAAGATGAGACTCCAGACCACACAGTTGACCAGAAGGGACATTCGATATCTCTTTAATGTTACTGGTTAATTTATCATCAATAATAAATGATTTCTCTTCTACACACCAACATATTTTATCTCTCTTTCAGAGGACTTTGCAGTGCTTATTTGACCAGTTATAAAAATGTCAGTTCCACTGAATGAGGTACAGCAGAAGAGGACCTCATTACGGCGAACTCCGCCACCCAAAGCACCACCCAAAAAGGGCTCTCCACCAAGGGATAGACCATTGAAAACACAGGATAGCAACCCAGAAATAGCACAGTTGATTCCTGGATTCAAACTTAAGAAGACGGGTTTTCGTGATAGCTTGATTGCTGAAGATGTTGATAACAAACATCTTACACCTGCTGGCAGTGATGAACCAGAAAATGAACTTTTGAAGAAAATTAAACAGAGGAGAGTTATTGTTGAACAGGGAAATCAAAATGAGGCAGAGGAAACTGCCAAGCCTAAACTGAAGCCTAAACCCAAACCAAAACCCCATCCTGATGGCAGAGAGAGCGAAAGGAAACTTTCAAGCTCATCTGATGACAGTTCAAAGGAGAATAAAGGGAACTCGACTGATGTTAATAGGAATCTTGTGATCTGTAAAGATTCACGAGGAGAACCTATACTCCGCATTTTGCCAACACTTGAAAGCTTGGGAAAGCCTCCTTCAAAGCCAGTTAAAGTGGAGAGTTTAGAGGACATTTTGGCAAAGTATAGTCGAGCAGATATTGTGATTGCTCATCGACGAAATACTTTGTCTTTGCCTAGGAATATTGAAGGCAGCATAGGTATTGTGGTTGATTATCTCTTATCCCTTTAAGTCCCAATAGTGACCAACAGCAATTTTCTCCTAACAATCTCCATACATTGTCAAGAGATAAGGTTGTAAGAATATAAAAAATGATCACGAATGAGAAAACGCCTTGATGTTTTATTAAATTCTCTCAACTAATTCTTAAGGGAAATGTATGGAGATCAGTTTGGAGAATTTGTCTGTGGATACTGGGGCGTAAAGGGTTATATGAAACCTAAAGCAAAAAGGGTGTTGGAGGGGTGGGTTTTTGGGAGGGTGGGTGTCCATACAGTTTGTCCATCCTTAGTATTATTACTGTGATAGTGTGTGCTATGATGCTGGAGCCCTTAAATATCCTGAAAAATAAGGAATCTAGGGGAAAGTAAAGGGGACAAGTTATCGTTTGTTTGTCGCGTAGCATGTTTATGCCCAGTGGTCAAACATGACACCTAGAGTTGGTCCCTGCCTTTTTTTTTACTCCTTTTGGTTGACTTTCTATAAGATGGATATCTCTCTAATATGGACATGTAGTACCAGTCCCAAAGTTGTCTGTCTTAGAGAGAGTCGACTGTGCATGTAATATTGATTCTCATTAATAAGCCATAGGTGATGTTATTACTGAAGCTGATGAGTTCCAGCAAGAAGATTATGATGATGTTGATGAGGAGACAAAAGCTCAGATTCTGGACAAAGCTAAGGCTGAACAAACAGCTGAAGGAGACAGTGGTACAGTTTGTAAATTAATAGAAAACTTCTATATGTTCTAATATTTATTGTAATTTAAGGATAGGCTAAGAGTGCTTTGGGAGATTTAATTGTAAGTGAGTTCTGATACATGCATAAACTTCTCTTTTTATAAAACTGCCTTTTGCTTGTGGAACAAAATTAATGAATAATAATTCAAAACAATCTCAAAGTCACTAAAACTATAATAGGGGCATTTTTCACTTCCATTTTGAACTCAAATACGGTGTAAATTAATCGAAGGAGGAGATTTTAAATGCTGATAATCTGTTAGAAGATGCAACATCAGGCCCTAAAAATGCAAAGTTAGACAGATTAAATGCTAGCAAATGACATAAAGATGATCAATTGAAACTGCAACCTTGAGGATCACAAGTGACAAATTATAAAATAATAGAATACTGTTGGTGGGGACCTGGCTTGGAGTAACAAAATGTTTGAAATTCAGACTTGGGACACATGTACCCTCCGCCATAAAATAGCCTCAATACTGAATTTAAAGTATTAAAAAGGCTATTTTCTCAAACTTCAGGGATCCTTGAAGAAAACTATGATGATGTTGATGAAATCAAAGAAAAAGTTAATGAAATAAATAGAAGCATGGATGAAGCACAGAATGCTGAGCCCATCTGTGAAGAGAGTTATGATGACCTTGATACAGTGGCAGAAGAAGCTCAGAACCATCTAAGAAACGGTATGTGATCACAGGGGCAGGACAAATACAAACAGAAAGAGGGAGCGTTAAGGGCTTTGGAGTTGCTTTCCCGTCCTCTCCCACACTCTGGAACAAATTTATTTAAATGAAAGTGTTTGTGGGGTTATTTATTTAGAAATACACTTAAACCTCTCCTCAAAGGCCACCTTGGGGGTAGCAGAAAGTGGCTGTTGTAGAGGTTTGACCCTTTAAGTCCTGATAGTGACCAAGGTCAATTTTCTCCTAACAATATCCATATGTTACCAAGAGAAATGGTTATGAGAGTTAATAAAATGATCACCTAAGAGAAAATGCTTTGATCTTCTTCCAAATTCTGTCAACTTATTCCTTAAGGAAATATATAAAGACCAGTTTGGAAAATTTGTATGTGGATATTTGGGCTTAGAGGGTTAAAGAAGTGTCAATGTTTGGACTGTCCGCCAGGACAAAGGAGATTGGCCATTGTAGAGAGGTGAATTAAAGATGGTTATTGGTGAAGTTTGGACTGTATCCCAGTTCCCTGTCTCACAGGTGACCAAATTTCCAGATCCCATATCTTATTCGTAAAGTCGAATACTGTAATCCAGAATCTTTCCTGCCTCTTCTACTCTACAGTCTGAAGTCCTCAAATATTACATTTTGTGTAAGTCTGTGAAAATCTAGTATTCCAGAAAAAAAAAACTACTGTGGACCCTTAACTGTTTATACTGGATTTTAAAATGTTTTTTTAATATTATTGTTATAGATTTTAGTGCTGTAGGTAGTGGAGAGACATTTGGTGAAGAAATGTATGAAGCGTTACCTGGAGAGGAACAGGGAGGTTCAGAAAATGGCTTTGACTCACTTGTTGAAAATAAGGTTTCACCTACAGCAACTCCAAGGTGTTATTATAGTAATATTTTCTTAACCAAGTGCCTTCTGATAGGTCGCGGAAGAAAAAGTCAAATTTTGCGGGATTTTTAGGGACAAATTTGCGGGAGTTTTCAGGGCAAACTTCACCAAAAAGCAATCCGTAAAAAACGGCTGATTTTGTGTTATTTTCAAGGCATTAAATTTTGCTAGAAATCGATCAGTTTTGCGCTGATCAGACCAGCAGTTTTAACGTTTTTCTAACAGAGGTCATCATTTGCTCTTTCAACAACAATACGTTCCAGAAATCAACCAATGGCAAAGCCTTTCACATCATGGCTAGTTCCCAGTTTTTCGCATAATCTACGCCTGATAGTTTCAGGACGTTGTTTGCAGGTTTCAATGACGAAGTTCCAAAAAAAAATTGCAAATTTACGGCAAGTAAATAGCCCCTATAGCTGAAATAAGTTTCAAATATGTTGTACAGACATGTATTTGATAAGATTTCTACCAAATTTTGCGGGATTTCGCGGATTTACCTGAATTTCACAGCTCCGTGACCGCGCGAAATATCAGAAGCCCTGACCTACTGAGTTCACCCATTCAGTTCACTATCAACTGAAAATAAAGAAACCCAAACTTTCTCTTTGATGGGTATACCCATCATTATAAAGTCTGAGGTGGCTGGAGAAACAGGCGGTCACTATGAAAGTAAATTGGAGTTTTTGTCCAGAAAATTGTAGTTCAATAGCTATTATCTGAAAATGAGTTAGTCAATAGAGGATGAGCGCATGTCACAACAACAACAACTTATAACAGTTTACTCAATTTGATAAAAATTTACAATATTATAATTATGTTACCCACACATTCAAAAGCCAGGAAAGAAATTATTAAAGAAAATGAATAAAGAGAAAGAAAAACTGGATCCGGCATATTGTTAATTGTATAGAAATCGTAAAAAAGTAGAAAGATTGTAAAAGAAAAACGAACTAGAATAAGTAAGTGAGGGGAGCTTAAAAAGACGTGTCCATCTTGCTCAACTCCCCTCTGACCATCAAATAGAAGCAGTCCCTGAAGAGCTGCTTTGCTTTGTTTTTACCCATTTTTGTAGAGAACAGATTAAAGAGAAAGGGAAAAAGGATCTTAAAAAGGAGATGGAACTGCAGAAAAAGAAAGAGAGAGAAGAACTGAAAAGAAAAAAGGAGGAAGAGAAAAGAAGAGAAAAAGAGGAAAAAGAAGAGAAGAAGAGAAGAGAAGAAGAAAAAAAGAAAAGAGAAAGGGATGATAGGGAGCTTCGGAAGAAACACAAGGTACGTTTTTTAAGTTGATCAGTTTGTTGTTTGTTGAAAATCATAACCCAGTTCATAAATAATATTGTTAGCCAACAGTTACCAACAAACTTAGAATAGATCTTGTAATTCCCTTTCTTCTTTTAAATCTAAGCTCAAGACTTGGCTTTTTAAAATTGGTTATGATGTTGTTGTATAGAATGATGATGATTTTATAGGATGACAATGTAGTTTTGTAGGTTTAGGATTTTGTTGTTATTTTTATTATGTAAAGCGCTTTTGGACCATTGGGAATTTTTATAGGATGACAATGTAGTTTTGTAGTTTTGTAGGTTTAGGATTTTGTTGTTATTTTTATTATGTGAAGCGCTTTTGGACCATTGGGAATTAGCGCTCTATAAATATTGTATATTATAATTATTATTATTATTATTAAGTATTTGAATGTGAAAAAGGCAAAGTCTGCGTTTGAGCCATTTAAAAGTGGCCAATCAGGCCAAGGCTTTTGCCAGTTTCCATGGCATGTAGAATTTAGGAATTTCTTCTCCCTCCTGGGTGGGATGCTAGACCATCGTGGTAATATATTACACCCCCCCCACCTCAGGCATTTAATTCACTAGAAACCATTTGTACACCAGGGTTGATTGAGGCACTGTTATAATAATAAGCTTGTAAAATGCTTTGCCCAAGAACACAAAACAATGAACCAGCCAAGGCTTTACTGTAAGACCTTTCAATCTGGAGTCCAGTACGCTAACTAGCATCTACATGAATTTCTAAGCCTTTCTATTTATTAACTGTAAATCGCCTCATTAGTTAACTTCCTATCTTTATACATTTCCAGTTGAAACCAGGAAGTGAAGAAAGTCATGGCGTTGGAGAATTAAAAAGCAATTTCCCTGGTGAAGGGAAATTTGAACTGTCAGCAAAGCAAGGCGATACTTTGGTTGTTGTTTGTGAAAAAGGATGTCCTTCGGGAAAATGGCTGGTCAAGAACACAGAAGGACATCGTATGTATTATACTTTTGTTTGATTGCACACTTGTTTCTTGTTACTGTTTAGTACCTATAGATAACCATATACATGTATATTTTTTTCATTTTCCCTGCCCCGTTCTTTAAACCTCAAAACAGTATATTCTTTCTTCATGTTCAGTTGGTGTTCATTACACAAAGGCATCATTCCTTAATCATCAGTTAAACCTAAAACTTATCATCATCATAATCATCATCATCATTGTTTTTCCTTTCGAAGAGAGATTACTGAGAGGAAACTTTTTTCTTATAATTAATTTAACTTCTCATAAGAATTAACTTTTGTTTGTTTGCCTTTGTAGTGGGATACGTACCAATGGAGCTTATTCAACTCAAAGTAAGTTTTAGATTGTTACTGCATACTTTAATAGCTACATTTTAAATGATAACAAGTGATGAAAAAATCTAAAGACATCTTAATCAATTTTGTCTTTTTCCTCCTTTGAACAAAAGACAACGAAAATGCTGAATGCGACAACTCCTTGCATCAGAAATCAGCAATTTTTGAGCAAAATGAAACAAGTCACTTAAGTTCTCATAATGTAAGGGCCTGTTTACAAGTAGAGAGGGTTACCCTTGTGCTAGGGTTACCCTAGCAAGCGGGTTAAAGTTAGCTCTGGTTTACAAGCAAACGTCACAGTTAGGGCTACCCTATCACCTGGGTCAACTTTACCAGCTTTTCTGACGTGTTTCATCATGCGAGGCATTCTTTGTAATGGTCCAAGATTTGAAATAATCTGGAAGTTCTCTATGAAAAACACGTTAAATTCACGAATAAAAGAGAAAGTATTATCATCCTAGACAGAAAATAACATCTTATTTTTCAGATGTTTATAATTATTAAGCTCGTTTGTTTTGTTCGTTTGTTAATTCCGTTCAAAGTGGCAGGATTACTGGTCATGCATGACGGCAGAAAGTTGACCAGGGGGGGCAAGTTATCCCTAGCAGAGCCTTGACAAGGCAGGTAGGGTAACCCCCTTGCTAGGTTAACCCTAGCACCAAGGTAGGGTTACCCTAATGCACGCTAGGGTAACCCTACCTGCCTTGTAAACACGTCGAGTGAAAAAAAAAAAAGAAATATGCGAGGGCTAGAGTAACCCCCTTGCTAGGGTAACCCTAGCACCAGGGTTACCCCCCTTGGGAATTGGGCCTAACATGCCCAACTTTGTTGCAAAGTAGTTTATATTGAGATTATATGATTTTGATTAAATTTCAGATTGACAGTGAAGGGAACAGGCTCAGGTAAAGTAGCTTTTTAATTATCATTACTCTATAGCAAAGGTCAGTTTCCACATTGTTGTGAAACAAGTCTACAACTGGTACACTTAAATAATCTAGATTCCTTTTCCTGCCAGAAACAAAAATGATCACCAGCTGATCAACCATTTCATTTGCTTTACATACATAATATTGAAAGAACAATTTGAACAATATTATTTTATTGTTTTAAATTAGATGATAAAAATTCTGTAACAACTAACATTTTAATAGTATGATGTCTCATAACACGAATGTCGATTCTCACCATAGTACCCACAGTATTTGAAAATGATGATGCAAGGGAAGGGGCCTCCCTGCAAGTGTATTGAAATGTAAGGTAAACACATTACTAATTTTTCTATTTAAATTTCAGTGCCATCATAACTGAAGACTTTTATGAAGATGTGGACAAATATCAGAGTAAAGATCAAATTGAAGAAGGTATACAAGTTTGCCGTTAAGTTTAACAGACTTTTTGCTCTTGTTCACTTTGGGGAGGGGAACACTCCTGAGTATTTCTCTGACGAGGGAAGAAGAATCTGCAATGAAGAACCTTTGCGTCTTGCTATGGTGACAAAAAAAATCCAAGTTTCAGTGTTTGTACAAATTTAAGACTTTCCTTCCCATGCAGTGCACTCTTAGCCTGCAAACACAGTCATATTTTCGGTCACCGCCTCGCTTGGCCCATTATTTTTCAGGTGGAGAGAAGCGACGACCTGAAATATGTCTGTGTTCACAGGCTACTGCACTCTAAGTTTCTTTAGCAAGTAACACCCCTCACTTGTACATGTAGCTACAAATTCTGGATAAATTTAGATTTCAGGGAAACTGCCCACCTGCCCCTCCCCTAAGTCAACGTCAACAGTTACTTCTCACTTAGGGCAAAATGTTGGGTTAGGGGAGGGGTACGTGGGCAGTTTCCTTGAAACCTAAATTGATCCAGAATTCCCGCATTCCCTTGCAGTTGTCTTTGCTTTCTGTTAATCCATGAGAGCCATTCCCTCTTGCTCTGAAGGGCCCAAACGGAGGTCATGCTTGAATCAAGTTATTGTCAATTGACTAGGAGTTTTTTTGTTCCTTTAATTTCAGAGGGTTATGAACAAGAAGTATATGATGATATTGGTGGACAAGGTAATAAAAATTACTCGTTAGAGTGTCGTAGTTAACTTCATGATTTTCTTTTCACGATACATGACATTATCACATTAATTTTCCAAGGGCAGGGAGTGAGAGGTCACAAGTTCTTCAATTTTTAGATATAGCTTTTCCACAGCTGGTTAACACCACTTTTTGTGTAAAAGTAGCTCATCTTTAACTTAAAATAAGATTATAAGTCATAGTGTGAAAGATAGTGATCAATGAAAGTGAGCTGTATTGATATGTAAATTATCCCTATTTGCAGTATATGCATGGGAAATGTCTGAAAACGAACTGGTAATGAGTTGTTAGTTCATAGTAAAAGACTTTGGAGAAGGATGCCATACATAGGTTGGTGATTTCTGATTGCAGGTGTTGATTTGCAGTTTAATTTTTATTTCAGAGCCTATTGATGAGGATTTTTATGAAGAACTACCAAATAACTAGTGGAAACGTTAGTACTCTATATACCCTCCCCTCCCTACTGTATATTTTTCCATAAGGGTACTCTAGAGAGAATTCCTTACATCCGTGAGTAATACTCGCTTGTGACGTTTTACAGATTGTAAGGCGAATGATAATAGATGGTTTGCCCTGCAATTAAAAGACATTTTTTCAAGTATCATATACATTATATACTGGAATCTCCATAAAGAAGCAATAACTATAGCACACCTGCATTGCAAGAGGCAGAGGGTAGCCGTACCTTTCGCAACTTGCTCAAGCATGACTTATGACGATTTCATTATTACCAGAAAGCTTGCTGGCAGGTTACATATGTACCACTCAAGGCTTTCTTATTTAAAAGGAGTAAAAGAGGCCCACACAAAACAGTAGCGACTGTACTTCGTCTGTCGGAGATAATGTAATTGCGATCTATCACTGAGTCTAAAAGCTCTCTTTCATCGTAGTAAATGCATCAGAGAATGTGCAGTCAAACTTTATTAATGTGGACATCAAAGGGTCCAGAGCCACTACTGGTTTGACTATATAGTACCATTCGAAGTACGTATAGTGTGTTTTTTAATGTTTTAAATTTTACTTTTTACTTTTTACTACTGAACAATGCCTAATGCTTGTGTGTAACAAGGAAGTAATCAGCAGTAACTGCCAAGTAATATCGTCAAACGTTTGTGACATGCCTTGTTTTTATTCCTTTTTGGGTGGGTGGTGATGTAGGAAGCAATTCATTAAGGGGTTGTTCCTAGGTATATCAAATATAAAATATATATTTTTTAACCAACATTATTATATTCTCTTTATTATCTTATGGTTGAAGAAATTATGTTGGGACCAGGTTGGTCTATAATTTGATATTAGGTAGAGGCATACTGCCAACATTAGACTGTTCACAGCCCAATATTTTGCTAGTGACAGTGTTTCTACTCGATAAACTGGACTCTTGTATCAATGGGGAGACCGAGGAAGGGGGGCTTGTCCACTCTCTAACCCTTCACCTTGAGCTCGCTAATTGGTGCATTCCTTTCTTTGTGCGTTGAAAAAACAGAGGCTGTAAACAATCTAAGCTAGTGTAAGATTAGCGAATTTATCTGCTCTCAATATAATAATATAGTACATGTATTAAGTGACGGACCACAAGAAGAGTTATGGTTCGCAGACTATTTTCTTTTGGAGATCCAATTTGTGACTGTTGTTCTTCTTTGTCAGTTTTGTGGATATGTTTAACAAATGGCCCTTTTCTTTTTCTTTCTGACTTTCTCATCCACCTCCCTCCTGAACATTTCTAATGGTTCGTACAATTTGTCATATATGATCCACATGGTCGTGATCTGATATTTGTTACATATATGTATTTCTATATTGACAAAAGGGGAAACACGCGTTGGCGCGAAAGATTTTCTCACGCGCGTTTTCTCGCGAGAGAGGCGGGCAACCTCGTCTCGCGTGTTTCGCGACCAAAATTTTAAAAATCCCTAAGGGTTGCTTAGCGATAATATATATATTTTTTGAGAAATTGAAAGAGTTGGACGTTTAGAGCCTTTACCAAAGTTGTGTAGAATATATTGAAATAAACTTAAATATCGTAACGCTATAGATGCTTGCAGAAGTAGTGTATTTTTGTATAGTATTCAAAATTATATATTTTTGTATTACCTTTTTGGAGTATTTTTTAATTATCTAACAAATCGTAGTTTCATAATAAAATGTAAAAGCGGGAAGATATCTGAATGACGAAATAAATTCAGTTGCCCAACATTGAACGTAGCCTGTTTATCAACCTTCGTGTGGTACGGAAAGGTATAGATGCTATTTAAAAGTTGGATCAAGTTAGGTGCGGCAGTTTTTAACAACGTGATCCAGATAGTGGACCCACTGGCGAAACAATATTATTGACCCTTTCGAGTTTGAAGCTTTAGGTTATGAGGCTTGGCCTCCAGGACAACGCAACACTGCTTTGAATTTGTCTTGCCGAACTCTAGAATATCTTCGAGGTAAGTGTATTCAAGCAGGATTTGGCAGTTCAGGTCTCTGAACGAATTGTTCATTACGCGTTTGATTGTACCCGGTGCGTTGCATCGTCCGAAAGGCATCCTCGTGTGCTCTGTGTTCACTCAATCCGCCAGTCCCAGTCCTAAGTCCTCCCATTTCGTCTCATTTAGCGGGATTTCATTTACCATGAAGTTGACAAAAAGATGATGACGGGAACCCAAAAAAGTTTTTGTGTCCTTGAAAATGCTTCGCGCCTGATCTGAAATTATTTGAAAAATGGCTTTGCAAGTACGCAGTTTCTGTTTTTTCTTTTTTTCAGCACTTCGGACTTCGAACTGTGCGAATTCCCGCATCCCCGGTTTTCGTATATTTTTCATTTGACCGCGGTCACCTGAGTTCTAGTTTTTAATATTGACACCGCTGAACGAAAGGAACGGCAAACAAACCCGAACGAAGCTTCGCCACTCTTCGCCCTTTTGAATCGGTTTGAAAGGGATTCGTAACACACTTGCAGTAAGCATAGTGAAACCGTTAACAAAAACTGCCACCTTGTTCTTTCGATGAAAGGTTGTATGGAAAGGTAAGTTATAATTTTGTGTTAGTTTCAGGGCAATGATCTAGGAGAAGTGTCAGTGTCGACTCCTGGCAAAGTTGAAACGTAGAAGAGAAATGTACAAGATGAGTTAAAAGTTGCAAAAAGGTCCAGACATGTCTTTCTCACATTGTCATAGCAATCTTTTAATTACCATAGAAACATCCACGACAAAGGGAGCCTAGTTACAGTTCAGATGAATGAAATAACGAAGGCCAGTCAAACAAAAAAGTTTAAGCACCGCACTCAATGAAGTTTTGCATTGAACACGTGTAAGCTTAAATAGCTAGTTTTAGTACGGCCGTAAGACGAGTCTTGCAAGTGCATCTATGGAAAATATAGTGGTACGGTTCGTTTGAACATAATAGGCACAAACCTAAACTTTATTGGTACGCTTAACTGTGCTAGCTTTTTTAAATTTTTAAAGAGATTTTGATGAACTATTGACTTAATTTGTGTTGGTGAAAAGCTGTTCACGTAACTGCCTGTTTTCGTTGGTTTCTTTTAAAATCCACAAATATATCACAAATATAGCAATGATTCCTTGCAATTTTTATAGGCTGCATGAATGCAAGGTATAGCTGGTTTAGTTCTGATGCCGCACAGAACAATTGAAACAAGTTGCTCTATAAGTTCAGCTGCCCCAACGGATGCTAAGGCAGGAGAAAAAAATGTGTCTCCTTCGAAGTCAACAGAAGCTACAGTGAAAGAAGGTATTGTTTGTCAACAGTTAAAGCAATAAATAGAATATGCTTATGGTAGGGAGAGACCTTGGCATTTAACCAGTGTACATACTTCTTACTTCATGTCAAATTATAACCAACATTATGCTTGAAGATGTACCTGATCACTACAAGCACCCGGTAGTGAGTCAAATATTATTGTAAATGGAATGGTCGATTCAGCAGTTCATCCTAAATGAGGTGTACAAGTTAAGAACAAGCCAAATTCACAGACGATCCTGTATTATTTTGCTTATGTCAAGCACTTGTTTTGTCAGATAAACAGCCAAAGACGTTTGCTCAAGCAGGCATCAGTCATCAAGATGAAGCAAAAATTAACTGTTCAAAACCTCCTGGAGGAAACCACATCAGAGATTTGATTTTATCATTTGATAAAGGTAGATTTGTCTTACATATAGTCGTATTGCAGTAATATTTTTTTGTGAAAAAAACTTTTAGTAGTTGGTGAAAACTGATCAGCAGCCTAAACAGCAATAATATTATTACATAAAATGGGTCGTCTTAATTTTATGATTTTCTAAGATGCACTTTCATGCAAACATTGACAGCTTAGACAGAATCCTTCAAGAAATTGAGTAATTTTAATTTTCAGTGGACAAAAGCCTTGTACCAGAATAATCTCAATCATATTGCATTCTTTTTTCCACTTTTCGAGGGCTATAAATGTAATAAGTTATATGAAATAAATCCAAAGAAAAGGTTCTAAAGATAACATGAGAAAACAAACTTCAAGAGCTTCAAATGTCACAAAATGAAATCTTAAACCCATGATAATTTTACCTGTGTTTTCTCAATTCCTGTGAAATTTAAAATTTATTTTCTTGGGCTCCCATAAACATTATCTTGTTCTAGTTCTTGTCTCTCCTATTTGCAGTTCCTATAGTTCTCAGTAGCAATCATACATCACCAGCGACAAAATCCAGACGCCTCATCCAGGATGGAGATCGTTACATTTTCCTGGTGGAAGACAACAGAAGCTCCAAAGTCAGTTCCTCCAATGTGGGAGCTGATTCAAGGGCTGCTAGATCAACAGATGATGACACAGAGGTTACAGCGCATGACGAGGAAGAAGAGGAGACTGGTAAGTTTCATTTTGAGATTTGCTTGTAGTCCTGCAGTGCCCTCTTTATCAGGTGGTAACTGGTAAAATTTACGGTCAGAAGTTACACTTCTTACTGCCTGCAACTGCTTGAAGGTTTACTAAAATGAAATGGGTAGTTTTGAAAAATATGTAAGTTGTGATCCGATCTGATCAATGAAATGAATGAATATATGGAAAAGTTCTTAAGAATACACAGCTTTTCTTTTTATGGGCCATGCATTTTGGAAAGAGAACATTGAAGACAGCCCCAGAGGGGTACTCCCATACATTACATATACGGGTATGTGCCGGCCAACGGGGTCGTGATTTTGAAGCTCCTGATTTAGAACGGGGTATCTATTTCAGAGGCGTTTTCTAGAACGGGGTATAAAAAATTGTGGATCACGGCTTTATCTTCTGCTTAAAATTTATTGTTGCTGATTATGAAGAAGCATTTGTTTGATGTATAAGTCGAACAAATATAGAAATATCTTTTTAAAAAAAACAGGGCTATTTCAATTTACAAACTTTCTGGAACGGAGCATAAAAAATTGGCCCATTTCTAGAACGGGGTGTCAGTTTTAGGGCGAATTCTACAACAGGGTATAAAAAATTGCCCCATTTCTAGAACGGGGTATCAATTTTAGAGGAAATTTTTTTTAGAACAGGGTGCCAATTTGGAGTCCCGGGCGGCACATACCCACCCAAAAAATACCCAAGTGCCCCCCCCGGGAAGACAGCATAAAATTATTGGGATAAATTGCTGTCTAAAGATAACAATGGCTGATTTGAGGAAAAGAGGTCCTAAAATGAGAGAATGACATTTCAAAGAACTTAGCTCCTCCTGTGGTGGGGCCATGTCTCTCACTCCGCTACCCTCCTCCCCCAGAAAAGTGCACCTCTGGGGCATATTTTTGCCTTACCAGTCATGAATGATTCCTTACCTGCCGAGCTAAAATTCAGGGAGAACATTGGTCCTGGGCTGAGGGGGGAGAAGATGCTGACATATGCAGTATGGCATGGATTTTTAGCTGCCCAGCCTTTAGATTTATTTGTAGAAATAGACCATAACCAGCTAACACAATACTGTAATTTGCCAATTTTTCTGTAAATGGGATGTCATGTTCTTGGAGTTTTAGCCTTACAACAGACAGGGCTTGCTGTCACAAAGGGCTGCTGACCATGAATTTCCCCTGGTTCACACTATGGGCATAAACTGCAGCTACACCCCAGGGGGGGCACTGCCAAATATGGGCTATATAGGTATGTGCCGCTGTGAAGGGTATGGTTTTCAAGCAGTTTACTCTAGGATAGGGTATATAAATCAGAGCGTTTGGGTCTAGAATAGATTATTATTTTTCAAGAAACTAATCAGTTGGTTGAAGATTTTATCTAGACTAGGGAAACAGCTACTCTAGGATAGGGGGGATTTGGGAGTTTACTCTAGTATAGGGTAGCAAAATTCAGCTGAACTAGCTCTGGTATAGGTTAAGGGTTCCAGGGTCCCAGCGGCACATCCCCACCCTGAAATTCCTAAAGTACCCCCCCCTGGAGCTACACTGAGATGAAACAAAGGGAAAATAGAACCAAAAAAAACTTGTTCAAGCTGTTCAATTTCCCATAGCTTCCACGTGAGGGGCGTAGCCAGCCCATAGACCTGTAGGACCTGGGTTGATCACTCTACCGCTTGTTATAAATTATGTGTTGTTGGGGTGAGCTAAACAGCTTAAGAACTCAAGGTCTTGGTGAGGTTAGCACATACTAGCAGGAGCCCATCAAATTTGATGGGCTCCTGATACTAGTCATACTAGTTATGCGTGCAATTTTCAGCCAGGCCTACAACTAGTCAAATGCTGGCCACGCCCCTGCCCTTATGAATTATTGTATAGTACCCCTCCCCCCTCTCCAGGGCCTAACCTCCACTGAGCAATCCAGTCATTAACTTTATGATAAATATAAGTTCTTCTAGTGGATGCATTTCATTTAATTCAAGTGCTCCACTAATTTTGGGTGTGCTGGCGACATCTTAGAATTTTCAGATGGGGGATCTGAAGGTTCACTGGAGGATGTGCGTCAACACCACGGAATAATTAAGACACAGAAGCAAGATGATCCTGATTACCTCACTCTGTTTGAAGCTCATCAACGCAGACTGGAGGATGTGGGATCCCCATCACCAGGTACTGTGAGTTAAGTCCTAGGAGTCACCCACATCAACTTTCTCCTTATTCTTTAAGTAAATGTATGGAAATCAGTCTCCGACTGGAGAATTTGTACTGTAAATCCTCTATTTAGCTCCCAGCGGGGGGCTTATTTATTTCAAGCCCATTTGAAGGGAGCTTGTTAGAGACGGGGGCTCATTTAATTTCGAAACGGCAATGGTATCGGTTCTCGAGAGAACTAGAATACGAAGTGGAAAAGCTGGCCAAGAAGACAAGACAAGAAGTTTTAGGTCATGCAGCCGAGGATCAGAATCAAATCCGAACTTCCAGTTGGTAAATAAACCATCCTAGATCATTCCACATCAGACGTTTTACGGTCGTGATTGATTAATACAGTCTATCATTTATTAGTGAAGAATAATTAGGGGTGGAGGGGTGGGGGGGGCTTATTAACTTTCTCTCCCTAAAAGGGGGGCTTATTAGATGGAGGGGGCTTAATGGAGGATTTCCGGTCTATTGTTATTGGGGCTTGAAGAATTGAAGAAGCTGTGTCACAGAATTCATCCAAATTCAGTCACTCGTAACTGTTCATTAAACTGACTGAGAGTCTAACACAAAATCAACTGCTCAAAACACTGAAGGATGTTTTAAACACAGCACAGATGAACAAAATTAAAGAAGATTAAACTGTGCCGTCAGACAGTTTTTTTTAAGTTGATCTTTGTTGTTTTTAGTTTAAAATGCGCTCAAGAGACTTGTTTGTTTGGTTTGTCATTTACAAGTAATTTCTTTCCTGACGTTAAGGTCCATTTTTAGCGATAGTAAATAGTACGCAACAGGAGGGCAGAAAAAGAAGAGGATTGCCGTGTGACAAACATGGCAGGGCTATTAAACCCGTGTTTTGTCGTGATCTTCACTTTACAATAAAGTTAACATTTCTGGTCTTTAACAAAAAGATCTGTCTAAAAGGGAAGGTAAAGTTTGGCGGAATGTTTGTTCAAACAAAATTCTTGTGACGCTTGTCACATGAGGTTTCTCTCCCGTTCTGTTGCGTATGTTCACGACACGGTAGGGTGAAGTAATTGAGAAGCATCAGAGTGGAGAGTAAAAAAGGTGGGTACTCCTTCACCACCTTATGGGTGGGGTAAGAAGTATCTTAAAAAGTTACCAGGGGGTAGGAGTGATGTGAACGCTATGTATTTGGATCTTTTTGCAGTTACGTCCTCAACCTCGTTCCCAGGTTCTCTGTCCTACCCGTCGGGTTGGAGAGAACCCTGGGAACGAGGTTGTTACGTCCTCACTGTAAAATTGCATGTAATATAAACGTATTTTTTGTATAATGCTAGTGGCTTTAAACGCGGAATTGATCGTTTCCCTAAAGCCCTATTTAATCGCACAAAGGGGCCGATGTTGATTCTGTTAAAGATCCCCAAACGTTCAAGTATAATTTATGTACTGAGACACTTTAGCGCACGCGATGTCAATGTACTGAAATCGTTGAGTATAAAACGTGCTTTGTTGTAAAAGTAACCAAACAATTTTGGATTTATTTTATTGAAGAAAGTTGCATGTTCATTTTCTGGTTAACATGCGCAATTTTCACTTTTATTGAGATCACTTTGGCGAATTTTCTATCTTAGCAGTTTGTTTCTGCTGAAGGAAATCGATTTCTTCTTCTCTCTTTCCCAGTCTCCTGATTGACTCTCTATACACTCTGTAAGTTATCCTCGAAACCGCGTCTGAAGTATCGCATTCTAATATTTATTTTTCAGTTTTCACGAAAAAGGAAATTTGAAATTTATCTGTTAACTTCTCTTGTCTTTGGCTGATTTATAGCTTTGAAATAAAAAAAGTAAACGACTATTTTCAAATATTGCTTTTACTTCCAGAATTTATGCCTTCCAGCTCAAAACGTTTGATATGGTATCGATTTGCGCCATGGTAGCCCGTGATATTTGTTTACTGGGTAATGATTGTCAACCTCAACTTATGTTTTTTACGGTTGGTTTCTCTTTTCTTGATTTTGACTTTGATGTCAATATATCAAGATATTCGTCTTCAGTAACAAGAAACAGGAAGAATAGGTATTTTATTTTAACAAATGTTTTCAGTTGTCTTTCGTGGAGTGCGGGGGCTTGTTTATCGTACCTTACATTGCGAATATCAATAATTTTTTTGTGTGGGCATTTCGACTTTTGTCGCGGAAAATTATCTTTATTGACGCCAAAGCCCTTATTTCTTTACGTAAATGCGAGGTGAATTTAACGAAAAACAACAAAAGTAAAACTGCTTCGTCATTCAGTAATCCATCCTGTTTTTTATTTTTTAGTCAAGTTGAATTTTACACTCGAGCATAATATCAAGAATAAATGAAAGCCTTGATTTACTTTCTTGCTAGAAGAAAGGAAACAATTTTTTAGTAGTTACTTCTCGAGAAATTCAATTATAAATTCTTGCGTGACTCTTGGGAGTGCAAATGTACCAACTCTTTAGCTGTATGTAGTTCAGTTTGTTCACAGTTTGTGGACTTTGGCCGATGTTTTGGAAGTGCACGTTCAATTTTTCTAGACCTGTTTATTAGAGCGTTGTGCTTTATGATAATTTAAGTAACTACAAAAGAGAGAAACTCTCTATGACACAAGTCTCTATCACTTGTTTACGTGTACGTGCAGAGAAGCTCATTTGTTCATTGAAGGAAAACAAATTCGTCCAGTTTCGCTTAGTCATATAAATACGCAGCTAATGGACTCTAACAAATTAAACCTCTTTATGCAGACAATAAAATCACTTAGTGTTTTACGTGTTAGGATGTTAACTATACCTCCTTTCACAGAAATCGTGTTCAATTGAGCGTTACGCTTTAAATGAAGGCAAATGTGCTAGCGATGTAGAAAACAGCGGGAAAGAATGGATCGTGCACTGGGCAAGACTCTACACTGAAAATTAAAAAGATCTGTTTCAGCCCCAAAGTGCCAATACAGCCCTGCAGGCCAAAGTCTGATTCAGCCCCTCCTGGGGCCATTTGAGCACAATTTAGGCCAACACAGCTCAATCAGAAGGCTATTACAGCCCACGCTGGGGCCAATTTCGTCCCTTGGGCCCAAATCAGCCCTAGGTAATTGGACTGTATTGCCCTGTATTCGCCCTGATTTAAGGGAGTCAAATTAGACTCAAAAATGGGACTGTATTTTAACCACCGAAACGGCCCTATTTTTAGGGCGAAAAGAGATCTTTCTGATTTACAGTGATATGTTATTGAATTCTTGTTGCATGCAGTTGATTTACAAACTGAGCCGATAAATTGCGGTTGAAAATTGATGATGCTTTCCTTAATAAGAGCCCCGTTTTTTTCCTGTTTAAATAACATAGCACTCACTATAAAGCGGGGAAAAAATTACCTTAGCTTATTTATCTCAGTCTGTGCATGTTTTACATTTTTCTAAAATTGCAACAGCTTTGTCGTAAATGTAATGCTGGGTTGAAATTTTTCAGTGTACTAAAACCAAAAAGGGGCATTGACCACGATGCGATACGGAGAGGAAGTTCGTCTTGTAGAGTTCATTCAGTATCTATGATTTGTTGTGGATATCGTTACTTTGTTTACCGGTATTTGTTGCTATGCCAGCAAATAAACATCCGTTGAACGTGTGGTATAAATTTTGGATTTAAATTTATACATTTTAATCATTCTAGTGGGAGTTCTGTTGGAAAGTTGTTTTTCTACCGTTTAGTAATACTGAATTGAACCGCCATAAAGCGGCCAACTTCAATTAAGTGTTCAGTAATCAAAGTCCCGAAATAATCCTCCCTACGGAAAAAGATGGCAGCTGTACATTTTACCACAATTCCTTTCGAACCTAACACGGCCAATTACACATAGAGCCATATTTTTTTTGGCGGGGGCATCCCTGTAATAGCAACATTGCCTATCCCTCGGTTTGAAGTTTATAAAACTTTTCTGTGCGTTTTTATGAGCAATTTTATGGTTTTCATTGCGCTAAGAACTGTGGGTAAATGTACCAGTCGCCATCTTTTTAGGAGCGGTGGATTATAGACTAGAATTGTACATGAAACTCCATTAATTAAGCGGCCACATCTACAAAGCAGCCACGTCCACCTTGTGGTCATCCCTACTTTTGTATGAGGTTTCTCCTATTGTTGTCACCACTATTCAGGGGCACCCAACGAGAATATAGTTCAAAACCACTTAAACATAGCATTGTTTAACGTATTTTAGTATTTAAACGGTAGATATAGGCATATATTTTTATCTCCTAAAAATTTTTCATCTCTTCGAATTTCCTAGCTGTCTAGTGATCTGAAAATTATAGGGATCAGAACTTACCTTTTCGAAAATGTCAGCCAGAAAAAAGGCTCCTGAAAATTCTAGGTGACCTTTTTAGGGTAAAATCCGTTGAGGGGCCACTGAGGGTGGCCGCTCATATCAATTGACGTTTCGATTCCAGTATCGTAGCACGTGTTTACATGAACTTAATGGACTATGTCTGAGATATATCCAAATATCATAAATGACCGGTGGAAACTTTTTGGACGCTCCAAGAGACCATGACCATTCCCGAGTTTTACATTAATTTCTTTTCTTTTTTAACTGAAAAATAACCATTCCATAAGACAGCCAGCAGGAATGAATAACCTTCGTACTTGTTAGTACTTGTTTTTTCTTCTTTCCTACGAGGCTTTGAAATGTCATCGACCGTTTTACAAAAGGAACAACGGTTTGTCTGGAGTTCATTTGTTCCCGAAATATCATCATTTTTTGGCCAATATTTGCAGTTATGCCAGCAAATATTCATCCCTGAAGGTATGTTAATTTACGATTTGATACCTGTAAGTCATTCTGTGAAGTCAGAACGTTGTTTTTCTATCAATAGTTAGCCATACCATGGTAGTTATGACATCGGCTATAACTACTCAGTCATATTTACGATATTATTATTCCATATTGGGTGTTCACGCATCGTATGTGTGGGCTAGCTTTTAATGAACAGCCTCAAGCCACGGATACTGTTCA